ATTGAATTCTTAAACTCAAAGTTATATACTAAAACTAAAATTAAATGAGACAAATTTATTGATTTACAAAGATTTATAAACTTGAGAGCTCTCTAAACTGGCTAATAAATTATATTTGTTTTATGATTTGTTTTAATCCAATATTTTCAATAACCTAACATTGGATTGGGATTTCATTTAGAATTGTATAATGAAATCGAATTCTTTCTTTAGCTTAATAAAGTCCTGAAATTGTGGTTAAATACATTTTTTGGAACTTTTTAACTTGATTTAAATTGGCAGTCTATTTAAATGACAAATTATTGGCCTAATAAAATCATAAATTTACATTGATCATTGGTAGGGTTTAATGGTATTTTAATAAATACATATTTGATGTTGATTTAAAATATTTTTAATGCAATTTTCTCAATTCCAAACCCTTTGGAATATGCCTTTTTTCGAGTGCAAACACATTGCCGCTGTGGCTGTAGGAGTATCTGCGGTTGTTGCCGGCGTTGTCGGATGCTGGGGAGCTGCAGGCTCCATTGAGGAACTCGCGATTATGCTCGGGCTTATGCTGGTTGTACGAGTTTTTGGCTGGATCAGAACCGAGAGTCGAGAGTCGCGAATCGCGAATCGAGAGTCCTGCAACTGGGCCCGGCATGTCGCCTGCAAATGTCTTCGGTTTCTGGCCGCGCAGTTAATTATAAACGCTTGGACATTTTCGCTTGACTTGGCTTCGCCTCGCATCGGTTTGTTTTCATTTCCAGATGCAGATTACATTATGATTTATGCAAAATAGTAAATGCGTCTGATGGCAACATGCGCCAGCTGCCAGACACGAAATCTCGGTCCTACGCCTCATTGGCCATGTTCGAGTGCAGCCATCGCGATCGCCGTGGCAATAGAAATCGGAATTAGAAGGCCCCGCAAAGTCACAGTCGAATCGAACCAATAGCCAAAAGGTATCTCTCCACCCCGATTACCGAATGGGAGTATTTAGCATCCAGGGATTTTATTCGAACCCATTTGAGGCCAATCGTAAAGCAGCGTCATCCCACTGGCCGCCAATAAATCAGGAGCGCCATGAAGCGGCCTCGTAAAAGTGCTTAAATTAATCATCCCGAATGTGTGTCTCGGGTTTACGATGCCCAGATCCACGGGGCGCCCCCAAAGTCGCAACAGGTTGCCCCCGCTAAGCGCCATCCATCCCGATCATAGGCACCATAAACTTAAGTTTAACTGCCCTGGATTGCTGGCATTTTGCATAACGAGACGTGCATGTCCGGTTAGCTGTATCTGTATCTGTATCTGTATCTGTATCTGCAAATGTATCTGCATCTGCATCTGCAGTTGTATCTGCATCTGCATCTGCATCTACATCTACAGCCCTGTCCTGTCCTGTCGTCGCCGGGAAATAAAGGAATGCCTGAGAAAATGGTCAGCGCTTTATTAAATACTCACTTTGATTTACTTGGGCAGGGCGATGGAAAATTGCGCTTGAAATTGCATTGTTATTACATGTTTGGGTCAGCGCAAATTAAATTCCATATAGAAAAGCAATCTGCCCGGCGTCGAGTGTATTTATTTTACTCAGATCGCGTACGTGACACGAGGGACGACGAGGGACAAGATGTTTAACAGCGAAAATGTGGTGCAAGTTTCCTGAAAGTCAAAAGGGTTCTTCTGTGGATAGGGGCCACCCCTTACCCCTCTGAATGCACTCAGAATCGCTATTAAATTAGTTTAGTGGCATTTAACTTAATCGCCTACAAGGGAGTTAAAATTTTCCAAGACAGTGTCTGCTGCGTCTCATCGGTTTTGCAGTTGCCCCAAGTTGGCCAAAAATTGGGCAGACGTGATTCGATTTTAAAGAAGCTCCCTGGCCTGATGGCAACAAGTGCTTTCGCCTTAATATCTTTGAATAGGCCACTCGGCATTTGGCCCTTTGGCAACCTGCATTAAGGCCTAACTGCGCACGTCATTGCCAATCCACTGGGTAAATTGAGTTGTGCATCAAAAAAGCGACGGATCCCCGGGGAAATGCAACTGCATCGTGATGTCAGCGATGTGATACTGCTACTCCTGCTCCTGCTCCTATATATTCCACTGCCGATGTTCCCGATGCGTATACTTGCTTAGTCCATATTCTTTGCATAAATCTCACCGATGTCCCCCGGATGGACTGGGCTTGTAATTAAATTGCGACACGGGGCAGCTAATGGCGCCACAACATAGATTCTCAGGCAAACAAGCAGCCGGCATATGCATACAGACATGCACTTGGAAAAAACATTTAAATAACTGTATGATAACTCAGAACACAATTTGTATGTAGAAATTTTTACAACATGTCTTCTTGAAAAAAATGAAAAAGTTTTCATAGGAGAAATAACATTTTTGGTTGCATTTTGTTAAAGTATAGTTTAGGTAGAAATCTAATCTTTTAATTTTAAAGCGATTAATGACATAATTTAATTTAATTTTAATAAGTTGTCCTTTTAAAAATATTGATACCTTTTACATCCTTAAACTCTACTTCCTTCATAATTCTCTAACTGCAAAAGTTTTGGAGTTATATTGCAGATATATTGTTTTCAATATCTTTTATGAAATTTTAAAACTGATTAATACAAAACTTATTCTTGACTTTGAAAATGTGATCCATCACTTTAAGCCTTTAATGTGGTTAGAAACTTATTATAATTTTTTGTCTTTTAGCAGACCAGACCTTTAAGCGGTTTTCTTTCTTATAGTTTAAAGTAGATTCAAGACCCCCATTTTTCTGAGTGATCCCCCAAACATCGGCGAGCGGCGATGCTCATGACAAAGCGGCGGGGACACGACCTCAGCGTACAGGGCACGTTTCTCAATGAAATTCCAGACCGCTCTCGTCGAGCGTTTCTGTGTGTTCCAGCGTTGTCTGCCCGGTCATCAAATATCGGACTGGGAGTCGGAGTCGGAACAGGAGTTGGAGTTGGAGAGTCCGAGTCGAAGATGGAGCCACAAAAAGTACTATGCTACTTGGGCGGCGGCGACACGAAATGAGCGCCTGCAGTAGCCACCGCGGTTAATTAATTCTGCATGAAATTTAAGGTTTTTCTTTTTTGTTTTTGTTTTTGTTTTTGCCCAGCCATAGTGCATATATGGCGAGTCAAGATGATGTTGGCCACGTTGCTGCACGTACACCACTGTCTGTGGATCTGGCTTCCCAGCTCCAGTCCTGTTTGTGTCCCCCAGTGCTTGCTAATCAGCCGCACCTCATCAGTCTGGCAAATCAAGTCATTAAGTTAACCGAGTGCCAAATGGAGCAAATAATGCTGCGGCTACCTCGTAGTTCGGATGCGCGTCTTGGGGGTTCGCAAAAAGCGGGGCAGAAAAAATCTCTCAATTAGTCAAACAATTAAATCAGCTATCGATCCGAACTTGAACTGATTCCATACGGACATTACGTATTTAATTATGTACCTTATTTCACAGACTTTTCCGCCCAGCAATAAAAAAAATGAAACCGATTGCCTTACTCGCATCACATCTTAATTGTCCTTGTGGTGTTTATTGATCACTTAAGGGGAAAATCATGAGAAACGAGGACGGAAGCTAACTTCGGCAAGCCGAAGTTTTAATACCCTTGCAGACTTGCCGAAATTGCTAAAACTGAAAAAGTAGCCAAAGGAATAAGGTATACATAAATAAACTAGATTTTCATCGTTTAATGTCAATTGCTTTTATACTGCAAAAATGTCATATAAAAATAGAAAAAAAGGGATACTTTCGCAGCCATTAACTATTTTTCCTACGGAAGCTATAAGAAATAGACGTCCGATCGGCAAGCGCTTTTACCCTAATCAAGAAATGCGTAAATAAATAAGACTTGGAAAAATTTATGTCAGTAGCTTACACACTACGCGAAAAATTCAGAAAATCATCAAATTTGGACCGATTTCACCCTGTTGTTCCTATGGGAGCTGTAGGATATAGACGTCCGATCGTCACGTGCTTTTATCATAATCAAGGTATGCATAAAAAAATACGATTTGGAAAGATTCATGTCAATTGCTTATATACTGTGCGAAATATCCTAAAAATCATTAAATTTTAACCGATTTCACCCTATGGTTCCTATGGGAGCTATAGGATATAGACGTCCGATCGCCAAGCGCTTTTACCCTGATCAAGGTATGCATAAAAAATAAGATTTGGAAAGATTTATGTTAATAGCTTTTACACTGCACAAAATATCTTCCATTCTTGAAAGTTATATCCGATTGTTCCTATGGGAGCTATAGGATATAGACGTCCGATCAGCACGCGCTTTCACCTTGATGAAGGAATGTATAAAAAAATACGATTTGAAAAAATTTATAGCAATAGCTTTTACACAGCGCGAAATATTCTGAAAAACATAAAATTTGGACCGATTTTACCCTATTTTTCCTATGGGAGCTATAGGATATAGACGTCCGATTGCCACGCGCTTTTACCCTGATCAAGGTATGCATAAAAAAATACGATTTGGAAAAATTCATGTCAATAGCTTTTACACTGCGCGAAATATCATCAATTTTTGCTAGATATATCCGATTGTTCCTATGGGAGCTATAGGATATAGACGTCCGATCGGGGCGATTTTCAAACTTGATCTGCGTACACATGTTTTAGGACGCGTGTGAAAGTTTCAGATCGCTAGCTTTTAAACTGAGCTCACAAACGGTATTGAAACAGACGGACAGACGGACAGACGGACATGGCTATATCGACTCCCCTATTGATCCTGATCAAGAATATATATACTTTATGGGGTCGGAAACGTCTCCTTCACTGCGTTACAAACTTCTGACCAAAATTATAATACCCTCTGCAAGGGTATACAAATTGTGAAGGCTGTAAACTTAAGAAGTTTCAGCACTTTTATCTTGAAAAATTCTTTACAAAAATTTAACGATTACATTTATAATTAAATAATAAAAAAAAATTAATAACTCCACATTAATATCCTTTTGTTTCTTTTTTTTCAGTGTCCAGCAACGGTAAGTTTATGACAATTTTAAAACACTTCTTCGAATGTAGTAACATACATAAGCAACCACTAAAAATGCAATAATTCCATCTAGCAATTTAATGCAAATGATTACACATACAAACCGTTTTCACGTTATAAAACAAAACCATTGACACGTTACTTTTTTACTTAACGTCAAGGACTTTTAGTTTGGCCAGAAATAAACCTGTTTTAATCGAAATTCATTATCTGCAAAAAATTTAATTTTTACCACAAGGGTGTCCTCTTATTGCCACTTATTATAAGGGTGTATTTTGCAATTATCTTTCCTTTTTCGTGTAAACGCAAATGGTTACCCCAAAAAGTTTACACACTAAAGATGCATAAATAGAAAAGTGTCTTCTTTTACCTTAAATTTTATTAAAGACCTAAAAAATAAAAAACCTAAGCTGACTATTAAATAAAACAAAATTAAAAAAGCAAGTCTATTCAGAATATAATCTGCGTCAGACAACTTCAAAGCCATTTGGTGAATAAGCTAGTACAATGTAGTCATTTGTGTTTACATTTAGATATTATTGTACACGCGTGCTTGATATGTTGTTAATAGGTCTTGTGTGTCGGACAATATAAATGCACGAGCTGTTAAATGTCGCCAATGGCGAGGAGTTGCTCACAATAAATACATAAAAAACGGGAAAAAACAATAATTTAGCTTAACAACTTAATAACAAAAGAGCACGAGCACTCTGCTGCCGATCACCTGTTCGCCTCGCCATTCGACGAGGATCGTCATTCCTCGGACAGGAGCGAACCCTCATCGCCGTGACTTCTGTGCGACTGGATGATGATAAAAAAAAATATATACAAAAATTATAAAAACGAGCACCTAAACCCGGTCGCAGTTATGAGTTTCCACCTGTTCGCGAATTTATTGATTGCCGCATTGACAAATGAGCCACCCTGCTGTTATAAAACCAATTAAAGGAAGGGTCCGTTTGCATGCCCGGCTCACTGGGATATTACGAATAAATTAGGTCTGGTGAGAATTAATTGGACAGTCGAGCCACCGGACACTCGGTGTGATATATAAATCATGGCAGCTATGTGGCAATAACAGGATTATCCAACCTCGAATTAATTTGGCTTAGCGAATGAAAGTGCCTCCTCAGCGGTCAAAATGCGTCACTATTCAGCTTACACAGAGAAAAAGTATTTTGAATTTCAGAAACAACAAACAAAATATAATGAAAGTAATTGCCAAAGTAATATTTCAGGTTTCATGCTTATGGTGCAATTTTATTGTTTTAAGAAAGGTTGGAAAAAGTTTATGATAAAATGTTACTGTTTTGAGAGACATTGAAAACGTTTAAGCAATACTTTATCCGAATTAAATGTAATTATTTATTTTTTACTAAGACATTTAAAAAATATGTTTTATTTAAATATTTCGACTTTTGAAACTTTTATTTTAAAATGTTTAATAATTTTCTTTAATAAAAGCTATTAATGAAGCTTCGCTAATAAATCAATTTAAGTTTTGTTCAGCTATGAAAATAGAAACTATGGCTTAGAATCATTTTTTACAAAGAGTCAAAAGGCACATATTTTTTTTAACCATCTCCATACTCGGAGTGATATATAAATCAATAAAATTTGATGAATTTTTCTAAGTGTTTTTTTTCGTTGAGTGCACTAATTAGAGACACTCTCGGAGATGCCAATAAGCAGGCCCAGAGGTATCGGCGGTCGCCAGGAAAGAGCACCTGCCAAAGCGGTCGACGCATCATTAATAATTCCGAGGGAGCGGCTAAGTCAGCCGCACGCATAATAACCACGATTAAAGCAAACAAGGCTCATTGTCGGTTAAATGACAAGTTTTGACAACTTGTGAAACGACAAGTGGCCGGCGATCGGCCCACGGACCAGTGACCAAAGACCAGTGACCAGTGACCAAAAAAAAAAAAAAAAAAAAAGGAAAAAACAGGGACTATGGAACCGGGGAGTGGACGAGGGTCTCGCGGCAGCGACCCAGTTAAATTAATAATCCGCATAATTGGAGAACTTAACTTGCGAGCGAAAGAGAAAGCACATGGTGACGACAAAAAGAGCGTTATTTGCTTTGCGCTTAATATATCATTTAGATTGTTTGCCGCAGATAAAAACGCTGTGAAGACTTTGGCTGTCATTATTATTGTTGTTTTATTTTATCGTGCCTTGGTGATTATTGTTGTTTGCTTGTAAAGATTGTTAGCTATTCTATTCGGAATGGCGTGGCAATTAGACCTAGTTGTCGATTTGGTCAGTTTGGTATTGATTTGGGGGTCCCATTACTTTTTTCATATATGTATGTATCACGACAGGACAAGCATAAATAGAAAATAATTGTTTCTATTTCACAATTATGTCCCAAAAGATTGGTGGCTTGTTTTTGATCACTCTGGGAACTAACACACCTTTCAAGTATGATAGCCTAACTAGATAGCATAATTGCAGTCTTAAATAGCTGGGGTCAAATTATTTTCATTGCTGATTAAAATCATTCAATAAGCCAAACGATATCATAATTTATTTTATACTGACCTCTATGCTAGTACAACGAAATTATGAATATGGTTATTATTTTTCCTTAACCAAAAATTCATAATTCATAAGGCAAATTTAAATAAATACAAAATAAAACAAATAGGTCACTAAGTTACAAATAAAATTTAACCATGCTCATTTTCATTTAATCAAACTAAAAATGATCAAGATAAAATTTAAACTATTGAATGTTATGTGATGTTTATTCCTGGTAATTATTCACATAAAAACTATATTTTTACAACCTAACCACCACTTAATATACATTTTTAATTACCATTTCCATTCTAATGCTTTCTTTTTCGGCAATTTACAACCATGTACCGACCGACATTCGCTGATCGGAAACGAAAACAGGGCGTAAGTATGAACATGAACACTCTGAAATGTAACTTGCTCAGAAAAACAAACACAAATTAAACTCTCATTAATGAGTGGGTCGGCAGCCTAGAAACATGACTGTCTTGCTCATTATTTCCAGATTGTTGAGGTCTTGAGTGACAGTCGAAAATGGTGAGAGTGTGCACCTTTAATGATAAATTAATTTGCGAGTAATCTCCAGAGCAATGTGCTCGCTGCCCACCGATCGGTCACTCTGATCCAAGTGCAATTATGAAAAAGAACAGGGAGTCTTAATTATAACCAGAGCAGCCATGTTAAACATGACAGTATTCGTGTCCTGGCGATTCATCAAAATGACAGCTTCTGGGTTACAGCGGTCTCGTTTTGCGGGGTCCGTCAAGCGATTCCCCATTCCCATTCCCGCCTTATCAGGACAATATCGAATTTCGATCAAAACGCCTTCGGGCGACGGCACGTCGGAAAAGCAGGCGCTCGACTTTTGGCGCTAAACGAACATCCGCACATCCGAGGCACTCCACAATACTTGATCGCTCACCAACCAACCAGCCCGCATTCCTGCTCTCCACGACCCTCATTATCATACTACATAGTTGGCACCATTAGGGCATTTTGGCACAGGAGCAAGGACACTCGCTGGTATGACTAGCCGCAGTTACGTCGCAGGACGCGATATCCATCTGCCAGAAAAATGAAATGAAGGGTTGTAATTGCCGTTGAAGGTGCTCGGATGTATTATTAACTTGTTAAGCGAAAATGGCACATACATAAATAATATGCACTTGCCGGTCTTATCCAAATCCTGTCAAAGGATCAACTGTTTCCTTTTTTTTCTGTGAAGAAGTCAAATTTGTGTCTGCTTTTCTGAGTGGTTTTTGGCACCTTATCTTAAGCCTAATTTTATTAATTGTGCTTTCTGTTTTTATTTCACATGTTTAATGGATCATCTCCAACTCAGTATGTAAGTATAACAACTCTTTGTATTTTAATTTAATTATTAGAAAATAAGAAAGATGTATTCATTGCTAATACAATAAGAAACAATAGTGTATTTTATTTTTCAAAATATATTTTACTCTTATCAATATAACATTTACATATATTCCACAAAATTACTTTAGATATTAAGTACGATATTACCTACTTGATCTATACTTCAGTCTTTTCTGACACAATTTCTTTGCAACTATTTCTTTGCAAAGTTGAAAAAGTAAGTTACAAGAATAAGAATTTTTAAGGTATATTAAAATTGACAATACATATTGGGATGCAGACACCTTAGAATCACATTGTATATATAGCACCTTAAGTGGTCGCCTAAAACACCTTCAGAACTTAAGACTAAACCGTGGGCTGCGTGAAATATTTGCAACATCCTTTTATGATCATGAAGCAATAACGGATCAGCAACACGGTTAAATGTCGCACGACCTAGGTATTGGAATCTGTGCTCCTGGAATTTCTGGGCATTTGAGTTCGGTGCGATGCAATGCGATGCGACGCAGGATGGATTCCGCGACGGGACGGGACGGATCGGAGGATTGCAGATCCGGAGGAGAGGCAAATCGCTCTGTTTGCTTGCGGTGTGCCAATACAATGCCACAGCTGAACGAGACACAAGAATTTATGGCATTTCACTTTCAAAGACACAAAATTCCTGTCCCTTGCCACCATTAATGGAATGGACAATAAATTTAAACGTGCAGACGGACAACGTGCCATATGTAAAAAGGCTCAGACACTGTAGCGGCAACTTCCCGAAATGGCTAAAATCGCTCCATTCCGGCCCGAAGCTCGGAAACTGCGCGTGAGACGATTTGTAAGCCCCAAACCGGTCGCCTTTCAGCATCTGCCAGTCGTCCAGCTAACAAGGCGATAATCCACGGACAATGCCGGCTTCGATGCGAATCTCAGCCCTTTTATAATTAAACGTATGAGGAGAAAGATAAAGCTTGGTTGGCTATAAATTCTTATTTCTATTGGTTTAGGAAAAGTGCTTAGAGCTTCTAATACACACAATTAAACCTTTTTTTAATTAAGTACAGAGAACAGGAAAAGATGCATTTTTGGCTATCAACTCAAAGTTTATATTACACCCAAAATAATTTTACAATTTGGTACTTGTCAATGGGAATTGAGCTATTCGTTAATTCCTTAAAATAGATATTTATTTCTATACATTTCAAAATGATTTCTTCTAAAAAGGTTATAAACAGCTATGATTCAAGATTTATTATATTATGTTTAAATCTATCACGACTTTTCATGAAAAGAGAATTATCCAGTACAGATAAGCGTAATAAAATAGAGATAAGCGCTAATCAGTTTGTAAAATTGTTCATACTTTTTAATAGTAAACGGCATAACAAATAGTAAGCCCAATAACAAATAACAAAAGGCAACAAATAAAGTAATCACCCCATTGACCCTTTTTTTTTTTGGTTTTCCCTGTGCTAACTTAATTTTCTGCCACCATGTCGCATCTGTTGAGAATTTAATTTCCCTTATCTAATTCGAAAAAAATGCGCTAATTGAATAGAGACGAGTCGCAGAATCACTGTAACCAAATTATACCCACATTCCGCCGCTCACCTTGCTGTTCCCGCGGAGTGGGTCTCCAGCTCGCAGCTTGCAGCTCCCGGCCGTGATCATTGCTTTGGCGAAAGACAATGGACGAGATTAAATGCCAGGCTGGGCAGATTAAGATGCATCGACAGCAATAACTACGTCAGCAGCAGAAGGAGCTGGAGCTGGAGCTGAAGCTGGAGGTTCTTAAACGGGAGACACGAAACAAATTTCCCTTGAAAAGAATTACATACCGATCGCCGGATCGGCGCAGACTATGGGAATTGACTGAAGCTGAAACTCTATTTGTTCGAACCGATCGGACCGTTTGCGATCCTCGCGTTTGTCGTCGCCGTCGTCCAGAAAGTCAGAAAGTCAGAAAGTGACCGTCTTCATTGTCAACACATGGCCATACGTACGTGGGCTGCAGTGCGGCGGCAAACAATTCTATAGAAAATCAGACATGCACCGCCGATGCCAATGCCGATGCACTGGTGGCGATCTGGCCGAGATCTGCCGGCGATCCACCAGTTTCAGCTCCAGCTCCAGCTCCAGTTCCCGTCCAGCCACGTCTTATCGCAACCGGGCGAATCGTTTTGCCATACTAAATTATTATGTTAACATGAAAATAATTGAGGCAACAGGCATTCGGTGGTGGCTGGCCAATTTATTTATATCGCTAAATCTCGGATACGGCAGCTGAGGCTGGGTCGACGAGTCCTCGGGTTCGAGTTCGGCGGTCCGCAGACCAATTGGTGGCGGTACAAATAGTTCCAGAACTGGGGCATCTGCGACGCGATTGGGACACCGACCGTTGACCGGGCTACTGTTTAGATAGCGTGTTTACAATTAATCCCTCAACAAATATCTGCGGAAACTCAGACCACAAAGCATAAAAAAGCTGAGCTTTAGTTGCAATTGCATGCTTTTGTTAAGTTAAATTAAATGTAATAATGATAATGTTGTCTTGCAACTCTTACCATAAATAAATATTTATTAGGTAAAATATGAGCAGTGAAAAACTTATTAAAAACTATTACAGTGTCTAAGTTAACAAACTGTTTTATTAAACATCTATCTATGTTTCTTTATAATTACAAATTATAACCAACTAAAAACGCCACATAAGAATACTTTTTACATTTAAGATTCTGATGATTTCTAATAATTTGTATACTTTCAAAAAGAATGGAAAACTACCAATTGTTTTAATTAAATAAAATATATAGACTTTAATGTGTAATTGATTTAAATATGGATCTTTAAAAAAATAGTTATATGTTCAATCTTATTATTTTAAAAAGGGAACAAATTTGTATCCCTATAGTTATATTATTACATACTATTATTTAAAGTTAATATTATCCATTAAAAATGGTTTTACTTTCTCCCAAGCTAGAATTACTTAGTAATAGTTTGTGAATAAGAGCTGCGTTCCTGTCTTCAAGCTGAGAAAACATACTAATCTCATACTAATTCTTTTCAGACCGCCTTGCACTGGGCAGCCAAGCACGGAAATGAAGATGTGGTTAAACTAATTGCCGGCACCTATAAGGCAGATGTAAATGCCAGAACGGTAAGCGATTATCTGAGATGCAAACGTGTTAACTTGAAGATTTAATATACCCTTCATTCCATGTGATCGCATTCGCCAACTGTTGACGCCTTAGAACGGGGTGAGTGATATGTAAATCTATTGAGGCAATTTTAATAATATACGAACCGACTTATTGGCTTGTCCCAGTCGCGCGTAAATGTGCGTCACATGTCACCGAATCGCGCAACATAACCCTTTCCCGGGGGTTTTGGACTATAAAGTGAACCAAAAGCGGAGAGCAGGCTGTGACAAATCATGACGAGCATATCGAATTGGGCCTCACCAGCCTGTCACCTCCAATTCAACTCAATCCTTTGCCCGGCGCATTCAAGTTTACAAAATTTTAAATTGAACGGTGCTTTGTTCCTGCGAAATTAAATTCACTCAAATGTATTAAAATGTCACATCCACATTTGAAACAAAGTGAATTGTCAATCACAGTCCGCAAGATTCGAAACGGTTCTTACAAAAACATGCCTGCAATTTGCGGCATATTTGCTTGTATGGAACACATGTTGAATTCTCTAAGGCTTATGAAATTATACTTTTCTAGAGTTAAAGAACAATTTATACCTCATAAAAAGAATATTTGTTTTATTCAATTATTGTTTTATTTAGGGATACACACCGCTTCACTTGGCAACCCAGTTTGGAAGAGATAACATATTCGAATTGCTCTGGAATGTCTACAGTAAGTTTTTGGATTTATTAAAAAATTAAGTTATTAACATTATGTGCATTATATGTGCATTTACGCGAATATATTAAAGGGATCTAGTTTATCAGGATTTTAAACTGTTATAAAAATTCCTAATGATAAACTATAAATGTTCTAAAAAAATCATAAGAAAAAGCTATAAAAATGGTAAAATTCTTACAACTGATGATAAACATAATAAATATATATAATATCAATTTGTAATCCATTTTTTTATAATTTCTCAGAGGCCAATCGGGACATCATGGACTGGAGTGGCAACAAGCCGCTGGACTACAGTCGCCAGCGGTCGAGTGTGTCGGCCTCGACGTGCAGCAGTGAGTATCTAAAGCATTTCATCAGTGCGGAGGTGAACAACAACTTCCACCTGGGATTCATTGAGAGTAGTCAGATCACCGGCGGTACACTGGGCAGTGCACTAACCCGCGGCAAGAAACGCGCTCAAAATCGGTTTGCCACCGTTAGTGGTGCTTCGAGTGGAGGCGGCGGTGCGGTGGGTCGTTCCCAGTCGATGATGCACCGCAGGCCCAAAAAGCCACCAGGGCAATCACTGGCGGGACTCTTTAAGCCCAGCACCGAGGACAGCGAACTGTCGCCCTCCGAAATGGAGGGACATCCGGTTCCCTTTCGCGGCGCCTCCACTCGACGCAAAGAGAGCTTTCTCCGCAAAACCTTTCGAGCCACCGCGGGTGGCAGCCGTCGCCAGTCCACCAAAGATGTTGCTACTAACCCAACAGAGCTTGGTTAATTGGTACCCCGGCTTATTGGTTTTTTTTTAATCTTTCACCTGTATTTTACCCTTCCAAAGTTGTGCTAATGTATGTGTATATGTACAAAATTTCAAAATAATTGGTTGGGGCTAAACTAATAATATTTTTATACACTTCTACATTCGAAATGATCAAAAAACTATATATGAAATTTTGTAAAATAACTAAGAGCATTTTACTAATTTATAAGTAATCAAAGCATGGCCTTATTATATTATATATTTTACCAAGGTGTATCGATTAACTTAATATAAGTATTCACTCTTTATGTACATATCTATAAATAATCGCATGTTTATCTGAACAATAAAATACTTGCTTAATAAAAACTACCTCTTAACTATTAATACTTAAATGTCTTAACCAACCTTAACTTCTTCTCTCAGACTTAACTTGTAACCGATTTTTCCTTTAAATAAACCAATTCAGTTCACAAAGAGAATGCGCTTGCGGAAATAATAATAGTTACTCGTGTTTGCAAACATTATTGCCCATCATCAACAAACTTACTGAAAAGTAGAGTATACGAACCTTAAACTGAGATAGTAATTAATAAAAAATGGGAACCTCTATCTATTTTCAATTCTGCTGCATGTAGAGATTCAAGCGATGCGATTCAGCGGCGGACTCAACGGAACCTGGAGGCAGGTTGAGATTTAACGATCTTGAGTATTAGTGTTAATTAAATCTATGTTCAATTAATTTGCTGGTTTAACGTTGAGTTACAACCTTAGCTTCAATATTATTTAAACCGTTTCTTTTTATTTAGCTTGTATGTATATAATGCTTTTGTACTTTGGTAGCTTAAACTCTTTATTATAGTTTTATTTTCGCAAGCATTTGAGTTGCAAAGCCCGTTTGCGTTGCTGTTGGTAAGTTTTCTTTCTGTTTTTTTCAATGTTTTTCCTTATCGCCTGCATTATTTTTTACTTGTTTCCAAAAGTCCGCTAACTTAAGGCATTTTTTAAGTTTCTGCACGTTCATTTGATATGACAATTATTATGTTTGATAAGTATTAATGAATTTATTTGTTTTTTGTTTTACTTACAGAAATCAAGGCTCGCAAAAAGCATGCAAGTAAGTGAATAGAAAATATATTTATCCATTTTCATTTTCACATCGGTCAAAATCTAACATAATTTTTAAGTCCAAAAATGTATATAGTTTTCAGATAATTAAAGCCCAATTTGTTGATTAAAATTAAATACAAAATTTCAGCCAAAAATATTTTTTTTCTGAATGGACAATTTAAATTTAGAGATTAGGGAAAAAAAATGTAAATTATGATTTTAACATAACACTCTTTTCTTTTCAGTCGAAAAAGATTTAGGCTTCCTGCGGATTGGTTCGTTGAATGTCCGGGTAAAGAAGACCACCGAGGCGTTCAGCAATTTCTTGGGAGTGGGCAATGGCAGTGGGGTGGCGCCGATGGGCTATGGCAGTGGCGGGGGAACGGGAGCAGCAAGTCGCCCTCACCATCGGTCTCCCCGAGTCCCTCATCAGCGTCATCATCACCACGTTGGTACGACACGGAATCGCCATCCGAATCAGAGGGCAGCGATGAGCACACCCTACGGAACGAACGGCGGCCTTCCGTCGAGGGCGAGTGTTCCCAATAACCGGAACATCTACGACGGAGTCCACAAGTCGTGGGGCTCGGCGGACAACATAACCCAGCGCTCGGAGGACCTGATGCCGCCGCCCAAGACGGTGGACTATATTAGCAAGCGGAATAAGTCATCGAAGCGGTCATCTTACGCCTCGAATGCCACCGATTCGCCCCGTGATTCCATCTGCTCCTCGAACTCCAGTTCCAATTTAAATGGTGGATATAGTAGCATGCCCACAACCCCGAATCAATTACGGGCTCCTAAAGGTATCGCCACATCCTTCGCCGCGGATTCCGATTCGGATTCCGCCTGTGGATTTGACTCCAGTTGGTCGGTAAATTGTCGAGGCTCCTCGAGCAGCAATCCATCACAATCCTGAATACCAGAATGGATGTGTTAAGCCACAAACCTTAAATGTCTGCATACCATACAACTTATAACATTGACCATATAATAATGAAAGTATTGTTTTTCCAACAAACTAACGTATTCCTATTAATAAGAAAATAATTTTTGATAATAACCATTTTTTCTGTTTGTGAAAGTTAAATTTAAACGTTATATTTTTTTAGAATAAAAAGTTTTTAACCTATTGTCATGATTTATTATTAATTAATTATGTATTCTTTATTATTATAAAATAAAAGTTCTTGTATTTCTGTTTGTTGCATTTAAAAAATATGTATTGCGTTTGTTACACAAATTTTACGTTCGTGAAAAGTTTTTTTTTTCATAGAACGATTGTTTTTTGTTAATATATATAAGTAAAATATTTATTTAAAACTTCTTTAAATTCAAAATTGAATTGGAATCTCGCGCGTATATTCAAAAAACCCGTTAAGGTATTTCTCACAGTTCCGTCGAAAGTTGTCAACAAGTATCTGGTATTATAAAATCCAGTTCTTCCTCTATCTACTCGATAGGAGTACACGTGCGGCTTAAATTGTTTGTTGATTTAAATTTCTAAACCGAATTAAACCTGATAAAATGGGCAAGAAGGACAAAAACAAGAAGAAGGGCAAAGGAGCCGAGAAGACAGCCATGAAAACGGACAAAAAGCAAGCGGCACGGCAAAAGAAAATGCTGGAAAAGCTGGGAGAAGTAAGAATTGTTATTGTCTGATTGTGACAATATTTACTAATATAACATATCTCTTTTTAGGCTAATATAGCGGATATAATTCAATTGTTGGAGGCCAAGGAGGGAAAGATTGAAACTATAAGTGAATCCGTCTGCTTGCCGCCATCTCCGCGATCCAATTTCACTCTAGTTTCCCATCCGGAAAAGGAGGAACTCATCATGTTTGGCGGGGAACTTTATACGGGAACCAAGACCTCCGTTTTTAACGATTTATACTTTTATAATATAAAAAGTGGCGAGTGGAGGGAGCTAAAATCGCCTTCAGGACCCACTCCCAGAAGTGGACACCAAATGGTGGCTGTGGCCAGTAATGGAGGAGAACTTTGGGTTTGTTTGGCATCTTAATATAACTACGAATTACTTGAATTAAAACCTTCTTTATTAGATGTTTGGAGGAGAGCATGCTAGTCCCTCTCAGCTGCAGTTTCACCACTACAAGGATCTATGGAAGTTTTCACTGAAATCCCGCAAGTGGGAAAAAGTAACTGCCCCTAATGGACCCAGTCCCAGAAGTGGCCATCGAATGACCGTCTCCAAGAAGCGTCTATTTATCTTTGGCGGCTTCCATGATAACAACCAGTCGTATCATTACTTCAACGATCTTCACATCTTCTCTCTGGAGTCCTATCAATGGCTAAAAACTGAGATCGGGGGAACAATAGTACCATCGCCGCGATCTGGCTGCTGTATAGCAGCTTCTCCGGAAGGCAAAATCTATGTTTGGGGAGGTTACTCACGGGCCTCCATGAAAAAGGAAGCGGATCGAGGAGTAACCCACACGGATATGTTTGTTTTGAATCAAGACAGTAAGTTTTTAGTAACAACAAAATGTTGTATCTTAAGAATAATATAAAGTATGGCTTTGAAGCTATTTTAATTTACCTAATATTAATTATTGTCCACCCTTTGCTTTTAGAAAACGCTGGCGATGCTGATAACAAATACAAGTGGGCCCTCGTGAAGGCCGGAGGATATAAACCTAAGCCCCGGAGCAGTGTTGGCTGCACTGTGGCTGCGAATGGCAAGGCCTATACTTTCGGTGGTGTTATGGATGTCGATGAGGACGACGAAGATGTCCACGGTCAGTTTGGCGATGATCTGCTGGCTTTCGATTTGACCTCCCAAACGTGGAGATTGCAAGAGATCCAAGCCAAAACCAGTCCCGCTGAGAAAAAGGAAACAGACGAGAGCAAGGATGTTGATATGTCCGCTTCAGATAAGCCCGTCACCACCACAACAGATGGGATCTTTACGGTTACCGTTGGAGGACCAAGTACAAGTACTCCATATGTCTCCAACATACCCAGTCTTTTCCCCAAAGCTAAGCCAACAAATGTACCATCTCCGCGCATGAATCCCGGACTCTGCGTTTGCAAGGGAACACTTTATATCTTTGGTGGAATCTTTGAAGAGGACGCCAAGCAGTTAACCTACAACGATTTCTACTCCCTGGACTTGCATAAACTGGAATGGAAGGTAATAATCCCCAATAACTTGAAGGCCCACGCCTGGGAGGATAGCGATAGCAGTAGTTCCGACGAGGAATTCAGCAGTGCTGATGAGGATAGCTCCGACAACTCGGATATGGATACAGATTAGTATATCTTCAAATGACTATATATTAAATTTCATTAACAATCGTACACATATATAAAAAAATGGAATATTCTTGAATGTTGAGTAACTTCAGTTGTCTCACAGCTCCAGAATCTCAGTGAGAATGCGTTCCGTATCCTTAGGAGTATATACCCTATGGCTGATAGTTCGAGGGTCGCTATAAATCTCATAATCATTGCCGCCCGGCTCCGTTTTATCGCCGAAAAAGTGGATTTCCTTGAACTTGTAATAGGCTTCAATATGTCGCAGGCAGTAGGTTTTATCCCAACCATGGGGGAAGACATCAAAGCTGATCTGACCACCAATGGAGTACGTCAGATCCACGTCGGCAAACTCCTTCTTGAGGTCCCTAATCATTTGCTCCCGCACCTTGTGTTCAATGTCGTAGGCGGCAAACATATTCCGCTCCTCCCGGGTGCACTGTCGTCCAATGGGGCACACGTTCATCATTCCATTTCGGAACTCGATGAAGGTTCCCCTCTTAATGGGCACATCCAGCTCGGATAGGTAACGCAGGACAAAGTTGATGAACCGCTTCAGGGTTTTCTCTCCCAGATGCTTGATGATATTCTGCTTTCCCACCTCCTTTCCTCCCTCAATCTGCACCAATCCATTCTCCGGGAATATAAAGTCGAATTCGTTGAGGATCTTCTGGCCATTCAGCTGCTCGAACATCTTTTCCAGATCGGATCCACCGACGATTCCGATTGTGGCCCTGGGTTTTACCTTCGAGTAAAAGAACTCCTCAAACTCCGGGGTCACCATGGATCGGGGCATCGTCAAAGTACCGTCCACATCGAAGAGCAGGAGGATTTCGTCACGTTTCAGTGAGGCGGTGCCCATGTTGCATGAGAATTATTGCAAAAACGCAGCTATATAATATCCAGGTAATTATGTCCACGTATTATTTGAGATAAAGAACCTTTGTAAGCGGCAACGAGTTGGTGAGAAATACCCTAAAGCTTTACTGCACCGGGTCAGAACCAGATCCGGAACCACACTGCACTAGTAATTTGTATTTTGAATTATTTTTAGGAGAAAAGTTAAACAAAAATGCAAGTATTTAATGTCTTTAAATTCAAGAAATGGGAAGTTGGAATGATTTTAAAGCTCTTAATATTTTTATATTTTAACAGATCTTAGTATATGTACATTGTACTGCCCTATCATGTGAACAGAAAATACACATATCTGGGTTCATAAGGGTACAATTGGAGTCTTATAAACAGGATTTTTACTGCCTTTTTATGTGTTGAAGTTCGTCTCTCTTAATTTTGCTGTATTCCTGCAGGGATTTGTATTTATCGGTGTTTAGCATCGGGTCTACAATCACAGGATACAGCGTTAAGCCCACGGCGCCGACGATACAGGACACGAAGCCGACAAATCTCCATCCACGTAGAACTGCCATTTTATCTGGTTAAATTGACAAATTATTTTAATTTCTCGTCTCGGTTTGTTATTATAAAACACAAAACACCTGGTTGGTCGGAAAGGGCTAAAAAACACCGCTTGAAAGGTCACACCAAAGTTTTGTGTTTGCTGTCTGCTACAGTACAAGCTGGATATAATTAACTTCACAACAGCCTTATAAAACGATAAATAATAATAAATTTAAGAATACAAAAAACTAAAGGAATATTTATTTTTCATAGTATGTTTGAGCTGGTACTTTTGAATAAAAAATATCAAAAAATAATGTTTTAGGAACATTATTTAAATGTTCATAGGTCTTATATTTCAATTCTAAGCTTAAATTGTATATCCTAAAACTAATTGAGCTACAAAATACTTATTTAAATGATATTTTCTTACCATCAATCGCTTTTAACCAAGGTTCACTGTAGATACCTGTTGGTATTTTTATAGCGAAGTCTGGTATATTCAATCTTCATTCCTTCGGTCACTCTGGCGATCTTGAGCTGGGCTTGGGTGTGGTATATTGTTTGACTAATTGTTTTTAAGATTGGTCTTTTTATTTAATTTACTTATTTACTGAAAATGGCTAGAAGCCTCGTTTTTGTGGCACTAGTCGGCGCTTTATGTTTTACACTTGCTAACGGTAAGTTCCCGCTGGACTACAGACATCCACGATGTCTAAGGGCGTTGGCATGGTATTTTCGTAAACCCTGATTTGCCTATTCCAGCACAACACCACTATGACGAGCACAAGACCAAAAATCTCATCTGGTGCACCAAGAGCCAGGCAGAACAGTACAAATGCCAGAATCTCACGGTGGCCATCGAACGCGATCGAGCATTGTTCGACGAGGTGTTCCTGAATCTCACCTGCTTCAAGGCCTACAGTGCGGATGAGTGCATCCACCACATCGATCGAGAGAAGGCGCACATTACTTCGCTGGACGCCGGAGATGTTTTCACGGCGGGCCGATACAACTCCCTGATCCCCATTATGCGGGAAAAGCTGGAGGGCGGCTTTATGGAATATCAATCCGTGGCCGTTATCAAAAAGGGATCCCTGCCTGATTTAAATAATCTCCGCGACTTCCGAAACAAGAGGGTCTGCTTCCCCTGGGTGGGCAGTCTTGCAGGTTGGATTGTCCCAATTCATACGGTAAGAATTGCACTAAAAATGTCAAGAAATCCATTTATTAGACCCCAACTTTTTAAATTTTACTTATTTTAAACTTTGCCTCATACAAAAAAAGTCTGTTAGCACTTTAAAGTGATAACTTAACAAATAAAAACTGTAATATCCAAACCCTATTATATCACAGCTCCAAAGAGAAGGCGGCATGGAAGTTGTGGACTGTAACAATCAAGTAAAGACAGCTGCCAGCTATTTCAACAATTCGTGTGCCGTGTACTCTCTATCCGACAAATACAATCCCATTGGCGACAACTCAGATAAGTAAGGCCTAAAGACAAATTAAAGTTATAAGACTTAACTAATGAGTAATCTATTTTATAACCAGACTTTGTTCGCTCTGCACTGGCAAGATTCCTGGAGGACGCTGCTCGTCTTCAGATCCCTACTTTGGCTACGAAGGCGCCTTCAAGTGTTTGTTGGAGAAAGGAGATGTTGCATTTTTGCGCCACTCGACAGTATCTGAAATGCTGCAGACCACTGAATTCAGTAAGTGATTATACATACCTAACCTTTCCGAAACCCATTGCTTATTTCCTACAATATTTCAGAAAACTTATCACCGGACACTTTTGAGCTACTCTGTCGCGACGGTCGCCGCGTTCCCATTAACGACTATCGACAGTGTAATTGGGGCCAAGTTCCCGCGGATGCCATTGTGACATCTTCAGCACGCAGCTTCAACGATCGAAAGCAATATCAGCAATTCCTGAAACGCATTGCGGAGTTGTATTCCGATGGGGTCCGTGAAGATCAAAGCAAACTGAATGGGCAAGGATTTAGCAACAACAACAATTACAACGTGCAGGGTCAAAATGGTGCCTACGATCAGTTTAAAAACCAGTACGAAAATAATGACCCTTATAGAAACCAATACAATCAGTACCGCAGTGAACGCTTGGACAGTAGTTTCTCCGAAGACAACAATCCGCAGGACGGCACCAACACATCGATTCTTTTTGAGAAGTTTCGCATATTTGATTCGAAACGATATGGCAAGCCAAATTTGCTTTTCCAGGTTTGTGGTTATATTTTATTTAATCAGACACAATTGAAACACATTTTTATTTATTTGCAGGACTCAAGCCGGGCTCTTAGTATTATTCCTGAGGATGATCAGTCCTTTACAAAATATTTGGGACCTGCCATTGACCTTATTTACGGCATTCGAGAATGTCCTGTTCCGGCGATGACCCTTTGCGTGACTTCAGAAAACGAACTCGAGAAATGTATCAAGATGAGGGTGAGTTAAAAATGAAATAATAATAAAATTAAAAACAATCGTTTTTAATACTCTTTTGAAATCTGTACAGACTGCCCTAAAAGCGCACCTCCTAAAACCGGAACTAATTTGCAAGAAGATGCACTCCCACATAAACTGCATGCAGTTCATCGAAGCGGGTAAGGCCGACATTTCTGTTTTCGATGCCGGAGATGTGTACACTGGCGGACTGAACTACGACCTGATTCCCTTCATGTCGGAGGTGTACAATCTTGGCGAGCCCGAGTATTATGTGGTCGCTGTGGCCAAGGAGGAGGATCCCGATACGGAGTTAACTTACCTTAAGGGTAAGAATACCTGCCACACGGGCATCAACACCGCAGCTGGCTGGACATATCCAATGGCTCTCTTCATCTCGAACGGTTGGATTCGTCCGTATGGATGTGATTCGGTGCGGGCTGCCGCTGAGTACTTCACCAAGTCTTGTGTACCGGGTGCGATTAGCAGTGAATATAATACTGGAGTGCCTTACGATAGCATGTGCGATCTGTGCCATGGAACTAGCTACAGATACTGTCGTCGCGATGCTTCCGAAGATTACTATGGACATACCGGTGCATTCAGGTGCCTGGTGGAGGGCGGCGGACATGTGGCGTTTATGAAGCACACCACGGTGATGGAGAGCACAGGCGGCAAGCGCAAGGAATGGTGGGCAAGGAATGCTCTAAACGATGATTTTGAACTCCTGTGCACTGATGGTACGCGTGCCGAGGTGCAGGACTACAAGCGCTGCAATCTGGGCAAGGTGAAAGCCAATGCCGTCGTAACCCGCGGAGGAGTCAACTACAACGAGACCCAAATAAATGCCTATATTAACCTGCTCACCTATGCCCAACAACTGTACGGTCGGAAGGAAGTGGACGCTTTTAGCTTCAGTATGTTCTCCTCGCCGATTGGTCACTACGATCTGATCTTCCAGGACGCAACGCGGCAGCTCAAAGTAATTTTGCCGAATAAACGACGATACGATTCCTATTTGGGCAGCGATTTTATGCGGGCTCGCCGTATCACCGATTGCTATGCCGGTGCCTCACAGGTGGCATTATCCGTAGGCCTGCTCCTCGTGGCCTCCTTAGTTGCAATACTCTAAACCAGTAGACTCGTTAGGATTTCAGAATTGTACAAGAATCTCTAGCACAAAGAGAAACATATCAATGATTACATTCCAATTATGTTTAAGAATACAAGAAAAAACCATACCGTCCGAAAAACAACATTCCTTGATGCAGAATATTATCTGACGAAGGCTATAATTTTAATTTTTAGTGCCTGTGCCTTAATATAGAATTTGTTTGTGTACATACCAACTAAGTCCGTCCAAAAAATTGTATCTAGAAAGTGTAAGCCGAATCTTTTACAAAACTTTTATAAGTATACAAATAAAATGATGAAACAATTAGACGCTAAGTTTAATTTTCAATTCAGCTAGAAAATTTATAAATTATTACAATCTACTGCCACAAAAATAATAGTTGTTGAATTCAAAAATCTTACTAACACAATAATTTGTTTTAATTTTTCTCTACTTTACAAAACAAGAATAAAGCTTAAAATTATGTATCTTATAGAGAAATCTATATTAAGTTTTATTTTTGAGCCTAATTCTTTGTTTGGGATTTTGTTTATAAAATGAATGTACTGTATGGAACTGTAATCCTATTATGTTGACTGCAATTGTACCCGCCAAATTCAAACTGGTAATCATATGTTTTCAGCGCGGAAGTGGCAACGCCGGTCAGTTGTTACCCTTCCAAGAGTTTTGTCAAAAGTTTTCTTAGGAAAAAGTTTTAAGCTGATATATGTTAGACTTCCACAATCTCTGTAAAGGGGCGTATTTTATTACATTTTCTAAATAAAACCAAATATATCAAAAACCATTTGAAGTTAAAAAAAAGTAAGACCATAAAGTGGCGCTAGGAATATGCAACGCCGATGGTGTGTAGGGTCACACCCGCCTGCATAAATTCCACACATCTGTGAAATTCGTAAATTTCGAAAGCTGCTCCGGAAAACCGGACGGATATCTTTCACTTTGCTCTGTACCAGTTGCACCACATTTAAATATCGCAAAATGTCTATTAATCTGCGCACCGTTTACGCGTTCGCCAGGGAAATGTACCCGAAAACCTCTAAGGAAACCATCCAATACGGAACAGCTGGCTTTCGCGGCAAGTAAGTTGTCTTAATTAACGATCTTCGGGTTAATTATCATTATGTTAACACCCACACGTTGCATACGTTGGCCGTATTTGATTAGCAAATAGTTATTGTTTGTTTTACGATAAGTTCAGCGATTGCATGACCCGTGTTGTTGGAATTTGGGTTTATTTTTAGATATTGTTCACCTTTTATCAATGGACATGCCCTTCTTTCGGCTGCAAGTATGAATGTATGTGTGTAGGGGCGTGCATGTGCATGGGCGCATACATACGTAGACACAGTCGAGGTCAGCGAAATAGTTCTGCAGGTGCGAGGTGCAATGGACTACTATTAAGTGGTCATAATCGATGGGAAATTACGCTTTGATACCTTTGAAAAATATCCAATTTTTATCATACCTATCTGCATACATTTTACTTCTTTTTATGAAAAAGGGTGTGTCTGTAACACAAAAAAGTTGTAATCATGAAAAAAACCGTTAAGAGGATGTAATCGAATATGAGTTCCAATCTTATTTATTTGAATATACTTTTGTTGATATAACTTTAAATCTGATTGATATGTAATTATATAGCTTGTGGTGTGATAAGATAAAAAAGCTTATGGAAAGCGTATTACAAAGAACTTCATTCATAATAATCTGGTTTATTTAGGGGCTATCTAGACAATTACTCATTATTTGAACAGCACTGTATGTTTATTGAAGGTACAATCTACTGAAGAGATAATGTGTTGAAATAGATAGTTACAATGGTTACTTAGCGATTCGTCACTCCGTTGACTATGACTTCCTGAATTCACAGTAAATAAAAACAAGAAAAAAGTTAAACATTACCAATCATCAAACAGCAGTTATTTTCCAGACCAGTATTATTCGTCTATGAGATTATAAACTTAAAACATTATTATTTATCTAAGGTATCTAAGATTGTAGTTACCATCTTTAACTATGCAACAATAAAATATTTAAATAATTTGTATTATTAAACTAAATAATAATTATCTTAAATAATTCCAGAGCCGAATTCCTGGACAGCGTGATGTTCCGCATGGGAGTTCTGGCCACCTTGCGATCCCGGTTTCGTGGAGGCTCAGTGATCGGCGTGATGATCACGGCATCGCACAATCCGGAGCCGGATAATGGAGTGAAGCTGGTCGATCCCAAGGGCGAGATGCTGGAGGCCAGTTGGGAGGCGATAGCCACCGATCTGGTCAATGTGAGTGACCAGGAACTGGAGCAACAAGTGGCCAAGATTATCAAGGAGAACAACATCGACGTGACGACAAGTTCCCAGGTATTCGTGGGCATGGACAACAGATACCACAGTCCGCGACTGCTAAAAGCGGTGGCCGATGGAGTAATAGCCCTGAAGGGAAACGTCAAGGAGTACGGCATCGTGACCACGCCCATGCTGCACTACTTCGTGGTGGCGGCGAATACGAAAGAGGCATACGGCAAGCCCACCGAAGAGGGTTACTATGAGAAACTGATCAAGTCCTTTGAGCTGCTACGTAACGGACGCCTGGAGAATGGAAACTACCGAAACAATATCATTTACGATGGCGCCAACGGAGTGGGTGCCCGCAAAATGCTGCAGTTCATCAAGCGCATGAAGGGTTCCCTAAATGTGACGGTCATAAACCAGGGCGTTGGTGTCGGCAAGATCAACGAGGACTGCGGCGCTGACTATGTGAAGGTCCAGCAAAGGCCACCGAAATCCATGCCCGAGGTGGAACCCTTCACCAGATGTGTCAGCGTGGATGGAGATGCCGACCGTGTGGTGTACTTCTTCAGCGACGACAAGGGCGAGTTCCACCTCTTGGATGGCGATCGCATTGCCACTTTGGTCGCGGGCTTCCTCATGGAATTGGTCACGCAGGCCGAGATCGATTTGAGATTGGGTCTGGTTCAGACCGCCTATGCCAATGGAGCATCCACGGACTATATAGTCGACGAACTGAAGTTCCCCGTTTCCTGTGTTCCCACTGGTGTGAAGCACCTGCACCACAAAGCTCTGGAGTACGACATTGGTGTCTATTTCGAGGCCAATGGTCATGGCACGATTGTGTTTAGTGACAATGCAAAGGCGACAATCGCCAAAGCTGCGGAAACGAAAGACAGTGCCAAGACCTTGTTGCTCCTCATCGATCTGATTAACGAAACCGTGGGAGATGCCATTTCCGACATGCTGCTGGTGGAAACCATCCTGAACCACAAGGGCTGGGACGTGCAGGACTGGATCTCATCGTACAATGACCTGCCCAACCGACAGCTGAAGGTTAAGGTGCAGGATAGGAACGTCATCGAGACCACGGATGCGGAGCGGGTGTGCGTGAAGCCGGAGGGTCTGCAGGCGGAAATCAACAAGGTGGTGGCCAACTACAAAAGGGGTCGCTCCTTTGTCCGACCTTCTGGAACCGAGGATGTGGTGCGAGTCTACGCGGAGGCGGCCACAAAAGAGGTAAATCTTGAAAGAGGAATAATATTTGCTGGAGCTCCATTGAAATATATTGTTTCCCCATAGGATACCGATACCCTTGCCTACGAAGTGGGACTTCTGGTGCAGAAACTGGCCGGAGGAGTTGGCCCGGAATTGACGAAACCCAATAGTGCCCATCTTTAAGCGAAAAAACGAACCAACCTCAAACGAATCCGATCATACAGGTCCTAGCTGGAGCAATAAATCTCTTTACTTTAAGGTGCTCAATAACTTAAAAGCCTAAAAGTCTTAACTCTCAAACGCATTTATACTGTAACTGTTCACTGTCTTGTATGTTCTAAAGATGAGATGTTTTTTACCACTAAATATAAAGTTTCATTTATTTTGTGGGAGTTATTATCTGATTATGTAGTTCGTTATGCGTGATTGAAGAGCTTTACAAAAATGCACCCGCTACATTAATTTTTTGTTGAGCTGCTAGCGGTAACTAAAGAAATAATAAAAAAATGCTGATAATAGAGATAAATGACCTAAATAAAATTTGTATTGCCATTTTCTAAAAAATAAATATAAAGAATTACAAGGCTATTTATTTTGGGGCGGAACAAAATTGTATGTTATTTTCATTCTGATATACATGAGTCGTATAAATGGAAAAATATTGTTAAAATTATCTTCTATTTTAAGTAAACTTTCATATTTTCTATTTTAAATATGATAAACTATGATAATGAAAGATAATAATATGATTTTGGAAGACAGAAAATAAACATTTTTTATCTTATACGAATCCACAGCTTTTTATTTTCCATTCATAGAGTTACGTTATAAAACAAATATTTGTCAATTATAAAGTTGCCAGTCATGGTATTTTAGTTTCAGTAGGTTTATGTTCACAATTATCAATAACAATATTTATATATCAATATCAATAACAACAATTTTAAACACAAGTAAAAGCGTCTAAGAAAGTGTGTCCCACGACTGTGGAAAACTCTTAAATTTCTGTTCACCCACAAAGTGGTCACACTTATTTTCAGTTTAGAAACTAATGACGACACCAAGCGGACGGCAGCAGTACTATTGCATTAAATTTAATTCGAGTTACCAGTGAATTTTATTTGCATTATTTTATATGAAAGTGTTTTGGCGGATAACATCGATGATTATTAAAACATTAGCATTGAGTTTTCTCCACCTCTAACTGTTGTTCTTGTTTTAATTTATATATATCGGAAGATTAGCAAACATTTTTACAGTGCCATGATCAAGGTGCATTTTTTATAGGGTTTTATTATAAAACTAAACAAAAAATGGAATGGGAAAAAGGAAAGTGCGCAAGAACTGCAGTAAGATTTTTTAAACTCGTTTAAAGCCGAAAAAACATCGTTGACGCCCGTCCAAACATCGATATCAACGATATTTTGAAAACATCGACGACATCAACGATATTTTGAAATCATCGACGACATCGATGGCATCGATGGTATTTCACCTCTAATCATTGCCGTGCTGTCATTTTGGCTGATGCAATTTCAGTTTTTTAGTTAAAGTCAAATTAATTCCAGTCAATAAGTATTCAAAGAGCCCTAACACAATGGACGCAGAAGACGTAAGTTCGAAAAACACTGGGGTGAACGTTGAAATGGGTAAAAACTCCTTGAAAAGCACACATATGCGCGTGCATGTGCGCCCTTCTGTGTGTATGTGTATTTACCTGTTTGGATACGAGCTCTGGGCGAACAATGAGGTTATGTTGTCTCTATCCGGATTTCTGACCGTTCCGAATTTTCCAATGGATTCCACAGGGTTTCGATCCCACTTTGATGAAAAAGAAGAAGAAGAAGAAGACCACCTTCGACCTGGACGCGGCATTGGGCCTGGAGGACGATAGCAAGAAAGAGGATCCACTGGATGAGGCGTCAGCGGAAGGTGGAGCCGCCGCTGAGGAGGATAATCTAGATCTTGAGAGTTTCGGCAAGAAGAAGAAAAAGAAGAAGAAGCCCTTCAACATGGACGAAGTGGAGGCGGCAGTCCCGAGTTTCGGAGGCGATGATGCGGTCGCCACCGAGGAGCCAGAGGAGGAGGAGATCAACCTGGACATGGACTTCTCGATGGCCAAAAAGAAGAAGAAGAGCAAGAAGAAGGATCTGGACGAGCTGTTCGCGGATAAACTGGACGAAGATAGGAACGAAGACAAAGAGAATGGTACGGTGACTAATGGGATTATGTTTCACATTTTCATGAGTTTGACGAGGATATCATCACATTTTTTATCAGTCTTAAAATGTTTTATTTTTGTTATGTTTATCCATTCAAAAATTTTACAAAAGGGTTCAGCTCAAAAAACTATAGCTTTCTAATAGAAAGTTTCTATCTATATGAACGTACAATATTTATTTCTTTTAACAGTTTTCTAAAGAAAAGATTTCAACCATTAAACCAGGAAGTTTAATTATATTATCGCTTATATTTATCAATAAATTAAAGCATTAAACCCAGTTCCAGTTTTCAATTTTGATTGAAAAATTTTTGAAACCAGAATATTACTTACATTATGCATTGCATTTATTTGTCATAGTTTTCATCAGTTTCAATTGACCAATAATTAATCATTTTTCTATCTAGTAGATTAACTCACTTTATTAAAGGCAACGCTTAGAAACATGCCTTAAAGCCTACTTTACATATAACATTATTGGATACTCTTTCCAACTCTGATGAAATGGATGTTCTTTTAAAGACTTAGGAATAAGATAGATGTTAGGCCCATTAATATGGTTATGTTGTCATAAAATCATTTGCAAGGCTTACCTAATTTAGACTTCTCCTTCTCACTACTTCTTTCTTTTCCAGTTGAGGACAATAGTTCAACCTGGTTTGGTTCGGATCGTGACTACACATACGACGAGTTGCTGAAGCGGGTCTTCGAAATCATCCTCGACAAGAATCCAGACATGGCCGCCGGTCGCAAGCCTAAGTTCGTGATGCGACCGCCTCAAGTGCTGCGCGTGGGAACCAAGAAGACCTCCTTTGCCAACTTCATGGACATTGCGAAAACACTGCATCGCCTGCCCAAGCATTTGCTCGACTTCCTACTGGCCGAGTTGGGTACCAGTGGCTCCATGGACGGCAACCAGCAGCTGATTATCAAGGGCCGTTTCCAGCCCAAACAGATCGAGAATGTGCTGCGTCGCTACATCAAGGAGTATGTAACCTGTCACACCTGCCGCTCCCCGGAGACGATATTGCAAAAGGACACTCGTCTGTTCTTCCTGCAGTGCGAATCCTGCGGCTCCCGCTGCTCGGTGGCCAGCATCAAGTCAGGTTTCCAGGCTGTCACCGGCAAGCGTGCCGCCATTCGAGCAAAAACAACCTAAATTCTCTTTATTTAAAATTTGATTTTTTATTACCAGTAAAATTTCAATATAAAAAAATCATTTATGTTTGTTTGCTGTACACTAAGTTATAAGCTATAGTTTTCGTGCCAGTCAGTTAAGTAATCTGCGAATCCCATTTCCATGTCCCGTGATCTGCCGCTGTCTATGAAGAAATGAAAGGCATCCATACCCACTTTTCCTCTGAACATATTGGGACGACCGCTCAGGAACAGGCTATTGCCCCTCGCTATGGGCGAGGGATCTATACATTCCATGGCGGACTTTAAAATTCTGATCAATCTTTCGGCCGAAGGCTTAAAAGCATCGGAAGAGCCAAGGGATGTGACTTCATTGTAAAGGCAGGAAATTACCTCCCGATTGCCTGGCTTTTTGGCAATACTTGCTTCTAATGATCCTGTGCCATCATCAATCAAGTATTTATTGAAGTAGTCGTTGTGGGTTCCAAATCCAGCCACAAAACCATAAACAATACAGGTGCGAAAATGTATCGGAGCTCCATTATTATTATGTGTTATAAAAACATGTTCCCTTTCTGAATCTTCAGTTGCCCGCAATATGTGCATTAGTGTTAGGGGTATATCTTCGTAGATCTTTGCGCGAGACTCGGCTGAATCAGTGGACTTTCCTTGTTGTTGCTTTCTCCGAATGACGAAATTCTCCAGCTGATCTTCAACATCATCGAAACCGCAGTTTATTTCCATTTGAGTTGATTAGTCAACTGGAATTTAAAAAAGGAACATGTATTTTACATCAGCTTCAAGCTAAGGCAGATGTGAGCATGGGCGTAGTCATATTTATTTGGGGGTGCTTGTCGGACCCAATATTATTTGAAAAACGTATGTCTTCCAAATTGTATTTCATTTTTAAAAAGCTAACATTTAGACATTTTGTTAATGAATGATGAATAGTTTGCAAGAGGGGCGCTCGCAACACCCATGGTTCTGCATAAGCTGATTATCGTTATCGAGCTCATGGATATGGTATAATCAAGGGGTTGATATTTACAAGTTTCACTATTTTATTGTTTAGTTAAAAATTAATATTGTTAGTGACAATATCAATTGAGTTTAGCTAAACATAACAAATACCAAACATATATGTTAAACCTAAAATTAAAAAGTGTTGAAGTATACCCATTTTGATTTAATTTTAGTTTGCTATAAAAATGTTAAAACATTACGAAAATTTGTGTGTATACAAAAACTGACTCTGAATACGTTAGATTTAATATTAATACATTTTTAATAATCGCAAAATAATGTATATCCAAAGAACTATAACCCCTTCTTAAAAACTCAAGATTTATTGACTACGCCACTGAACAATTTTTTTTTAGGTTTTTTAACGGTCTCCAGATAGTAAATATAAGATTACCAAAATTTAAAAATTATAAAAAAAAATATTTTATATATTTAAATGTTTATTTCACCACCAAGGGAAATAAAATAAAAAAACACAAGTTGGCAGCACCGCAATTGGGCATTGTGTCGCTTGTGAAATTGAGCCGAGAAAGGAAGTACACTTTGTGCAAAAGTAACAATCGCATTATCTGGTGCTCTTGGAATGTCTGGTGGTCCATCTATAACGATAAAAAGCCAACCCATCGATGGTAACAACACTGGGAATGCTGCGGCGCAGCAGCAGCAGCAGGCAAATGCGAATGGCGCAGCAACTTCTGGGGCATCTGGAGGCCCTGGCTCCGCAGTGCAGGCCCAAAATCTAGGAAACGCGGGAGCAGTAGGTGGCGGAACTGCTCCGGCAGAGGGAACCCGGCAGAACAGCCTGCAGAGGATCCAGCAGCGCAAGCAGAAGGTCTACAATCTGCCTGTGCCCCAGAAACTGGCCAAACTATCCATGTACTCCGCCTGCCAGTCGGAAGGATGCCGCTGCACCGGATGGAAAACCCCGCAGGAGAACCGCCACCGCGATGTGGAGTCCTCCTACTGTCCGGAGTTCAACGAGGAGTGCCGAAACGCCAGCTGCCGCCATTCCTTGCGGTCGCACATCGTCCATCTGGACAATATCTCCAGTTCCGACATGGACGAGCTGCTGGGCGCAATAATAGACATGGAAAACCTTTTCATGTCCATGCAGCGCGTCGAGGATGAGGACACGAAGAAGGTGTACCTGTATCTCTTCCGCCTATTGCGCCAGTGCGTCCTGACGCGCCAACAGGCCGTGATCCGCGGTCCTCTGGGAGATCCACCATTCGAGTCGCCCTGCATCACCAAGGCGGTGCTATCACTGGTCTTCTATAAGTATAACCACCTCAACCAGACTGAACTACAAACCATGACCGAGGTGGCCAAGACGTTTCTGAACTTTCTGAATCACTACAACTTTGAGTCGCCATCAACTAGAAGGGGAGATCTCACCCACGAGGATGCGTCAAATTACAAGATCAACTATACGCGATGGTTGGTTTTCTGCCACGTTCCCGCCTTCTGCAACTCCCTGCGCCAATTTGAAACGTCACTAGTCTTTGGACGAACACTCCTTCGCACAGTTTTTCAGTACATGTCCCAGCAGCTCAAAAAGAAGTGCATCTCGGAGCGGGATCGCTTTCCCGAGGATAAGCGCTCAATCATCACGCAGATGCCCAAGTTTTTGGAGGCCCTTCGCGCCGAATTGCTGAAGGATGACTCTCCCATCTGGGATCCCAACTACCGGCCACCGAACTCGTTCGTTATCCAGCAGAGAAAGCGACATCAGGAGGTGGCGCCCGCAGTTCCAGGTGCCAGTGTAGCAACCATTGCTGGCGCTAAGCGTGTCAGCGTGGGCGAACCTCTGCACAAGAGAATCAAAAAGGAGCCCACAGACCGATGCAGCAGGTTGGTAATCGTAATCTACTTAAATGTCTGTTATTAATGGTTCTTCCCCAGTGAGAGTTTGGATGATTTGCCCTCGGATGTTGTGATGCGGGCCATGAAATCGGTGTCGGAGTCGAAGACCACCAACAAAGCAGAGATACTCTTCCCGGTGAATGTTTCCCGCGATGAGAATGTTAAGGCGGAGGAGCAGAAGCGGGCCATCGAGTTCCATGTGGTGGGCAACTCGCTGACCAAGCCGGTGGAGAAACAGACAGTTCTGTGGCTCCTAGGGCTGCAGCTTGTGTTCGCCTATCAGTTACCCGAAATGCCCCGCGAGTATATCAGTCAGTTGGTCTTCGACACCAAGCACAAAACTTTGGCGCTCATCAAGGAGAAGCAGCCCATCGGTGGCATATGTTTTCGCCCGTTCCCATCGCAGGGATTCACGGAGATCGTGTTCTGTGCGGTCACCATGTCGGAACAAGTGAAGGGCTATGGAACGCACTTGATGAACCACCTTAAAGACTACAGTATCCAAAGAGGTATCAAACATCTGCTCACATTCGCCGATTGCGATGCCATTGGGTACTTTAAGAAACAGGGTTTCTCCAAGGACATTAAGCTGGCGCGTCCAGTTTATGCTGGTTACATCAAGGAGTACGATAGCGCCACTTTGATGCACTGCGAGCTGCATCCGAGTATTGTGAACACTCAATTTATTGCCGGTTAGTTGATCACCAAAGGGGAATTAAGGTCATATTTTACGCTTCGTTTTTTATTTTCAGTGATTCGCAATCAGAGCGAGATTCTGAAAGAATTGATTGCCCAGCGGCACAGTGAGGTGCAAAAAGTCAGACCCGGTCTGAATTGTTTTAAGGAAGGTTTGCCCTCCATACCCGTTGAGTCGATTCCTGGTCTGCGGGAGATCGGCTGGAAGCCGCAAATGCGTCCAGCAAGGTCTGCGCGACCCCTGGAGGAATCTTCCGATCCAGAGAAACTGGCCACGTCCTTTGCATCCGTGCTGCAGTCCGTGCGCCAGCACACCACCGCTTGGCCCTTCTTGCGTCCCGTGACTGCTGCCGAAGTTCCGGACTACTACGACCATATCAAGTATCCCATGGATCTTAAAACAATGGGCGAGCGCTTGAAGAAGGGATACTATCAAACACGCCGCCTCTTCATGGCGGACATGGCACGCATCTTTTCCAATTGTCGGTTCTATAACTCACCCGACACTGAGTATTATCGGTGTGCCAACTCCCTGGAGCGCTATTTCCAAACCAAAATGCGAGAGCTGGGACTGTGGGACAAATGATGCAGTGATTCTGAGGATCCTTGTATAAAACCGAATATTTAATCTTCACTAAAGGAGAGCATTATTTTCTCGTATTTATTTTAGAATTTCTGCGACAAAAGTGGATAATACTTGTGAACAAAAATGATATATGGATTAATCTTTTTCTGGAAACTATTAATTTAATCTTTTAAGCGCCTTGTCTTGTTCATTTAGACGGGCTTAAATCAGTTTTCTTTAGGAAAAATAAAACAGAACTTTCACTTATTAATTGTCAGGACCATCATTTGTATAGGGTAACAACCAGACATCCTAAAAAAAACCAAAGTTGGTTAAATGATTTGTAACCTCTACATTTTTTCTTAACTTTTTATTTCACTTTTGATTTCCTACATTCATTGTTTGCATGCTTTTAAAGTTAGGATTTCTCTTTGTTTTCGTTTGGTTTAGTAAACATTTGTTTAATAATGTCTGTTATAAAATTATACCGTATTTAATATTAGGGGCGGGAGTTAAATCGAATTTCTAGGTCATTGTACAAAGGCTCATGCATATATCCGAGGATTTAACGAGGTTTTTCTTTGTAGGCTCCGTCGAAAATTTCGAAAACTCTCGCAAATATGCCAATGGTACAATGAAAATGTTAACCGTAGTTGCTTACTGTTGAATTCAATTATCTTTTATTACATGGTATTAAGTTTTAATTTCAATATGTGGTAGTCTTTACAATTTAGCCATTACTTGCGAAACGTGTTTGCCGTGTTTAACTCGATAATTGCGTATTTATATACATACATACATATGTAGAGCTAATCAGGGTGAGCATATATGGAGATATACATATTACATACAATTAGATACATAATTTATGATTACATAATATTGAAATGTGTGGTGAATCCTCCTCCTCAGTTTCTGAAAGTGCGTGTTAACTACTGTCCTGCGATAACCAAACTTGGACTCTATTCGGCACTCGGCGGTTTGTGCTGAATTCAATACAAATATATATATCTGGATACAAGGATAACAAACAAATATCTAAAGGACTTCAGCTGGAAACATATGCATGCACACACGTAATTTTACTCGGTTTTCAAGGCCTCGATTTCAACCGGAGCTGCCAGTGATCACACAATCTTAACATTTACATCGAGAACATCGTATCGTTTCAAATCGTAAGTATAAATTCCATTGCAGGCGTTGCAAAAAACTGTGCACTTTTGTAGCCCAACCGAGATCAGAAAAAATAAACGGTACAAAAACTTTTCGACTTTTTCTGGCTGACTTCTAAATAATGAAAAATTTGCTACTGTTTCTTTTACATTTTCATTTGGAGACTTGACTTTTCACTCTTGAACTGCGCTGGATTGACTTTTTACAATTGTGCTTTTCCAACAAGCATTGCTGCCGATTTTATTTTCATTTTCATATTTAAAATGCTCTTAAATAATATAATTAAATGCTAGTAAAACGGTTCGAGTGTTGGTCGATCTTTTATGCCCACAAGAAATACAGTATTACAATTGTTTTTCTTTTCTCTTTCATTCAAATAAAAACATGTTAATTAGCTTTTATTTAAGTTTTGGGAATTCCATGGATTTAATTATTTTGCTCCATTAATTTCATTATTGTTAACGACTCCTCCGCTAATTCTCCGTGTTTCTGGTAAATTTTTTGTTTTGTTTTTTGTAGCTTTTTCATAAACTTATGCTTACTATGTTCTTCTCATCTATTACTAAATATATGTATGTATGTAGGCGTGCCATTATCTCCTCGTTATCATAACCGTGTTTTCTGCTCAGCGAAAGGCGTTGGAACCAGCCATTTACACAAAACCTAACAGATGGCCGGTTCACATTCACATTCACAGTCGCTAGTCGTTAAGCGTTAATCATTATCGCCAAGCACACGGTGTGGTGGGCGGGCAGCGGAGTGCGCCCGAGGACGTCGTGAGAATTATAACACTAATTTTAATTATACAAATATATTATGCCGTTAGATCCATAACTCGAAATTCCTGATAATAAGAGCCTGTGTGTCGTCGATCGTTCGGTCGGTCGGTTGATTGGGTTGCTTCGAATAATTAGCTTTGCAAAGAATAGGATATTTACTTTCATCTCAATTCGTTTCTATCAATTTTTATTTAAAGTGGTTGTCCACTGGCTGGGCGGCACTATTGAGCTGCAAAGATAAACACAGGTTTTTTAAATTTTCCGGGTTAAGAATAGATAATTGCTAACTCACAAACTGCCGCCACCTGTTGCGTCTGCTCGGGCAAGAGGGACGTCGACTTTGTCGTCGTGGTTGTGGCGTTGGGTGCATTCGAATCTGTGGCATTGGATCCTGCTCCCACATTGTTAGCCGCCTTCAGCGCTGCAGCTGTATTGGCATTCCCGTTGGTAATGTTTGGCATTCCGTTACCGCTACGGTTGCCGCCGCCGTTATTGCGATTGTTGCTCCTGTTGCGGAAGTTTCCACCGCCGCCCATGCGATAGTTGTTTCGGTTATATCCGGGCGCACCTCCGTACCCAGAGTTCATGCCTCCGTTGCCTGCTCCGCCCATGTTGCCATTGTTATTGTAGTAATGATTGCGTCCGCGGTAGCTGTTTGCATTATATTTAAATGATTAGATACTTTAGATAAGTGATTTCTTTGGCTGACTCACCTGCCCCGTCGCGTCGACGACACTCCGAAGGTTTCCGTGTTCAACTTGCGCTCCTGGCGCCAATCATTCTTCTTGTTCTTGCTGCGATCCTGGGCAGCTTCACACGAGATGTTGTCGAAGAACGATTTGGTCTTATCGTAGCACACAGCAACGTCATCCTCTTCGGGTTCGTGCTCGCCAGCGCCGGTCTCATTGCCAGAGTCATCCTTTTTGTCGGTCTCGCCATTCAACTAGAAATAGAGGATCCAAATGGTAAGTAACTTTAAAGTTTTGTATAACAGTTATAAAAGAAATACTTTTAAAGTATTTGGGAAACAAGTTTATTTTAGAATTAAATTATAAAGAAAGTTGTATGAACGACCTATATAAAATGTACTTCCCATAAATATAACTATATCAACAGCCGATTAGATCATGTATTTTCTATCATTTAAAAAAGCTTAAATACTAACTTTTAAAGCATAATAAAATGTGTTTGACTTACTGTATGAACGCCTTCAACCTTCTCACCCACCTGCTCATTGGTTGCAGTTGCAGTGGTTGCCGAAGAGTTTGTGGATGTCTTGGCGGTGGCATCCTCGGCCACCTTAAGCTTGGCCAGCTGGGTGCGCAGTTCTTCGAACTTATTGTTGGCTTGCTCAAAATCAAAATCGCCCTCGAACTTGATCTTGTTGCGAGGCTTGTTCTGATTAGCCGACTGTGGACGATAGCCCTGTAAATATAATCGCAAGGGGTAATTAATCCAGCTAGATGAACAAAAGTTTATAGAATTTGTACCTGATTGGGTCGCATGGGCCCTCTGGAACCCATTCCGCGATTACGCATCATCATGTTGTTCGAGTTCTGGCCACCGCGGTGCATGTTCCAGGCTGCGTTGTTACCACCTCCATTTCCGCCAGCTCCATTACCACCACCGTTTCCTCCTCGCTGCTGTTGCTGTTGCATGCCATTACCGCCGCCGCGATTACGCTGATTATTATTGTAATTGTTGCTGAAGTTGTTATCCATCTGACGGCCGGAGTCACGACGATCCCGCTGCTGGTGGTGCTGGTTGTAAAAGTCCGTGCCACTGCCGCCGCGCTGTTGCTGCTGTTGTTGCATGTTGTTGTGGCTGGAACCGCCGCCTCGCTGTTGCTGCGCCTGCTGCTGCTGCTGATTCTGGTGCTGCTGGTGGTTCTGGCGCTTATGACCTGCATCGCGTCCGTTGCCACCCTGGCCAGTGTTTTGTTGCTGGTGCAGTTGCTGCTGCTGCTGGGTCAGCTCCGCCGTGGGACTCACAATCAGGCTAATGGGCGTCGTGGAGCGCGAGGCTCCGGCCAGCATGTCTAAAACGGAAACTGTATACATAAAATGGACGCAACGAGGACGAAATGGAGGAGAGAATAATGCGTGCAGGCGCCAGTTAAAATTAGTTAAATTTTAAAATTCACAATTTAAAGAGGTGATCCTACTATATATGATTTGAAATGCTCTTTGAGATATTTGCCTTTCCCAATGAGAGCTCTTATTATTTTAGGCGCATCTGTAAGGGTTTTACTACTATATATTTTTTGATAAGACTAATCTATTTGTAAATGTTTAACTTGTCTAATTGCTATCAAAATTGTACATATTAAAAATGTTGCATAAAAGATATATGCAAAAAAAAAAATTATTTATATTAACACTTTTTTAAAACTTGTTTAAAAAATCAATATTTGTTATTAATATTGGACATATTCCTATCATCTAATCCTATCTTATCTATTACTTATCCATCACAATTTTAAAGATCAAATTTAATTTAAACTTATATTAAATGCAGAATTCTACAAGTATTTGGATAAAATAATCTCCAGAAAATAAACTCACTTGGCTGTTTTTGCTGCTGCGGCTTCTGCTGTTGCTGATTCCCACCGATGTGCATAAAGGGTCCGCTGCCTGGGGCTCCAGATCCCGGAGCAAGTGATCCGCCCGTATTGCCCACCATGTTGGCCAGATTGGGGCCGCCGAGGTTGCCGAACGGATTACCGTTGCCGTAGCCTGGGGCACCACCACCGGGAGCTCCTCCTCCGCCTGCGCCACCGCTACCACCTCCACCTGGCAACTGGGGCGGCTGCTGCTGCTGCGACGGTACCTGTTGCTGCTGCTGCGACGGAGCGCTCATCCCGCTGGGCATGGAAAAGTGTTGCGGCATCTGGGGCGGTCCGTTCTGGAGCTGCGCCTGCATGATCGCCGGGTCATTGTGGTGCGGCAGCGTATGGTTGTTGACGACGCGAATGTCCTTGATGTCCGATCCCCGGAAGAGGATATAGTCGTAGATCTGCGACTGCGGCGCTATCTGGAACTGGGTGTCCCGATCCTCAGTTCCGAAAGACCGCACTAGGATATGGAAAGATTTTATAATGTTAAAATATAAGATTCAATATTGTTTTGTCGATTTGGGGGTTTCATGAAAAGGTTCAAAACGGTTTTTTGAATATTTATTTATTTATTTAAATAAAAAAAGAATTTAGATTTTATAAAAGATTACTTAAACCTATTCGAAAATAAAGTTTTCTGATACGGGGGAACTTTTAAGGTATGTATTTCTCAGAGTTTAATTTCTATCAATTTAAAAATTTGGCAGAATGAACACAATGCATTATGTAATAAATTAAATTTAAAAAATGATAAGTTGAAATAGTGTAACCCATGTAAACCCATTAAGGTTAGACCGCGTTTCCAATTTAACCTCAACAGGGAAACGCATGTTTTGCCGGTATTTGTGCGTTCTCCTCTCTCCCCCTTTTCTCCTTTTTGCCTTCCAGGGCACTGACACTCGTAACGGGAGCCCGTGGATCCCGTTATCTGGCGCCAAATCGAAATTGTTTTTGCAAATAAACAAATTGCATTGGGGATTTGCAAGTGTGCGTGTGTATTTGTATGTGTGTCATGTAAAATGCAAAAGCAACACTGTACAGCAACAACAAGCGAGAGACAAAAACAGGCCAAAGCCAACATGACAAACAGAAAGCATAAGTGAGAGCAATAGCAAGGGAGAGAGAGCGGTAAATGCACTCTCACAGAGTATAAAATTACTGTAAAAACTAACAAAAAGAAACGAAAGAAAAAGAGGAGACACACACAAAAGAAATGGAAAGAATCCATTTTCTTTTTGATGAACCGTTTTTTTAAAGGGTTTTTTTTGGCGCAGATTACGGCACCCACACCGTAAATATAATTACGTGGGAGATTTCGAATACTTACCACTCGATAGCGCAATGGTGCACTCCTGCGGATCCACGGTGTACAGGCGGCCCTCATATCGAATGTCCGCCTTGGAAATGAGGCTGATTTTGGAGCCTAACTCCGGCAATCCCCCGCTCATCTTGGCTATTACTTCACTTCTCACTCACACCCGAAATACAGACTATTATTAAGTGTTTTTTGCCAACAGGCACACACGAATTTCTCTGGCCAAAAGCAAACAATTATAGCGAGCGCGACGACAACGATTTCTCGACGGATTTAGCCTTTGCTCTTCTTTTTTTTTCACACGCAATTGCCTTCCAGTTCCAGGTCGAATTTTCGGCCAATCGCCTTTCAGCCGCGTTTTCTTTTTGGACCTGCGTTTTCGCACAAGTGCGGCAAACTCTTTTCCAATGTCTGTGGTGCGGAACACACGGCTTTAAATGTGAAAATTGCAATTTTCGATGCACAAATCTTTGCTCCGTCCGTCTGCGAAAACCTACCCGTCGAAAATGAACGATTTTCGCTCGAGCGAGTGCGGCGTCGGGTGTTGGAAAGCGCGGGTGGAAAGCAGCGGCGATGGCAGCGAGGTAAAAATATTAACTATTTTTGTTTATTTGGTTAAAAGAAAATGGTGTAAGAGTCTACATGTTGGATAAAATGTGTAATGTGTTTATAAAATCGGTTTGTCAGTCTGAATTTCATAAATTAATGACGGTTGACCGGGCAACCCTGAGTGCAACCCTAAATACAACTCTGCATAGTCAGCGTGCACCCCTGGTTTTTTCGGCTTCTCTCGGCGCTTCTTTTTTTCCCCATTCAAAGCAAAACGGCGACTGAAATGCGCTGGCATTTTACGGGCTTCTGAATATTTAGTTTATGTGAAAAAGTAATAAATATAAGCAGCTCAATATGCCACCCAAACTGGAGCCAATCAGTGTGCGAACGGCGCGCCTAAACAACCTGATTTTGGGAAAAGGAGTTGGCGTCTGTGCGAAGCCTGCTGGAAATGCCACTGGATCGGGTGTATCAGCATCCACATCCGTCAGGAGGAGCGTTATTCCCGTAAGCACCACCAGCGCAGCCGTGGCGGAGGCCATCTGCCGCGAAGGACTCCTGGACGCATTCTGCCTGCTGTATAATGAGTGCGACAAGGATACACTGAAGAAGCGCGATCGCAACATAGCCGAGTTTGTCAACAAATGTGAGTCAACTACACTGGCCTAGCACTTAAACATTTTTTAAGGACCAGTGTTCTAAATCTGTCTAAATACTATTAAGTCAAGGCCTTATGTTGTTGAACAATGTTGTTCTGATCTCATATTACCCTTTCCTAATTTTAATATTAATTAAAATTAAATATATTGATTCTGGATACCAAATTGCATTAAATCCCAGGTCAGCTAATTCAAGCTGTAAAATGATAATGATTGTTATTACCTATTATTACTACTATACAATAACTCCATCCTCACCCAGTTCGTCCCATCGTGGAGGAGACCCGCAAACTTCGTGTGAATGCCGATGACTTTCTCATCAAGACGCTTATTGGGCAAGGATACTTTGGCAATGTGCATCTGGTGGTCGAGAGGCAAACAAATGATATATACGCCATGAAAAAGATCAAAAAGTCGGTGGTGACTACATCGCAAGTGAAGGAGGAACGAGATATCATGTCCACCCGCCATTCCGAGTGGCTTATCAATCTGCAATACGCTTTTCAGGTTAGTTACTTCAATAGTCTCATTTTATTCATTATAACATTTAATTCGAATCCTTCAGGACAACGATAACTTGTATCTGATCATGGAATACATGCCTGGCGGGGATCTGCTCAGCTTGATGTCTCGCCACGGTCCATTTGATGAAGATCTGGCTCGTTTCTACCTGGCCGAGCTCACAGTGGCTCTTCACACTTTGCACGAGATGGGCTACGTGCATCGGGATATAAAGCCGGAAAATATACTGATCGATCGTTTCGGGCACATCAAACTTGCTGATTTTGGTAACGCCGCTGCCCTGAATCGGGATGGTCACGTGCTGAGCTTGTCGCCCGTGGGAACTCCAGATTATATAGCTCCAGAGCTACTGCAGACCATATCCACTTACAAGCTGTCCAAGTCGATGCACGATGTGAGTAGAACTGTACGATCGCAGAGCATAAGATTTCCAGGGATTGCAGAGTCCATAACTAAAAGTTTAAAATCATTTAATAGGTAAGCTGCGATTACTGGTCCATGGGCATCATTGGCTACGAGTTAATCTGCGAGACAACACCTTTCCACGAAGATAACGTACATGAAACGTACTCCAAGATTCTCTCCCACTGCGAGGAGAGTCACTTGAAAGAGCTGATAAACTTTCCCAGCGATCTGAAAGTGTCGATTAACTACAGGAATCTGATTGAATCACTGGTCACGAATCCCTCGAAGCGATTGTCCTATGACCGTATTAAAAAACACCCTTTCTTTGACGATGTTCCGTGGAATTCCATTCGCTCCCAGGTGCCTCCCATCATACCAACTATTAAGTCCGACGACGATACCTCTAATTTCGAAGATGGAACTCGGCATAAAACCCGCAGAGAACAGGGACTTGCTAAAAAGTCACTCACGACAAACATGAAATCCAATGATTTTAGTGGCAAAGATCTGCCATTTATTGGTTATAGTTTTGTGCACATGGAAAAGTCAGCAATATCCACTACTTCCGATGAAAAGTTGCAGGAGAAACTGAAAGATCTGCTGCAGAAACTAAAGACCAGAGAGAATGAGATTTCCATGCTTAAACAAGATCTACTAAGAGCACAACAATCGCTTAAAAAGACCGATAACAAATCACAGGTCGTATCCGATGCTAAAATGGAAATTAAGAAGCTACAGCAAATTATAAAGGAGAAAACAATGGAGCTGACTAGTTGCAAGACGCAGATCAAGACTCTTCAGAGTTCGGCGAAAATAGACGAGGAAATGTGGTCCAAAAAGGAGTCTACCATAACCGATCTTCTTCGCCTGAATCGACAAAAGTATGAAGAAGCCAAAATCGCTTCGGAACAGCGTTATGAGAAACAATTGGCCGACAAAAAACAAGAGCTGGCGTCGACGTTGCAAAAGTTGGATGCCCGAGAACTGGAATTCAATGCCAAGTTTGAAGAGTGCAAGCATATTTCCATGAAATTGCAAAACTACAAGGATATGTTGCAGCAGCTCAAAGAGCAGAATCTTAAATCCGAGACCAATAACGAGGAGCAGAAGCGAAAAATTACCGAATCTTATGAACAAAAGCTGGCAGATCTTCGGAAAAAGGTGCGAGACTCGCAGGACACACATCGTCGTATGACAATGGAGATTAAGGAAATCCGTACTGAACTGGACGAGTCCATCTGTTCCAGCAAATCCACACAGGAAGCGAAGAACGCCACGGAGCGAAACATAGAGGAAATATTAAGGCGACTTAACCAGGAGATTTCCTCCAACAACGAGCTTCATGCGGAGAAGGTCAAACTAGAGACGAAGCTGCAGCTGAAGGAAAATGAAACTCAAGAAGTGAAAGCAGAATGTCATCGACTTGAGAGAGAACTTCAGGTAAGCGATTGTTAAATCAAGAATAAAAACTGCTATTATAATATTGGAGAATACTAATAGCAGGTTTATGATATCCATCCAAGCATGCTGTGCTTTTATTCTTTGAAGTTTCTGTCGAACTGAAAAAATGAAATGTCTTTAAACTTTAATTTTATTAAGTAAATTTAATTAATGTCATATTAAAATAGTTATACATTCAAATTAATTTATATTTTTTAAATTTTCTATTATATATTAAAATTTTACTTACTTAGCTTGCCGAGTGCCGCTGCCAGCTGGCTGAATCCTCGCTAGCTTCGCAAAACTCTCCATACGAAACTGCTCCCGGATCTTTGACCGAACTGAGCGCCATCGAAGACCAACTGCGTGCCGATTTGATAGCCGCCAAAGAGGGCGAAACCCACCAGAAGGGACGCGCCGATCAACTTCAAACGCTGGTCACTAAACTAGAGCAAATGCTGGAGCGATTCAACGAGCAGAGTCTTTCACCCACAAAATCCCACACCTTACGGAAGCAAGAAACCGAAACCGTGGGTGACATGCTTGAGCGACAAAACGAGAAATTGGAAGATAAATTGGCTGCCGTTCGGGAACAGATGATTGTGGAGCGTCAGGCGGCGCGTACAGCAAATCTTTCGCTCTGGAAGGTGGAAAAACAGCTCGAAGAAGCTTTGTCCGAGAAAAAGTTATTGTCCCGACGCATGGAGCTCACCGAGGATCGCATTAAAAAGGCACAAAATGCAAACGAGGAATCTCAGAGAATGCTAAAGTCATCCCAGGAGGAAACGCGCCAACGAGAATCCCGTATAGAAGAGCTGAAACAAGAACTGGCGGCCGCCAAAAGGGATGTCCTCAAGGAGCATCGCCAATGGGAAAAGGCCGAGCAGGAGCGTATGAAGTGCAGGTCGGAGATAATCGAGCACCTGGCTAATGTGCACAAACTAGAACAGCAGGAAAGTGAGTTGCGTCAGAAACTAAAGCAAATCCAAACCCGCTTTGATGGCTTATCCTTGGAGCACAAGACAACTATGCGGGAGTTGCAGGAGGAACGCGATCGATGCAGAATTGCCAATGATTCCAGCATGGGTTTGCAAAAAGAACTTAAACAACTCACGGAGAATTTCCAGAGGTTGAAATACGCTTGCAGCATTACTGATAACCAATTAACCGAGGTCGAATCCATGCTCAAATCGGAACAGGATCGGAATAAATCTCAAAAATCTCAACTAGAGATGCTTCATGGTAAATTGAGAGAGCGAAACGATCAATTGGCTGAGCTGCGGAAGGAACTATCTGCCATTGAATCTGAAAAGCGTCTTGCGGAGCAACGCGCCCAAGTTTTGACATCGGAAATCGAGGAACTTCGTCTAAACCTTAAAGAGCAGCAAAAGAAGCTGGTGGCGCAGCAGGATCAGCTGGTGGAACAGACAAACGTGCTGTTTGCCACCCAAGAGCGAGCTGATCTTCTGGACGGTCAAAATGCTAATTACGAAGTTCAGACTGCGGATTCTGATCGGGAAATGCTTAGTCTTAAAGAGGAAAATGCACGAATTTTAAGCGAACTCTTTCACAAGAAGGAGGAGGTGTGCAATCTTCAGGCGGATATAAGGGATTTGGAGTCAGCCCAAGCTGATTTGCACGCTGAGATTGATTCTCTTCAGGACACCTTGGCCGAGAAGGAACAGTTCTATGTGCAGCGCGATATCAAATCAAATGCAACTCTTGCCCAGCATAAAAAGCTGATTGACTACCTCCAGGTATAACTATTTAATATTTTTGGGAAATCTGTAAACAAAACTTTATCAAATTATTTTTAGCTTAAAGTGGAGGACCTATCCTCCAAGAAGAAGAAAACCCTGGCGGGTAAGCTGTTCGGTTCCAGCCACACAAACAAGGAGAATATAACACCCAACGATGTGGAGTCTTCTATTCTGTATCGTGCTCTTAAGGAGGAATTAAGGCGAGAGCAAAAGCTGTGTAGCATGTTGAAAGAGCAGGTGGCACAGTTGAATGGTGAGTTCTAAGGATTTACTTCTAAAATAATTGCATCTAATTTGTTGGTTATTTTAGGAACTGCCACTTTGCGCTCCCCTCGCAAATCAACGACTGTTAATGGCGACTCCGATGCGCCTAAACCAAGACCAGTTAGCATGGCCGCCCTGCCACGCTCTCCACAAAAGGTGCAGTTGCCTTTGAAGCGCACAACCAGCCAGGTTGAACTGAAGACCACGGAGAAGCTGACAAAATCAGTCAGTGCAGAGCAGGCCCATCACCGTTTCGAGCTGGCTCTGCAGGAGTCTAAAATAGATGCAGCCAATTGTGTAGTATGTGGCCAGGTCATTGTTGCCGGTTCGCCGTTTTGGAAATGCAAGGAGTGCAAAGATGTGACGCATCGAAAGTGCCGAGCCAATGTGCAGGGAGAGTGCGGAATCAAACCAACTGCACCATCAACTGATGACCTCAGCAGTATTCCATCTGTTTCGAGCTTAGATTTGAACAGTGTAGATGTTGCAGGTTCAACAACCAGCAGCGAGTATATAGGATCGCTGGTCTACAGTTCCGATGGACCGGGGGATCAGGCTGCTAAAAAGGAGATTGAAGTGAACTGCGCCTTCGAAGTGGCTGACCAGCAAATACTTCTCTTGGGCTGTAATACGGGATTGTATGCGTATCACTTGGACTCCCAGCGACTGGTGCACATTTCTGGGCTCGAGTCGGTTAGCTATATGTCTATCTGCAGGCGTCTGGCGAAGGCTATAATGGTGGGCACGGTAGGGGAAAAGCTCTACCAGTGTGACTACCGGCAGTTGGAGTCGCGTTGTCAGAGTTCCAATGCCTGTCATAAGCCAGTGTTGGAGACCTCCGCCATCGAACTGCCATTCGCCAATCGCACGCCTTCTGAGAAGTGGAAACTAGTGCTGATCTCGGAAGAGGCGGAGAACGCTTTGGATTCGGTTGCCATTGCTGCTACGTCCACAAGGATTGTCATCTTGAAGTACGACCTTAAGTTGCACATGTTTAAGCCCGTTCGAGCTTTGGACACCGCCACACCAGTCACCTCTATATTCTTCACACGTCACTCAGCTATTGTTACTTCGGATAAGTTTTACGAGATCGATTTGGACAATTATGCAGCCGAGGAGTTTGTGGATCTGTCAGATAAGTCGATGGAGAACACTGCCAAGTGTCAGCCCCTTACTGTTGTGCGAATTTCTCGACAGGAGTACCTCCTCTGCTTTGCGGAGTGTGGGGTCTTTGTAGATGAATTTGGCTGCAGGTCAAGGCCCTACGACTTGAACTGGGTCTACGCACCCACTGGTTTTGTTTACCGCGAACCTTTCTTATTTATTGCCCACTACCAAAGCGTTCAGATAGTCCGTTTGCATCGGTCCTTCAGCAAGGAACTGGCTAACGGGGACAATGCCTCGGAGACCTCTGAATCGCCGGAGTTGCAGCGCGTCTACTTGCCCCACTACATGCCTACTCTGCTGGCAAATAGTGGAGATGTCAACCTGTATGCCGTGTCGATTGATCAGAGACCTTGCAATGGAACACAGAAGATCTATCACTTCGACACGATGCAGGCGTTCAAGCAGAAGTTCAATGTCTCCATGGAGACCATTTCTTCGGTGGCCACTTCTGTGACTTTAGGCTCAGCGATGACAGGTGATAGTTTGTAGAACACGCCCCGATTTCAACGAAACGTATTATTTAAGCAACAAGAACAAAACGTAGTACTACAGTCTCAGTAGTAATTAAATGTAAGTTTTAGATACTTAAGGTACATTACAACTTCTAAAAAGTTTTATTTTTCATTCATCTTAATTTTCCAATGGACTCTCACAAATAACTTGACAATTTGTAAGCAGAATAACATTATTGTAATTTAAATTACTTTTTAAATACTTTTTGTGCTGTATACACAAATAAAACTTTCTCTACCACCAAAATCACACTTTCAAATGCAAATTTTCCTTTATAAATAAGGCAATAATTTACATAAATAATATATATTTATTTTTGATATCATTTCAATACTTACAGATTTTAAAAAATTGAGTATTTTAAAGGAACTATGTTTCAAGGTTTTTAATAAAAAAATAGCCCCACTTTATTTTGAAAATATTTTCCATCTTTTTATTTAAAGAAAAAGGATTTAACTATGATGTTTGGTTCAGTTTCGTTTTCTGAACCAACAACAATTTTTTTTGTATACAAAATTTAAATGTTTTAATTGTTTTAAAACCTTTTAGTCATTTTATCTCAGCTTATCTGGTTCCAAACATTTATGCAAATATTTCGCCTTGTAACATATTTAAATGGAATTCATCTCGATGTCTTCCTAACTATAAGGATTTATTCGGTATTTATGTTATTCGATTTCAATATTTTATTTTAAATCAGGAGGGATGGCTGTTCTGTTTAAATAAAATAATTTCGTGACATTTAGTCGCCAAGCTTTTGGGGGCTGATCCCAAGTAGCTTTTCGGCAGCAGCTTTTAATGTCCCGCAACGCGAAAGCCCCGGAAATGGAATCGTGGTGTTTGGTGTCTGCTCTGCTCTCCACTGGCATTACTGCGATTGAGGGGGTCGCCGATGGACGGCGCACTGCAGTACTGCCGTAAATTGTGATAATTGATTTCAATTTGTTCCACATGCCGGCTGAGTGGAGAGCCCTTCGCCAACGATGTTTAAATCAAAGAAGAGTAACTGCGCGAGTCGCATGGTCGCGGATTCCACTACCTTTGGAATGGAGGGTCGAGATGTGACCAGAACGACGATGATTTGTCGAGCCTGTTTGGTGCTCCTGGGACCCCAGGATGCCTCCTACAATCTGGACAGCGAACAGGACTTGGCAAGAAAGTATTACGGCTGCACTGGGGGCGATCCGGAAAAGAAGTTCCGCCTGCAGGATGAGGATTTGCCACCCCAGTTGGTCCTCAAAAGCATCTGCGAATGCTGCTACCAACTGGTGCAAAAGTTTCACGACTTTCAACGCATGTGCGAAGAGTCCTCGCGCAATTTTGAGAAGCTGCTACTAGACATCGACTTTGAATGCCTCAGGCAGCGGAATGATGCCATCAATATACCTGACTTGGATACCCCCTCGGAAAGTAACGAATCCACTAGCAATCAGGAAGCCCAAATGAACACAGCCTGCATCGAATCGAATGAGGAGATTGTGAGTTTTATCTAGGCACAAGTGTGCCTGCGCAATAATCTAATCTATAATCACATTCGGTGCTTGAGGTGTTGCCTAGCAGCAAAGACAACACATCCCCCTTCGCTGCCATAAACATAAACATTTTGGCGCTTGTTTGTGTTATACTATTTTTGTTTGTGTCTGAATGTTTGGTGGTGATAGCATTCGAAAAGGAGGCCGGTCTAATCTATTGGTTATTTTTAATTTTTTCCTTTACATATCGAACCATTTAATAAAATTAGGCTCTCAAATTATATGTGTATGTTCATTCAACATTTCCAGTTATATCTAGAACCCCGTGTATATAAGGTTCTGAAATTATAGTTTAGCTAAAACTTAATTGGCAACAGAGATTGCGTTTTATTTTGGTTGTTTGGCATTAGCTAATTATTTTAAAATAAGTAACTAAGTTGTACCACAGGGTATTATAATTTCATTCAATAGTTTGCAATAATAATATAAAACAAAACTTTCTGATAACAAAGGATAAAAATGTTAGGAAAGTAAATACTAAACCAAATGGGAACATTTTTAGTTCAATAGTTCATAATATTATTACCAATATTCTGGTAATTTATCTTTATATCATAGTGAATCGTCAAAAGACCGGATAGTTTTTAATATTCTGCAGCAGCCTAATGGCCATGAACTTCTTAGTCTTGAGGTTTTACTGCAATCACTTTATCTAACAAAACGATAAGATAAAAGGGGAATATATACATAACTTACTAGGTTTGTAGCTTAAATGTTCTTGTCTATATATTTAAAATAAATAAAAGGGTACATTTTAGTATAGATAAACATTAATCTTGTATACTCCATTTAAAAACTCTATAGTCACATACTTTTCGTTGGTTCCTTGTTTAGAATTATATATATTATTCTTTTTAATTCCAGGAGGAAGTGTTAATAATTGAAGACGAGACTGCCAAGCAGGATCTTGGAAAAGAGAAAATACCCACTTCGTCCTTTAGAAATGTTACAGGGGAAAGGAAGCGAAGAGTGAGACACACCCTAGAGTGCAATATATGCCACCGTGGCTTCTACAAATCGTCGCTGCTGAAGGCTCATATGATGCAGCATGAGGGTTTAAAACCGTATACCTGCGTCCTTTGCGGCAAGAGTTATGCGAGGGCCAATCTGCTAGACGCTCACCTGCGGGAGATGCATCACAATACCTTCGAGAGGGTAAACTATCCCTGCCCAACCTGCCATAAAGTGTACACAGCCGACCGAAGTCTCAAATATCACTTAAAAAGGGCACACCAAAGGAATCAAAAAATAGAATCTCCCGGTTCCATGCACATTTGTGAAGAGTGCGGAAAATCATTTGTGCGAAAGGCTCTCCTTACCCGCCACAAAAGGATCCATGCTAAAATGGAGGATCGAAGATACACCTGCGAGATCTGTGACCAAAGGTTCTACACCAAGGAGAACATGGTGGATCACCTGCAGCGCAAGCACGGAAATAAGAATCTACTCAGATGCCGACGGTGCGGACGTATATTCAGGACCAGATTATCCTTATCCACACACCTAAAAAAGCACGAGGATTTTGTAGTTCAATAATTAGTTTTATTTGTGGTTTCAATAACATCAAGCTAACTCAACTGTTACAATGATTCGAATTACTTGGAATTTAATACACCAGTAGTAGTTTGGGAGAATGCCGCATGAATGGAAATACTAAGACGAGTGGTTGGTTCGGTGAGGCTACTCTAAAATTAGCTAACATTCACATAATGGCCGGCGCAGCACAGTCGCTTAAAAATCATCAGTACAAAAGGTGGAGGTGATTTGACATATCTCCCGCTCGTTTCAAAATCATGCGTATAAAAACAATTAACTAAAATTTATGCTTAAGCTTAAAGAACGGACAGTTTTAAAATTACATTACCAATACATTCATATATCATTAATTTGTGGGGAGGAAAGAAAAATGAGAATATAAACCAGATTATCCGACTATCGATCGACAATTACGTAAGAAATGCACGGGGTTTTTTGTATTGCCAAAGAAGTATCAGCATGAAACGATGTGGTATCGGTGATTGATGATTGATTGGGCAGTAGGATCGGATGAGTGGAGTTGCTTGCACTATATGTAAATAAATACGCCGCAATATGAGCATAGGATATAGGACTTCTTCAAGCGCCAAACTCTAGGTGTCCTTGTGTTTCTCATAAAAGGCGTCTAAATATTTTTTGTACTCCTTTTGGTCGTTCCACATCATCGCGGCCTGCGCATTCAGTGGACTCTCATTGTTCGGCTCGCCCAGCAGGGATTGTATGGACAGCAGAATGGTGCGCACATCATAGAGGGCCGACCACTTGTCCTTCAAAATGTCCAGGCAAATGGCGCCCTGCAGATCAACGTTGGGATGGAAGCAGGAAGTCAGGAACTTGACCACGGGCGCTGCGTACGGATAGGAATTGGGGAAATCGAGGGACAGGCGGTATGTCTGCCCCGAATACACGGTATTCCGTGGACCCGCAATGGTGCCCACCCACTTGAAGATGTTCTCGCCATCCGGAAACGCCGATATTCCCTTCTCATTGGCCATCATCAGATTCATCAGTTCCTTGTGCAGTCTGTGGGGGATTAAGAGGGATTAGCTGGCGCGCTTCTCCACGGGGCAATCCCGACCATGTGCTACTACTTACCTTTTACTCACGGCGTGATTGTCTTTCACGGGCAAAGAGTCATCGCTATGCTTACTGCCCCCGCCCCCGGCTCCACCACTCTGTTCGGGGCTGATATTCTGCGCCATCGCTATATAGGATGCTATATGCTATATCCGCTATAAGGTACGCGCTATTGGGTTTACGGTATATATGCGTGTGCTAATTTTGCGCCCTTCGTGGCGAAGCGGCTTGGTTTGAATTCGATCTAATGATTATTATATGTACTGTATAGTGGAAATTTTGTTGATCGGTCCGAATACGCGTCTGTTGCTTTTTCGGATATTTTTTTCACTTTTGTGTGAAAACAAAATGGAAGGAGAACGAGAAGAAACTGTTTGGGCGTGCACAGGGTTGTATTTGAACGTTTGTAGGGGGAGTCGATATACTCGTGTGGTCACACTGGCAGAATGATAAGGGAAAATATAAAAAACAGTTACATATATTTCAGCTTATATTGGACAGTATAGGAAAAACCCTTCCATTTTATATTTATTATTTTTTTTTAATCATCGCCTGCATTTATTTCTTTTGGATCAATCTACATACTCCAAGAATCTGGACTAATTGGGGTTATCAGCTTGTCACTCGCCTAAGCCAAAAAAAAGATAAGAAAAATAGTTAAATTAAATTAGAATAAATAATGGCTCGTCATATGGCTGTATTAACTTTATTACATTTTTAAATTATAGTCCAGAGCTGCCGCCTGGAATTGGGCGCTGATCAACACTATTAGGTACACCATTTTTGTGTACGTATTTTATGTACGCACCTATTTCATCCCAAAACCAAAACATTGAAATTAATTTGAAAAAAATGGATGAAAATAGCTTGATCTATGGTCTAGAACTCCAGGCAAGAGCTTTAACGCCCCAATATGGTGAGAGCAACGATGTGTGCTTTTTTATTGCAACGAATTCCTTGAAACCCACGAATCAAGTGCATTTAATTCAGTACGAGGAGGAACAGGGAACTGTGCAATCAAAGGTAAATATAAGGCTTTACAAAACAATACTATATATATATAAATATATTACCAGGTCTTTGAGCATGCCTTGGGAGAAGTATGGAAACTAAATAGCTGCCCCCATAATGCCCGCCTGCTGGCATCCGTCTACAATGTTCAAAAAGGAGCTCAGGTCCTTACCCAATCGGCCTTATTTACTCTGCCAGAGGATCTGAACCCGGATCCGGAGCAACTGAAGTCAGAGTACTTGCCCTGGCAGCAGGTTGAGGTCCTTGACACCGAAGCCCTTGGAGAACGTGTGAAAACCATCGAATTCCATCCCAGCCAGGATAAGACTCTTGCCTGCGTGGTCGACAACAAGGTGGCGGTGATGCAGAGGGCAGAAGCCTCCACCCGCGTGGTGGCCGAGGTGCCCAGCAGCGGATCATCCAGTGGATCTGCCAAGCACACGCAGCATTTCACCACAGGCAAGTGGTCGCATCATCACCAGGGACACCAGTTCCTCACCCTCCACGATGGCCATCTAAGTGCCTACGACGTGCGGGACACCCAGCACTGTGCCTGGAGCATCAGCGATGCGCACGGGCAGATGGTGCGCGATCTGGACTGCAATCCCAACAAGCAGTGCCACCTTGTCACTGGCGGGGATGATGGCTACCTGAGGATCTGGGACTGCCGGATGCCCAAGGCTCCGGTATTCGAACGCTCTGATCACTCGCATTGGGTGTGGTCCGTGCGCTTTAACACATTTCACGACCAGCTGCTCCTTTCCAGCTCCAGTGACTGCAAGGTGCTGCTCACCTGCGCCGGATCAGTGAGTTCGGAAACTCAAGTCCAAGCGGGTCTAGATGACTCCAATTTCAGTGGTACAGAAACCGAAGAGAGGCACAAACTCTTGCCAGATGGACTACTGCAAACCTTCGATCAGCATGAGGATTCCGTTTACTGCGCGGAGTGGAGCAATGTGGATCCCTGGATCTTTGCTTCTCTTAGCTATGATGGAAGAGTCATAATCTCTAAGGTGCCCAAGCAGTACAAGTACCAGATTATATTTTAAGACATTTATAACTTAAGTTATACATATACCAGAAAAGTAAAGCTAACTAAACAGATTAAAGCTATTGTAATATATAATTGAAGCCATTAAGTTATTATACAGATACCACAAAACTAAAGCTAACTAAACGGGACAGGGTTCTTCAGCCTGTATCCTCGGATGTGCAGTCTGACGAGTCATTGGGATTGGCCGTTTCCACAGAGCAAACGCGTTTGATCAATTCGTTTTCGATCTCCACGGTGCCATTGTCAACGGCCTCCTCCATTTGCACGTATTCAATGGTGGCAGCACTTTTCTTGGTAGCTGTAGTAGATAACACAGGTTTTCCTGCCGCTGGAGCAGGTATTTCTGTGGCCTTTTTGGCCTGAGCTTCTGTGTCATCCTCGGCCTCCTCCGCCAAACTGCTCCTTTGAGGCTGGACTTCAGCGTAAATGGCGGGATACTGCAACTGCAGCTTCTGTTTAATGACTCGTATCTTGCGGAATATATAGTCCAGATCCTTTTTCATATCATTCAGGCATTTCACATGCCTTTTGAAATCCTCGCTCGCACTTTTCAGGCGACTCTGGGAAAGGGCATTACAATTTAGCAGCATCTCGTTGGTTTTCTCGAAGCGTTGAAGCCTGTACAATATTTTAATTACTTTACATACATATATAGTGCTTGTGGTAAAAGTAAAACTTACATTTGCTTTTGAGCCCTTATCATAGTTTCCACATCCCCCTGATTCACCATCCCTGCGAGACTCTGAATAAATGCCTCAGCCGCTGAATTCCCAAAACCAGTAAATGATTCCAAGTCTGGAGTGGCATCCTGAGATTGCTGCATATCCGTGATGCCCAAATGGCTCATGGTGTCCTATAAAAATAGATTTTACTAAAGTTCCAAATTAGAATTGATTTGTTTACTTACCTTTCGATGACTTTTTCTTTGTGACTATTTTAAAGGATTTCTGTTTGTGTTTTTGCCACAGATTATTAGTGTATGATTAAAAGCTTTCAATGTTTTTATGATTTTAATTGGCTCTTAAATTTAAATTTCTTTTAAAACTCTTTTTGTTTAGAATTTTGTAAGTTTATAAATGTATTTTCTAACATATGTTCTAGGTACAAGTTAAACAACAGTGCTGTAAAATGCTTAAGTGTAAAAAGCACAGTGCCGTCTTTTATAAGGGATATTTAAATAGTAGTGTACAATTATTAATTTTAGTTTGTTTTGAAACTCTATTTGTTTTTATTTGTATGTTTATGAATAGTTTAAGTACTAAAATTATGTGTATTGACTTTTTAACTTAATTTAAAAGACTTTAAATTTTCAAATTTAAAACATCGAATGTGGTGTTTTTGTTGCTGACGCTCTTCGGTCATACTAATTTAACCGGCTCCATTTTGCTAACAAATTATTTAATTTATTCTTAATTTGTTCGCTCAAAATGAAGCTTGCTCCGACCGTTAAACTGAACAATGGCTATGAAATGCCAATTTTGGGCCTGGGCACCTACAATGTAAGTTTATCTTTCAAACCCTGTGTGCCATATTAACATTGGTTATCAATCAAATGGCAGATATGTTCATGGAACATTCTACCTTCATTTCGCAATTGTGAAATTGTAAAAAGTAATTATGTTATCTGTAGCTAAAGAAATCTCGTTGTGAGGCTGCAGTTCGCCACGCCCTAGAGTTGGGTTATCGGCATATAGACACCGCCTATCTATATAGAAACGAAGGTATTATAGGCAAGGTGTTGGGCCAATTTATAGGCGACAGGATAATAAAGAGAGAACAGGTGTTTTTGGTCACAAAGGTAGGTTCTGGAATGAATAAAAAATGGCTGGAAGTTATAAATAGAGCTGAAATCGATATCCAATTAGCTATGGGACATATACCACGAACCACAGATGGTGAAATACGCCTGCGAAATGCAATTAAAGCTACTGGGCGTGGACTATATAGATCTATACCTGATTCACTCGCCTGTGGGTGTGCCATATATATCAGATGATGATCTGATGCCTCATTTGAATGGCGAACTAAGGACAAAGTGAGTTTTGGATAGAACAATACCCAGTCACAAAACTGATCTTCGGATTTCACAGCGATGTGGACTATTTGGACACCTATAAAAGCATGGAGCAACTGGTGGATTTGGGACTTGTTCGCAGCCTGGGATTGTCCAACTTCAATGCCAAACAACTGGAGAGATTGTTGGAAAGTTGCCAAATCAAACCTGTTGCTCTTCAAATCGAATGTCATCCGGAATTAGTGCAAATCCCATTGATAGAGCTCTGTAAACTGCATAATATCACCGTGGTTGCCTATTCACCATTGGGTCGTCCCAAAACCTGCAGACCCTTGCCCGAATACTACAATGATCCCAAAGTTCTGGCCTTGGCGGACAAATATGGAAAGACACCTGCTCAGATCGTACTAAGATACTTGGTATAAAAACTCAGAATATTAAAGAACTGAAGTTATTTAATAGCTCAAAAATACAAACGTTCCACAGATCGACATTGGCACGGTGCCGATCCCAAAAGCTGCCCAGCAGGTTCATCTTATCGAGAACCTTGATGTTTTCGATTTCCACTTGACGCCGGAGGAGCTGCTCCAACTTAGATCATTCAATATGGGCCGGAGAATCTGGAAGTTTGAGAAAGCTAAGAATCATCAGTACTACCCTTATTAGGAACAGGAAAATAGAATTAAGGGGAATAGATTATCACAAAATATTTAAGGTAAAATGGAATCTACAGTGAAAATATATACAAATTAAAGATACAGTAGTTATTGATAGAGTTTTTTGCCTTAATAAACTACGAATTCAAATATTTATGTAAAAATAATATTAATACTTATATACTATTATATATTTTGTGATAACGAGCGATAAAGTTCCAAATTGTGTTCCAATAGTGCTTACCTGAGAATACCATAATTTATATTATTCATTTAATTTCAAAGTCTTTCGTATCTTTCCCGAAGTTGGCGTCGTTGTTCTTCAATGTAATTGTGGATATTGTTTTGATTGGTCATTTCCCGATTTTCTAAAACTCTCACTGTGTTATCGCTGAAACGCACGTGGGGGGGTCTAAAGTAGTCATATATTGATCTACAAATACGCATTATAAAACACATTTCCGCTCCTGTTGAATAAAAAGTATTGATATTGAATTCGTTTTTTTTTTAAATTGCAGTCCAAGGACAACGAAGGCGAGGCTGCTATAAAGCACGCAATTGATGTGGGCTATCGTCATATAGATACTGCTTATTTCTACCAAAACGAGGCCGAAGTTGGAAAGGCGATCCGGGATAAAATTGAAGAGGGAGTGGTGAAGCGGGAGGATATTTTCCTTGTTACCAAGGTAAATAATAAGAACTAATTTTGGGTCGACATATTAATATTACTTTTCTTGCAGCTTTGGAATGTTTTCCACGATCCCGAGCGTGTTGAGAGCATTTGTCGCAAACAGTTGAGCAATTTTGGTTTGGATTACATCGATCTGTATCTTATGCACATGCCAGTGGGCTACAAATATGTTGACGAGGACACCCTTTTGCCAAAGAACGAGGATGACGTACTTCAGCTCAGCGATGTGGACTACCTGGATACCTACAAGGCCATGGAAAAGCTGGTTAAACTAGGACTGGTCCGCAGCATCGGTGTGTCCAACTTCAATAGCGAGCAGCTGGGACGAGTTTTGGCTAACTGTGAGATCAAGCCTGTTACTAATCAGGTGGAGTGCTCCCCTGCTCTCAACCAGAAGGCTTTGACAGCCTTTTGCAAGAAGAACGATGTAACTTTGACTGGATATACGCCTTTGGGAAAGCCCAAGCCTGATATCAAGAAGCCGGACTTTATCTATTCCCCAGAAGTGGCCGTTATTGCCAAAAAATACGGCAAAACTGCGCCGCAGGTTGTCTTGCGTTATTTGGTAATTATGAACATTTCTAATGGTATAAACGTCATCTAATTTATATTTTTTATATCAGGTTGGTCTGGGTGTAATCCCCATTCCCAAGTCATCGAATACTAACCGAATTTCTGAGAACTTCGATATCTTCGATTTTGAGTTAACTGCCGAGGAGGTGACCGTTCTCGATGGATATCACACTGGCGAACGTGTTGTGCCATTAAATTTAATCAAGGGCCTAAACCACAAATACTTTCCGTTTGCAATTGAATTTTAAAACTTCACAGCTACGTGTTTTTAAATAATGTCGAAATACAAAAATATATAATAAATTTTTTGCACATAAACCTTTGACAAAAATGTGAAGGCACGAGTACACTTATTCTTCCAAGACGACGTCATTGTGCTCTGGTTGCTCCATTAATCTATCTAGTTGCCAATGACCCGCTCACCTCCTTAGAAAGTATGAAATATCCAAATGGGAACATCAATCTTTGGCACGGCACGTTTGACATTCAAGCTGAAAGGTGAAAATGTTTGAATAAGACCAAATGAAAATATTACGCTTTTACGACTAATGGTAATATAAGCTGAGCAAACTTAAAGATCAGCAAGAGACAATTTACTCAGCTTAATTAAAATGTAAGTTACGACTGGAAAACACTACATTACCAGCATATTTAATTTATGTAAATATCTTTGAAAGTCATTGATATTTTTGCATTCTTAACGCAACTATTTCAATTAATGAATTATAAAAGAGTTGATTTGATACTTGTAATAATAAATAATATAATAATTTTATTACACATAAACCTATTACAAAAATTTGAAGTCACAAGTACACTTATTCTCCGTTGACAACGTCCATCTAGTTGTCAATAACCCGCTCACCTCCGAAGAAAGTAAAAAATATCCAAGAAAAGAAGAGCAAATGGGAGCATCGATCTTTGGAACGGCACGTTTGACATTCAAGCTGAAAGGTGTAAATGTTTGAATAGACCAAATGAAAATATTACGCTTTAACGACTAATGGTAATAGCTTAGCAAACTGAAAGATCATCAAAGCATTGTTCTTACCAACTAGCATTTTTCATTTAATTAAATAGTTAACAGTTTAATAGTTAGATAGATTTGCATTCTAAACAAAACAATTATTTAAATGAAGGAAATATGAAAGATTTTCATGAATAAAATATGCAGGTAATGTGCATTTAGGGTCATAATTTACATTTTAATTAAGCTGAGTAAACTGACTTCTGGTTATCTCTCTTCTTGTATACTTACATCGCTTTATAAAATAAAAAGAACCGATTTTAAGAGTAAGAATTTAAAAGTATAGTATTTAATGATAAGCAATTGGGATAAAATGTTCAAATTTATATTTGTATATAATTTATGGACCTTCACTAGATAAGAGCTATATAGAATCTCAAATACGTTTCTTGCTAAAAAATTGTAGTATTCAAGTCTTCTGACGAATATATATGTGATGAACAGCAGAGAATCTTAGGGCTTAAATATACATACGAAATTCGAGTTGAAGAATTAGGTGCGTGTGGGTTCATATAAATATAAAATTGTTATCCATTTATCTTGTTTGCGGCAAGAATTTTATTTTTCCCCTATTACTAGATCTAGTATTCTGATACTTACCAAAAATATCATGCGGAAGCTATTAGATGCGCTAACCGCAGAAATGAAGCATGAAAGTATTATGACTATTGGTTGATGTACCTATTACCTCCGCATGGCTAATTATTTTTGGATTGTTCAGTACATTTGGGTTAATCGCTGCTCGCGACCTTTGTAAATAGCACCTCAGCTTGGATTGACGTCACCCCAAAAAACTTGCAGATGCCCAGAGATAAATAAGATTAAAACGCGCTGAATGAAATTGGGGTCGTTTAGCCTTTGAGCCCGCTTAAAACTGTGACTAGGAAGCGAGGAAGGGATCCATGGGAGTTGAGTTTCTTGGCCCCAACGAGGCAATTAGAGGAGGATCTCTGGCATGCACCGCCACCTTGACCCAGGCCAAGAATAATGTAATAAAGACGATACCCTTTCGAAACCACTTTCCATGCTACCATGGCTATTCCCAAGTTCGGATTGGGCTCCGATTCGGTTGCTCCACTGCCTCTCCACTCAACAACAAACAAATCCCACTCAACCGACGAACTGAGTGAAATCGCTTCGGTCGAGAGCGAGGTTTAAATAAATTTTCAGTCCAAAAATTGGCAGTTTCGCTCAAAGCGTGCCCACGTTCACATCGTCGCCATTTGCGGAGCTCACACGGATATTCCGGCGATCAATTAGAGCCCGGAGCTTAGCCAGATCCCCTGCAACGCGTATAAATATTGTTATATAAGATTAGCAACTTGTGAAATCCCCAGTGCCAGTGCGTAAATCAAAAGTGAGTTGAGCCAAGAATTACCTCCATAGCATCATCTCAAATTAGCGGCGATGGGTAAAAAAAAGGATGGTTATCGTGCATTATGTAAAAGGCCCGAGAAAAGCTCGTGGCGGAGAAAAACTTTCGCTTTCACCAAGTACAGCTCTTTGCAGCTGTTGCGCATGCGCAGAGACACTTGCAGATTGCTACTGTTTACCTGGAACAACCAGGCCAGACTTTGATTACACAGGAAATTATTTAAATTTTCTATTAAAAAATGAAAAAAAAAATATATATAAAAAAAGAACATTTTTAATCTTAATGAAGTGGAGTTTCTCAAAATATTTGAGTTCAGCTAAGGAGGTTTTCTTAAGAAATACCTGAAATTCATTTGATTATGTTTCTTTAATTATTATTCCTTTATTTTATTAGAAAAGGATACATTTATACATATTTAATGCCAAATTTTAAGTTTTTTAAATAAGTTTCCGTTTCTAAAATTTTAATTCTAATATAAATTGGAATATATCTGATACAGGATCTGTCTCCTTTCGAACTATTTACCTTTGGTAAAAAGATTTAAGCTTTCAATTTATCCGATAAACATTTTCAAACCCTTTTTAAATTACAAATAAATACTATTGATTTCATATTCATTCTTCACACAAAAATTAAAAATATATTTAAAATTGTAATTTTACTATTTACATTTTTTTCAAAACTCTATACATTTTTCTCTGTGCATTAAGATAGATACTTGCACTAAAAAGTAGGTGTGCGTGGGTGTAACCAAACAAAAATCGTAATTTTTTTAGAGCCTTTTAATTACGCTTTATTGACCCACTGCAAGTGTTTCGGGCCAGTCAATTATTTTACGGCCGATAGTTTTGAGCGCCGAGAGTTTTGTAATTCTGTTTGCTGGCTTTATTGCCGAGCCACAAGAGGCCTGCAAGGTCTTCTCGGCTCGGCCGAAGTTGGCCAACACCGTAAAAGCCAAGTGGTTGGAAAACGTACTCGTACAATGCAATTTGTGCGGTTCGCATATAAATATTCATGGCAAGTGGCTATTGTGCAATTGCCAGGGACGCAGCCATCGACGTGACGATTTCCTTTGACCAATAGCCACGACCTCGACTGTAATTCTGGGTGCCATTAATATATTTAGTAAATCCCCTTCGGTGGTAACCAGTTGATCAGTTGGCCAGTTGGCCAGTTGCACTTAATGGAGTTTTAAGGCCCTGCCTTGACCAACGACTAGCCAAAATAGCCTTGAGCAAGCGAACGTGGTAGGACTGGCTAATGAATTCCGCTGATTACAGCGCCATTAGATTCTGACACATGAATATAAAGCGCTACTCATCCGGGGAACATTAGCGAACTTTGCCGTAATTGTGGCAAAATGCAATCTGCATGATAATCCGGAAAGGCAGATGCAAATCGCCAAGTCGTAAATTCGCCAGCTTGTCTATTCGTATTCGTTCGAAATTCGAAACTGAGCCAAAGCAAACCAATATTGCCAATGTGCACGGTCATGGGGTGGGATTGGGCAAGTGCACAGAGAGAAATAATGGGATACCGACAGCAAAAACCTTCGCCTTGACTTTGCCATAACTAATCTTTTGAAATATTGAAAGACAGTGAAATAAAATCTTGTTGAATGAAAATAGTTTACAATTACGTTTGGTTTACTGCAGACTATAATAAATTACAATAATTTATTAAGTGGGATATTAAATTACTTTATTTATTAAATTACAACATTTTGCAGATTTTTTAAAATCAAAATAAATTGAAGTTTAACAAGTAATAAATTGATTACATGAGTTTGATAACATTATTATCGAATCCAAATATATGAGAACTTAGGAACAATATAAGTTTTAAAGATTAAGATAAAATTAGATATAAAGTAATAGATTTTCCTCTATCATATCAATTATCAAATTAAATGCATATCAGAAATGTGGGATCATATTTTTTGTGTGAGAAATGTTTATATTTTTAACAATGTAATCACCCGATGTAAATCTGAACCTTATTTTTTCTGCGTGTAATGGGAGTGGATTGGGTCGATCGGTGGGATGGGAAAACCTGTTTTGAGCATTTCTCGGGCTTGCACTCTTTACTCTTACCAAAAGTCGGCGATATTGCTGCGGGATCCGTAAGACGTACTTTTCGGTTTGGCAGCTTTTATGCTGTGATATGATGTAACCAACGGGCTAATTGGCGGAGCGGAAAAGCAAAACGTGAAAGAAACGATAACGAAATTACAAATCGCATGTTTCAGTGGACAGTCAGCCATCTTCAGCACGGCATAAAAAATGATCGAATTACCAAAGCCCAACTTTCGAGCCATATATTATAGCATACTTAAATTGGACGTATTCAAAGCAGGGCAATTTTTTTATTTTTTTTTATTTTTACATAGCGATGGATCGATTGCGTTGGAAACTGTGTGAAGGCCATGAAAGTGAACCAACTGGTCATAAACAGTTTGTTGACCAAAAATAGTTGGACCAACGCCGTCGCCTTGTTTGCAAAGCCATCCGATCCGCAATTACAGGGCGGCCACTCCGCTGCTCGCATCTTTCTCTCGACCTTCGTCTGGGTTTTTACGACTAGAAATTTAAATGGGCTCTGAAATGACAAAACCCACCAAACATTCGATTCGTATGCAAAGCAGTCAGCCGGTCGGATTTTGGGTCACGGTCAATGGACCTGTGTAAGACCACAAAAAAAAGGGCGAAAAAAAAACTGCGGAAATGGCAGCATCTCTGCGGGATTAGCTAACTGAATTTAAACTAGTGTGGGCAGCATCTTCGACATTTGAGCCTCAAAAAAACGGTGGCCCACGCAAGCCATTGCACTCTAGTCGTCGATCCAAGCCAGTCCACCACAATCCAGTTCCCAGTTTTTTTTGTGTATTCCGGTCCCCTGACATTGTGCAGTCAAAAGTCAAGTGGGATTAATTGGTATGCATAGACGTATATGTATCTTGGATCTCTCGGGTTGTTGAGGTGGTCCAGTAAACTGCGGTGACCCTTGAGAGTTCGATGAATTTTAACATTTCGGATTGCACAATCGCCACTGACCAAGGGCAACCGGCCAATTAGAGTCGGTGGTGTCAGCCGTGAAGAAATCTGGCAGCGGCCACTGCCATTTCGGACCAATATTTCGCTTACAACCGGGCCAAAAATGCGGTTCGATGTGGTTAATTGATATTGTATCAACTCGGAATGCGCTTGGGTGGGAGATATATTTAAACTGCTTTTTATATTGCCAATATGAGTGCAAGCGATCCCAATTTAAGATAGTTGAGACTTTATTTAACTTTCATTTAGATTTATCTGTTCAAGTTTAAATCGATAATTAAAATCATCTGGGAAATAAGTTTATTACGATTTAGTCTTTAGTAATGCCGATGAATAGTTTTGTAAGCAAACAAATATTTAAGAAGCTACTATTATTTGTTTATTTATGAAAAAATATGTATTTATCAGTTGTGGAAAAAAATAACGTTTAGATGTCATTTGCTTATATTTGGAAATTAGATTAATAAAAAAACTTGACATTGTGACTATTTATTGAAATCATACGAAATATTGGCTGTTAAGACTTTTGATAGAAAGATTTAATAACTTTTGTAAAATATGGCTCATTTGTCAATTAGTTTTTCATTTGTTATTAGTTTTGTGATTTTTTCTGATTTTTATTAAAAGCTTTAGAAGATTACATCTCACAAATTTAACACATAAAAGAGTGCCCGTCATTCAAATTAATAATAAATAAATCGTTTGAAATTTCTGGAATAACAATAATAAAATTACAGATCCATGCAACATTAAGATCATTTTTTCAGTGTAATTAAAAGGGAAATTCAGTGTTTCGATCGTAAACATTTTAGGGAAATCGAGTTAAAATTTGGCAACTGTGCCTTACTAAAAGTGAAAGTGTTAATTGGACCGATAATAATTTAAGGTTTTCATTACTAATAAAAATCCGAGTTTGCATGATTGCTGTCTTGATTTCGACTAGGAAAGTTTTGTAATAGAATAGATAATTAAGATGTATTTTACTGTGCTCGAAACCGATGTGCTGTAAATTGAGTAATAGAATTGGGTAATTAAGACGTATTTTCCGTATATTTCAGTGCTCGAAACCGAGGTGCTGCAACAACCAAAGCTGAACGGACCGGCGGCAAGTACCGGTGGCGACTATGATTATCCATACGTTTGCGGATTGAGTTCGGCGATGAAGCAGGTGGCCAAGGAGGAGCTGCACGAGGACGAGAACATCCGGCGGCAGGCTCTGGCCCAGTTCCGCGAGTGGATCGACAAGCATCCGCACATCCGCAAGTGCCGCACGGATGCAGTTTTCCTGCTGCGCTTCCTGCGCACCAAGAAATTCTCAGTGCCGGCCGCCTGCGAAATGCTCGAGCGCTACTTAACCATCCGCCAGCTGTTCCCGCAGTGGTTCAAGCAGCTGGACATCAACGACCCGGCCATCAACGAGATCTTCGAGAACGGATACCTGGTGCCGCTGCCCCAAAGGGACTCCACCGGGCGCCAGGTCATCTTTTCCACGGCCGCCAAATTCGATCCCTATAAGGTAATAATCAACAGGTTATACAAAATGTTATAATTTCTGTTTCAAATGGAAATACCAAGTTTCTATACATAACGTAATTTTTTCTTACTTAATATGAAAATATATACTTTCTGGGTAATTTTTTCCCATTGGGAATTTACTATTTATATTGTCACAGTATAAAAGAAATTAATGATGTTTTTTGATCATCAATAGTGACCAAATGATCTATTAGCGTCTTATTAAATGATCAATAAGTAATAATAATGGTAATTAATTAGAACCCCCTCTAGTCGCTTAAAGCAATTTTACACCGAAATATGATCAGATAAATTTAAAAGTAAATAAGTAAAGCCAATTTGGCCATAATTATTTCTCTGTCGCATTGTTAAAAAGTCCCATGGATGCTCTCATAGTTTATTTGACTTTATAATCTTGGCATTAATCGAACATGTTTGTATTCAGTTTACTTCGGTGCAAATGGCTCGGGTGCACAGTCTGATCTGCGAGGCTCTATTGGACGATGAGGATTCCCAAGTGGCTGGATACGTGTACATCAACGATGAGAGTGGCATGAACATGGGCTTCGTCAGTCTGTGGTCCCTGACCGACCTGCGCAGCATTGTCAAGTGCATCCAGAACTCGACGCCCATGCGGCACAAGGAGACGCACTTCGTCAACATTCCGCACTACGCTAATCGGATCATCGAGCTGGGCGTGTCCATGCTGAGCGATAAGCTCAAGAAGCGAATCATTGTGAGTTAATACCTAAACAGAAAAAAATTATGAATTATTGGATATACCTTAATATAATATTGGATATATATATCGGATAAACAATAGATCATCAATTTTAAAATATAAAATTATATTAAACCACAATAGCTCATAAAATACATTTAAAATTTTAGCTTGCTTTTAGAAAATACGAATAATTGTACAGTACAAAATTCAAATTTTTTTAATAAATTTAATAGAGTTTTATTTATTAATGATAATATAGGGAAATATTTTATAAAATTCTAAATTTTCTTTCGTGTGATATTAGTATTTTTAATGCCTACTTCCAGGCTTATACGTTTTATTAATTATATTGTGATGATTAGTTCAGTAAATATGTTTGTAATTTAAATATTCTTTGTTTTAAAATGTTATTTTTAAATGAATGAATACTAATTTTTTATTTTCGTTTACAGGTCCACAAAAATGTTGACATCTTGAAGACAAAGATTGATCCTGCTATCCTGCCGAAGGAGTATGGTGGCACTGTGCCCATTGCTGACATGATCGCCGAGTTCAAACAGAAGCTGCTCAAGCGCCGGGCGGCGATCCTTGCTCTGGATGATATGCAGATCGAGATCACTAAGGATGCGGCCAACTTCGCCGGAAATGATATTGGAGATATCGATGCCGGAGTCGTGGGCAGCTTTAGGAAACTGGAGGTGGACTAGACTTTTCCGTCCAGCAATCTCCCATCTCCGTAGATTAAGATAGGATAGGTCAGGATACCATTGAGACAGTCGACAATACGCGCGGGCATGCACACTTCGTACCTATTTAAAAGCATCACCACTATATTGTATAACTAAGGTCTCGCCGGGGACTTCCCCGCCAATCCTCAGAACCCCAATAATGGATGGGGACTGTGATTGAGTTTCCCAGTTGTATATTCCATCCATGCGTTACGTTATGTTAAATGAATGTCTATTTAAATATATGTATATACTTATTCTTGTGAATTTGAATTATTTCAAAGTTTTTTAATTCAAAAACATGGTACATAGTCTAATGGTATTAACAGCGGGTTGGCTCAATATTGAAAAAATATAGATTTTTATTATAAACATATATTAAAATTTGAAAGAAGTACTTAATTTTAGAATAGCCTTATACCAATTTGGAAAAGTTATTCTTAATGAAACAAAAATTATGTTTTACTTTCTTCATATCAACCTTAAAAAACATTTAAGGTTAAACTGTTTTATAAAATTAGCTTGTGGTGATTTCATGCTGTTTTAAACCCCTTGATCATTAAGCTATAACTGTCTCTTTTTGGGCCCTGTTTTTGTTAAAAGACACACTTAAGTATTACACATCGAAAACGTTATGACGCATTGTTAGCAGCGACAGGAAACCACTTTGTTATCACCTCACCCATCTTCACAGTGAATGATTTCTTGACAAAACGGAGGAAGTAAATACCCCGTTTAAAACCAGTTATAATGCTTACGAAATTTCTTAATGAATTTTAACAAAATTAATCAAAGGAAAGTGACAATTTGTTTTGAAGAATTTTTTTCTTTTACTGTACAAACTCAAGTGACATATGCGTGAAAACATCCAAAAGTGGGTAGATTTGTGTGTGGGTGGCAATGTTGAGAAGACGAACGTTTCCCGTGCTACAAAGAAGACCCATTTGCGGTGGGGTAAGCTTTTGGGGGGAAACAGAGACAGAATCGTGCCACTGATCTACGTATTCCCATGGGGCATGTATTGTATATGGCTGCTGTTTTTTTTTTTAGCGCGATAACGGTGACACAAACGGCGTCGAGAGAATCTCAGTGCATTCTACAACCGCAAGAAGAGAACAAAAGTTCTTCGGCCTTAAGTGTGAGCGTTTGTTTGTGTCGACACTCGTAATAACAGTTGGGGCGAAAATAATAGTATTAACGAATAGACAATGATTTTTCCATTCTTAAAAGTTTAAGCTTGTAGTAAATTTTCTTTATTAAAAAAAAATTATTTTATTCTTGTTTATAAATTAAAGAAAAATGTTAACTTAACACAAATAATTATTAAATAACATTCCAAAAATATATTCAGATAAGTTTTATAATAGCAAAAAGTTGAGAAGCATAAAAGATTTCTGAAATCACGTAACCGACTAGTTGAACAGCCCCGCATTTCTAAACTGGGATAAACTGATAAACCGAATATTTGAAAACATACTTTGAAGGCAATACGTACAGTTAGTAAAACCAAAACAACTTTTTTTTCATTTCCTAGTCATACTATTTATTCTTTGATAACAATTTATTTGATTTAGTTATATTATTTTAGCCGCTGCTGTGGGTGTGAGCGCGCGAATGTGTGTCGGCATTATGATTGTACGCTTATTATTATGGCCGCATACGAAGTAATTTCCAAGTTAACTTTTCAGTTGATCGCTGGAACAGCTGGAGAACGCGAGCGTCTAGATCGGCAGTCCGATTCTCGTTCTTATTCTCGATTTAAGTCGTTAATTGCCTAAGTGCTAAGTGCTAAATGCTCCGCTTTGTGAACTGACCTCAAACACTTGTTGACATCTCAACATCGCGAGTTGGGTAATTCAGTGAAATTCTCCGGTTCAGCTGGTCTAGTTCATCTTTTTGGACTATTTGCTGTTTCCTCTTGTTTTGTGAAGTGCATCTAAAGCCAGTGATCTTAAGATACTTACCGACTTTTCCATATACATTTATAAGATTACCGCTCTCGCGTATCTAATTCCAACGTGGAGCTTTCCAGCGCCAATGTTTCCAGTGAACAGCTGATTGGAGAGCTTTGGGGTTTCTGTCTCTTTTGAGAGCACTGCACTTTGCAGAGAGATAGAGAGATAGAGAGTGAGAGAAAGAGAAAGAGGGGAATGTAGAGCAAGTTTTATCAGTTTGAAGTACGATTCACAGATAAGAAAAAGTCGGCGGAGGGTGTTAAGTCATTTACACAATTTATCGCTTCTTCGCTTTGCGCAATCGAATGGAAAAACGGATTGCATTGCATTATTCCGGAGTGTAGTAGAAACCGGTGAGCACGACAATCATGAACAAACTACGGGCTCTATTGCCCGGTCAACATTCGTCCTCCAATGGAGCTTCCCGGCATTCTGTGACTCTGGAACCGGAGATCGGATTCCAGATCACCATCGACACCCCCAAAAACGGGGATCAGAACAAGGGTTCTACGGCTGTGCCGGAGCTCAATGTCCACCTCATCGCCGCCCGTCATCTGCCCTCTCTGTTCGGCTTCAAGATCGTCCAGGGCTATTTGATAAAGGTAAATTAGTGCTAATTAGTCATGATATGAGGCATAGTTGCAAAAATAGCGTAAGATAAAACCACTCTAATTGACTGAAAATATATATTTGTTTGTTTTTTGAGCAACCTGATGAGTTCAATACAGTCTATGAGTTCGTAGAATTTTCATTTATTTTTAAATATACTAGGAAATATTTTTATTATCATTTATATTAGATTAGTTAAAAAACACTTACAGCAGAACATTTAGTGACGAATCTGTAGTTTACTTCCAAGCAAATCATTTCTATTTCATTAGAGTGATAAGAAACCATATAAAAAGTTTATTATTTTAATGAAATCATTAATTAAATTTATTATGAACACTCTTGACACTTGAAAGGGAAAAACCGCTTAAAGAATTTAAAGCTTATAATAAGGTACTATGAATAATATAATTCATTCATGCATAAGTAATGATTATGCACACTTTTACTTTTACATTTTTTTTCGCTTTTAAATAAATTAAACAAAATTTGTTTGTTTTCAATATCCATTAATTGGTTTCCATTCCTGTTTAATGTATTAATAGTTCTCCAAGAAGTAAGGAGTGCAAATTTAACAATTTAAAATCTTGTTAGAAAGGCAAATATTGTGTATAAATGTTTATTAAAAACCAAATTTCCAGATGTTGGCAAATAAATAATCAATCAAATTAAAATCAAATTTTTATAGCAAATAGTTTCACAATTTTGTTTTATTTTTGTTCTTTATTGAACACATTATGTTTAAGCGCCTTGCCAAGGCGTCTTTCCAAAGACCCTGAAAACATACTGAATTTTATTTATTAGTTTTATCTATTTCTGATTTTTCTCCTCCTCCATTACAGGTAAAGCTATTTCCCGGAACGAAACGCTTGGACAGCAGTATTCAGACAAACACGTGGCCAAAGTTCAATGAAAATTTCAAGTTTCCCTTGGTGCCAGATATCAAGTAAGTGTGATATATGAAGCGTTGACAGAGTTGCGTTATTATTATTCCTAAATGGTAATTGAATAGATCCTCCATGAAGCATGTTACGCGACGCAACACAAATGGTCAGACAAATAGCTCCGATCCGGAGCCAGAACAGCTCTTCTCCGGACAATTCGTCGTTTTCACCGTGTACGCACTATTGGAACTTCCGGCCGCAGTAAGTTGGTTGCACAAACCTCACAAACGTGAATTAAATTCCTTTCTTACCAGAACTTCAATCGCTTTAACAAGACATACCGCTCGCTAAAAGACAGAAGCACCAGCTTTGTCCAACGTTTTGTGGATCCAACTGCAAATACTCCAAATGACCCAAAGACTGAAAATGGAGGCAAGTCAAATGACAAAGGAAAGAAAAAGTCTGAGAGCGCAAGGGATGCGATGCCAGCGTTGACAATAAGCGAATCCCGCAGGAATATTGGTAATTATTTAGATTAAATAAAGTAAAATGGGGGACAAGAGAAATTTGTTGTGATTTTAAACGATTTTTAAAGTGCTCTAAAAGTGAACAATGCTTTGCATAAGTATATGGAAAAGCAAATAAACATTTTACTGCATACTTTTTGACACTATTCCATCTTAACTTATTATATTATATTAGTAAATTTGTTAAACGTATAGAATGCTGTCGTTAGAAATTTATAGGTTCATAGCTTAACATTAATAGGAGAAAAGGGGCTTGTAATTTTAATGGAAGACTTATACTGTGAAGTAACAAACCCTCACGTTTTTAGATTTAATTAGCCATATTTCTATCTCATATAATATATTAATTTCTATAGTTTACTAGAATGGAATCGAATTTTATATATTTGGAAGTCGTACAGTATATAACCCAATAAAACCGAAAGTCTTTAAATCTGATACAATTGGAACATCAAAATGTATATTTTTTTAAGGTATCTGTATCTGCTCTTCTTAGGATCCGTCACCTGTTACCTGGAATCCAAGCTCTTTGAACGCAACAGTCGAACGGGTTGTTATTCGACGGAAGAGCTGTGGCTGCCTATAAAAGATATCACCACAACGGTGGCCAAGTCGTCACCCAGCAACAACAACGTGAGTAGGAAAAACATATGTACCTGACCCAGAGTATTGCTAAACAAGTTCACCCGAACTTGGTGTTACAAAACAATGCGACATGGGCACTCCGAGTGTTTTCAAATGTAATGGAGATGTGTGCGCTTTAATTGTACAAAGTGAAAGCTTCCCGCTTGGGCGGGAAAAACACAAAAACAACATAGGCACCACAAATTTAAATGAAAGCAAATTTTTTAATTGCCGGCAAAAACAAAAAATTAATGTGCAAGTCGAGTCAATATTATTCCGGAAAAAATTAATTGAAAGCCAACCCTCATGCATTTTCCCTTTACCTAATGTCAATCTAAAAGGGGTTGCGATATCTGTAGAATTTTATATGTTTGAACTAATTTTCAGTATAGGTCAATTTATCAATTATCTTATCATGCCAATGCGATTTCAATTTGTTGACATACCCTATGAAAGTATAGCTTTTTAAGCCAAAATGGGAAGCATATCAAACCCCCTACCGTCAGCATAAAGTAAACAACATTTGGTTTACGAAATCCAATTATTGATAAAAGGTAACTGGTTGTAAAAACTGTAGATATTAGATAAAGTGGTGGTGCAGTTCATCATAGTATACTTAGGTATAAACACACTAATGCAATTATATTTAAAAGTTTATTAATTTCTACTAAATTTATATCTCTATTGATGTATTTTAGTTAGTTAACTCTGCCAAGGGCGTGGTTGAGGTGGCCCTCGAAGTACGCGACATTCTCGAATCCGAGTCACCTGCGGATTCACCAATGCTTCCACCAACGCCCTCGAACACGCCCACTTCGCCAAATCCACCTCCCATCCATTCGACTAACAATTGGCAAAAGATGACGGCAGAAGTTAAGCGGAAGATGGGCATCAGCAATGCCGGAAACTCCGACTCCGGTAGATACCAGCTCCGGGTGACCACAACGCGGATGCGGTGCTCCAACAAGGTCAAGGACGAACTGGAGGCCACGGCGAGTTCCGGAGTCTATGTGAAGACCACGGCCTTCGAGCACGGCATCTACATAGATGCATGGAAGTCCCCCATCTTCTTTCCCTCACTCTCCACCAAATGGGACGATGGATCCGGCGAGGGAACGATTGACATCCCGCTCCAGAGACTCGATCAGCTGGAGGCCATTGTCCTGCGGATCACGTTGGCCACCAAGAAGATGGGCAAGAAACTGGTCCTCGGCACGGTCATTATCGGCGGAGATCAGGCGGGTGATACGGGCTCCGAGCAGATGCGTCTTATCAGGGAATCTCCGCCTGGTCAACGGGTGGCCGCCTGGCACTGCTACCATTAAATCGAACTCAACTTTATTTTCTAACACTGTAAATAGTAAAAAAAATCTTTAGTTAATTCATATCAAAATTCCTTTGTGCATCTGCTCATATGTATTTGCTTTTCGATCGTTAAAAATATTAAATTTAATTGCGAATTGTAAAATGCTTCTTTGGGAAAGTTTGGCTCATTTAAACGTCTGTGGGGTGTAACACTTGGTTTACTGCCCGCTCTGTAATGGGAGTAGCCCTACAGAGAAAAAAACTGGTGTTTCACAGAATTTTCAGCATTAGTTTAGCTTAGGATTGATAGTAGAGGGTTAAAATAGGGTCTGTGTAGTTTGAACTTAAAGAAGAACTTAATTATGAAGTTGAAATTCAAGTACAAAATGGTATATTATTTATTAAATGAGCCTTCAATTTTGAAAAAATCATTTTTAGTAATGGAAAAACAGGTTTTTTTGAATAAAATGAAGTAGAATCAGTAAAGTTAGTTTTCAGTCTGTTTTTTTCAGTCTGGTTTGTTTTTTTTCATTATCATAAAGAATTTTATTTATGATTCAGATTTAGTTTTTAGCAAAACTTTTTCTATAATTTTTTGGATTGTGCTACTTGGCTTTTGCTATACTTTTTTGAAGTGTTCCTAATGTTTCTTAGGATAATTTTCCCCAGGTGTATTAGCAGCTTCGCTTCATTCGCAGTTCGCAGAAATGCTGGCAACATTTGTGCGTCTGCCTGGGATTTTCGCACCGATCCGTACGTTTTTCACCCGGTTCCAGTCCACTGTGCATCAGCCAACATGTGTGTGGAAAAAGTCAACGGCAAACGCGACGTTTTTCAGCTCGCCGCGGAGCGTTGGCGTTTCGCTCAGTTTTAGTTTCAGTCTCAGGTCTCAGTTCTCGAGAAGACGTCGGTTGGATCGGATCTGAACGGATCTTTACGGATCGAAACGGAACGGATAGGAAGCGGATCGGTTGTTTACGTTGCCATCGCGCATTGGAGTTTGCGAGGCGACATCCGACGTGGTTTATGCTTCTGTGCGTCTGGTTCTCCAATGTAAAAATAAAATTGCTCCAATATGTGTGCGCGAAACGGCTTCTGAAACATTTCTAAAAAAAATAACCCCGAGAGATACGAAAGATACGAAGTACGAACCAGGTAATCGGTGTTTCTAAACGGTTGACAGTTCAATATTAAAGTCATAAAAGCAAACGAATGGGCCTGTTATCCGTGTTTGTATGCAAAGTGCGTCGGTTTCTGTCGATTGGTTCTCCCCAAATGCTCCCAAGTCGCTAATCGAAGTGCAGCTGAAGGAGACATGGTGCCAAGTGATAAATGGAATAAAAAATGTTTCATTCATGAAAACAATCCGCGTTCACATAGGCACCCATGAACGCAGATGTATTTGGATCTGCACGCATGCTATTTTACAGATGCATTCAAAATAATAGCAATATGGGGCATTTTATAGCTGTGACTTAACGTTGTTTTGAAAGACAAAATTTCAAATGAATCTCTCAAGTGAATACTATAAATTTTATCAAAACTATACATTAGTATTCAGGAAAAATTCCATTTCCTAATAATTTATTATATTTTGTTCGAAATGAATCTTTTTGGGACATTTTAGTTTTGAAGAAGATATTTTGTGGTTGAAATATTTGGTTGTCTTGGAAATAAATAATTTGAATGGTACATATATTTTGATATGAATTTTTCATTGGAATTGAAAAACTTCTGAAAATATGTGCTTGTAATTCTTTTATTTTTTTTAACATGATGAACTAATGATAGTATTTATACAATGGGAATGTTTAATTGTTATGGGTTACAATTACAATCACCATTATGTTAGATCACATTTCCTTAACTATTATGCCTAAAAGTAAAACATATGTTATATTCAAGAAATTAGAAATCTTTTACCTTATTAAGGATGACTTCACCAAAGCTTAGATTAAAATTCGTTTATACTAAATTATTAATATCTTGCAAAGATTATTATTATTTTGACCCCATCTGTTGGTGCATATGTGTTTGAAATGCATTTAATTCATCTGTGGAAAATTGGGTGCCCTGGTGGTGCGGTGGGGAAGTGGATCATCCATGGGTGCGTGGATGTGATGTGGATGTGGATGCGGTGCCCGGATGATCGGATGCTGAATCTCTAGGGATGCTGGGATGTGGGATATGGGGTATGGGGAATGGGGTGTTGGAGGAGTCATTTCGTCGGCGTCTTTGCGATGCCATCGATGTCGATGAATTGTGCATTGGTGCCGCTGTGTGCGTGGATGCGAAGCATGATTTATTTCCAACACTTCCGCTAATACTCATGTGGCTGATGTGTCGCACAACGACGAATTTAATGCGTAGCCGATTACAAAAGGCTAGCTAATAAATTAAGCCAGCCCGAATCCGTACACAATACCAAAATGCCCAATACTGCCCACGAACTGCCCACTTAGTCAAGTAGATAAATAGGAAAAACAAAAGCCAAATGACACCGAACCCGAAGGCAGCGATTTGGTTTTTTAGTAGCTGGTCACGTCATTAAAATTGCATTTGGTTAAACGGGCCCGCGGACATGCAACACACACAACGACAGTTGATTGGCCATACCAGACATTCTGGCTAGCCGGCCAACAGCCAACAGGCCAAAACAAAAAATAAATCACGCAAATGCACAGAAAAAAACAACTCCATATTAGCATTTTTCGATGATGAATTCATACATATTAAAAGGATAACAAAACCATTTGTATCTGAATCACAATTTACATGACCTCTTGCTTATCTAAGTAAATATTATGCATAATGCGCTAAACTTGTTAAAAGGTTATAGAGATAACTTAGCGCTTTAGTGTTTATCAGAACAAATATAAATATAAAACCAAGGAACTGTATACCTTTACAATCTTGTTAGTTGTGCACATAAGTTCAATGAAATCACTTCGACCTTTTTTTGTGCGAGCTAATTATTATATTTGCAAGATAAATATGATTTAAAACATTTACTAGACATGATAAACAAATAAATTAAATCAAATTATATTTTTTCATGTTCTTTTCATAATATTTTATATTGAGTCATTATACACATATATTTCAGATATACAAATTTAGTTTTGAAAGTATCTCAACTTGTTTCAATCATATATGAGTCACTAGAAAAAACCACAGATATTATGAACATTTTTTCTCTGTGCCGGGAACTTTAGTGTCGATAAGCGGCTGGCCAAATCCAAATTTGTACATTTTCATTCATAAAAAATTGCGGTGGTCTACGCAGCGGCAATTTAGGCCCAAATAAAAAGTGGGAAAAATAGATAGACCACATACAGAGCGGGAGTGGGCGATCCGCCTAATTTTTGCGGAACTGGTAAACACATATTTGAGTACCCTTACTCACGCCATGGAATTTAATGAACTCTGGTCACTGGATACTCTGCCATCTGGGAAATATTATGATATTTATGAGACTCGCAATTATGACGCTGATTCGACCCCGTCATAGTTGATTTTTAATCGCACTTTGTCAAGGTAAGGCGGTACGGGGGCGTGGGCGGTGGGCGGTGGGGCGGGGCAACTACTGCGGTTTGTTTACACGGAATGGAACGGAACGGTTCGGATCGGAATGGGGAGGCGGTAGCGGAGCGGTACGGATCCGGAGGTTGTTGCTGCTCTGTTTGCTATGCGGACGCATCGCATTCTAAATTAAGAAACAGCGTCGCCCGAAGTACACACAAATGTACATAAATATTTTGTTTGAACGCTGGGGTGGACATTTCAGTAGTTTTCAAAACCGATCATTTAGCTATATCAGCAAAAATAACAGAGGGGATAAGTCCCGAAAAATTTTGACAATATGATTTGGGGTTTGTTATGATTTGTTTCGGGTTTATTTTACTCTTTTAATACAACCAGAACGTGCAAAAATTGAGGAAATTTGAAACCTCCTTTTTAACCAATTGAAAAGAAAACATAAAGGATGCGTTATATAAATATAGATAAAGTACCGCAAAAATGAAAAAAAATTTTGCAAGATGTACAACATTTTTATTTAGTTATTTTTTTTATAAATTTATATATTATATATTTTTTTTAAAATTATTTATAAATTATTCCAACTAAATTTAATTACAAAAAAAAGGTTTAAATAACCTTTAAAATAATACCACCTTAATCTCACTTTAACTTTTATTACATTTGGCTAAGTGTAACAAATAGTAATTTCTATATATATTTATAGAAGTAATGTACATCTCAAACCACAAGGGTTATCATATCATTAGGGAAATCAGTTCATCCCAAACATAGTTTTGGGAAATATTGTATAAATCATTAATGTTTAACAGTGGGTGATGTCACATAGATATTGGTGGGGAAATGCCTCAATGTATAAATCATGTGTCGTCAGGTGTGTTAAAATAGTTTCTAGTGTTTTGTTTGTTGTGGAATTTCATTTCCATCAAACCGGCGAAAACATTCTTCACGCATCGCGAGTTACTCAATATTGGATGCTTATAAAATTGAATATATCCGCATGTTTGTTTAGTGGGCGCTGTATTCTCATTGTAAATAAATCACAACGAGTGATTGGTTCACCCCGGGAATTGGGTTTTGTATTTGTGGGTTTTGCTTTATTGTTGCACCAGGTTTATGGGAATTTAGCGCGGAATATAAATGGCCAATTGGCGAAAACCTGGTCAGGATGGCAGTATCGAATTTGGTCATTTGGAATAACCAGAATTGGCGAATGTGGGAGAGAGGATCGAATCGAGCGATGAATTCAGCCTGTTCCAGCGCATCTGACCTTATATGATCGTTGGTTAATATGGGGGCAGTTGGGGGATACTTGGGTGCCCGGGTATCTGCGTATCTGGATGTGCTGGCCAAGATTCAGTGTTGACGTAAGTACGAAGTACGCGTACTTGTGTTCTGGGACTACTTAACATTCCTCAGTGCAGTTTGTTAAAAAAGAATATAAGACCAGACCTTTTATACAAAACCCACTTATGCAGAAGCATAGCATCAAAAACACTCGGCATTCCGACAAAAAAAAAAAACCACATAGTTTATCTTTATGTTTTTAATTTTCGTTCTGCCAGCACTTCTCTGTTTGTAATTACATGTACGGATATGTAGCTAATTAATTTCACTTTTTTTCAGTTTTATTTTTTATTTTTTGCCCACGCTTTTGATCGCTTTGGGCTAAGGTCTCAGACAAGTTCAAATATTTGCTTTGTAGTTGGCAAAAGGCGGCCGCAGAGATTGGTAGTCGGGAGAACGGGCACCGAGTCAGTCACCAGATTCACCAGATCCACCAGATCCACCAGATCCACTAGATTCACCATCGGCATTGGCATCGTTTTGATTGTGCAGTGCGTGGGGGCACTCTATATGTTTTTGGATGATTTTACTTTGATGCAAATGAGCCGCTTAGTCAGGGTAAATTAGGCACTTAAAAGCATAATACAAGTACAGGTTCAAGTACGTCTGCTTGTGGGTGCATTATATAATTTAATTGGACTATCCCAGAGTGAAGAGGCATTTTTATGTTGGCTGAGTTGGGCAATCCTCTCGGTTCAGCATAATTGCTGTGCCGGGACACTTTTGAACTGTGCCATTTCGGAATAGTTATCTTATAGATATCTTAGCCCTTTCCTAACTATCAGGTATTTTTATAAATCTGAATTTTGACCCTTGTAAATATATTTAAATCTATGGGCATTTTTTATGCCTTTAGAAGTTTGAAGCAATAAATGTGTCTGATTCAAAGAAAAATTTTTAATTTCTTTCCTTTTCTATAATTACAAAATATAAAAAATCTTATCAATTTTATTAGTTACTTATTCTTAATAATTTCATAAATAAGAGTTTAGATAAGAGGTCCAAAAACCAAATAAAAGCTTCAATGAACTTCGGATTATAAAGAGTTCATACTTATATTTAAAGGTTGTGAGGGTACATTTTCTGTATTTAAAACAAAAGACTCCAAGGCTAAATTCCATAGGCTTCTGGAATACCCAAATACGTTTGTCAATCCAATCATTCCACTTACCCCACATTTTATTTCTATTTACAGTGCATTTGTCAGGGTCTTTGGATACACGGATTCGTTACGGTGGTATTACCGATCGGTTTTCGAACGACATCGAGACCATAAGCAATTGAGCATGAAAGTGGTGTGCTGGATTTTCGAATTCCTGACGGTGGTACAACTGCTGGTCGAAACTCAGGTGAGTGTATGGATCATGGATCGATCGATTTAGCCCACCCACTTGTCGAAACCGCATTACGTCAACCCGAAGCAATTCGATTCGATTGGGAACTGCTCGCGAACTGCGAGCTGCGAACTATTTACGAATGCAAGGTCAATTACCGCGACCAAATTAGTCGCAGTCTCGTTTTTCCATTGTTGAATTAAGGGGGTTCTCCATAGGTAAACACGAAATCGCCTCCGGAACGATATAGTTCTCCTTGAGCTTGAGGTGCAGAGCGGTTCGTATTTCCGCATGATTTGATGGGAATGTTTGGGTTTTCCATTTTCAAAATTTCCGTTTTGCCATGACCTACGTCTGGTTTCAAGTGAGGCACTTAATACCAGCCGATTTATTAGCACCTCATTATGCAAAGCTTGTGTGGCAAATACGCTCTAAATCATTGACTGTGTTCTTTTATTTATTTCGACTAATTTAAGTTGTAAAAACGGTCATTTAAATCATTCAGAGACACAATTAATTTAGTAATAGGTTAAAAAACAAATCTCTGATTATCCAGAACATCTGGTTCTGATAATGGCTTCCTGTTTTGGCAAAAACATTTTTTACAAAAACCAGATAAAAAAGTGAAAGAACTAAGTAGCAGCATAAATGAACTATTTTGTTGTTGGGTTACCAAATACGAGTACCGGTTATGGCAATATTAAGAAACTCAAAAAAATGCCGCCAAGAAGAAGATTTGAGAGGGAGTCATTGAACTAATAAAACTTTTTGGAACTGTCGTAAATTTTGAATCTCTTTCTAAGGTCAGAATGGCTTTAAAACAAACACCAGCCAAACCGGGTACTAAAATCAGTTCAGTAAATTTCCTTTAAGTATCAAGACTTTATTGTAAGGTTAGGTATTAGAAACATACCTTTAAGGAAAAATTTGAGAACGATATAATACGTATACCATACAAATTAAACTAGAGTGACTCCAAATTCATGTAAATAAAAACCCCCCATTTCTTGAAATATAAAATAATCAATTTTTCTTTATCTGGCTAGCAATGTTTATTTGTATAATTTGAGTAATTATTACTTAATATAAGAGTTAATGTGAGAGAACTACTAAATACTTATCAGTCAATATTAGAAGAAGTACGACTCTAAATGGTTCATGATCGCGTTCTAGGAAAATGTACGTAAATGCACTACATTTTATCTTTCTCAGACTTATTTACATGATTGACTCAGCCCTGAGCGCCAGTACTCCACTTACTGTGACCAGAACATGTCCAGTTTTATGGGCTAATGCAGCTGTAGGGCGTTGGTGAAGAGGTTATGGCAATCGGACGGTCCTCTACAGACGTCGAAGCCTATTTTAGACTGGGACGGATGCAGGGCTAGGGATCCGCCGGATCGGTCGGCGAAAAGCGTGAGTTATTTATAGTGCGGCGTCGCGTCGCCTGGCATCGCATTTGGAACTGGAGCCGGGACCGAACTGCATAATGGTGTACCAATGGTACTTTCCTCGGGGATCACAATGAGAACGCAGACACCAAACTGTCGAGAGCAATGACACTTCAAATAAAAAGCGGCGACATGTCTGATTTATAGTGGATGATGGGAAAAGAGGAAAGGAAGGGAGGAACGCGAATGTGGGCTCCTTGAGGGCACAGATCGCGTTTCACACTCGACCCCGTAAAATGGGAAACCCAAAACCCAATCTCTTACGTGTGCTTCCATTCTTGCAGAGTGGTCATGTGCAGGAGGCGAAGAGGGAGATAAGGGACGCGATGGGTCACCATCGGCATCATCACCATCACCATCAGTATCACGGATCGCATTGGGTGGACGGAAGGAGGGTGCACCGCCTCCGAGTGCCGCACCAGGAACGATGGAGTGGGCGGCGGAGGTCGCTCAACCACCACCAGCCCTTCAGCCGGTGGTCACAGTGGTCACCATGCGACGAGGAGTGCGTCAAGCGGCGGGAGCGGTTCTGCAAGGTGAAGCGCAAGTGTGGCCACACCAAGCACGTGGAGCAGAGCAAGTGCCGCCAGTGAGTATCACAAATAATTAAAAATACATTATTAATAGATAATACAAAAAATAGAGTCAAAAAGAAGTTCATTTTTAGAATTCGTTTAGCTATGCTCTTTATTGCCAATAACACCAGTTCGTTCAATAAAGAGTACAAGTTGCGGAAGTTTGATTTATGAAAGCTTAACTGTATTAACCTTTATTTAACCTTTATACATATTTATATAAATTTTCTTTCTTTTGTATACCTAAACAAATAATTCCGAAAAAAAACCATTACAAAAGAGGAGGTTAAGGATTGAATGACTTTAAAAACATGTTAAACTAAAAAGTAATTAGCTATAACTTATTTTGTTGAAATATGTTCTCAATTAAAACGTTCATTTATTGACTTATTTTTAAATACATTTAGCAAAAAATATGGCAGAAAAGTACATGTGCATTTATGAACATGGCTATTTTTAGCATTGGTTCACACAAATATTAAGAATATTTTTTAGACCATATTTTTTTGTTGGCTGTTTATTCTTAACGAGCTCTAATTTAGGCAGCGTCTCCCATTACATTGGCTGGCATATACTCGGAAAATCATTATTTTAAATTCGGTTCATACACTAGATCTCTTAAATAAAGAACTTAAGTGTATGATTTTTTTCTACAGTTGCCATCCTGCGCCTCCTATAAAGTGGCATCAGCCGATCATTTTGGACGACAGCCACATCCGCGAGAGAAACCATCCACAGCCGCAACCACAACCACAACCGCAGCCACCGCCTCCACCACCACCACCCCAATCGATAATCATAAATGCAGCGGCTGCGGCGTCTAGTGGACCCACCGTGGATTATCGATATACTGAATACAAGCCACCAGCAATATCGGCACCAGCTTATCCACCAACGCATCCCCCAATTTATGCACCTACTTATCCTTCTAATCATCCCTCAATATATGCACCTGCTTATCCTCCAACTCATCCTCCAACTCATCCTCCCACTCATCCCCCAACTCATCCTCCCACCCATCCTCCTACTCATCCTCCCACACATCCACCAACTGCTCCTCCAACTCCACCTCCGAAATCCGTGGAGTTGATTGATCATGAGCCGAGAGATCCCGGGCAGGATATATACAGCGAGGAGGAAGTGGAGGATGAAGCTCAAGAAGATGCCATAAGCTCCGATGAGCAGGGTGACTTTTATGTGCTCAAACATCATCGCCACAAAAGACGGCACAACCAGAGAAAGTCATCCCATAAAAAACGTCCAAAGGAAGACTATGATGACGATGACTTTGTGGACTTTAGCGAAAGAAGGCCACTGAGACCCAGAAATTTGGGAGAGGACTCTAGTGTGGAGGGGGATGTTTTTCAATACGAGGACTTCGATCTGGAGCCAGATACTATCTACACGGATTCGGAGGAATCCGACACCGAATTCCGAAATATCAGCTGGGTGCAGCCACCCAAGGATGGGTTGGTTCTTAGGCGGAGACGGGTCTATTCCAAATGGAGTCGATGGACCAAATGTTCTCCAAAGTGTACAACAAGGAGATACAAGTAAGTTGTAGGGAAAATTTAAATTTTAAATACTTTAATGGTTTGTCGTAAGATAAGACCGTAGATATTTATTTATATTATTGAATTTACGAATGATTTTTAATTATTCAATAAAAATTCTAGGGAATTGCCATTGATGATATTTCAGAGATTTTGTGTGATTGTGAATACTTATTTTTTCCCAAAATACAAAGAAAGCTATATAGATCAAAGAAATTGCTGCGATCTTAAAAAATTCTACAGAATTGCTTTTACAACGTTCGATTTTAAAACTATTAAAACGCATCTTGTTTTTTATACGATTAAGTCAATAATTATATCTTCTTAACCTTCAGAAAATGCCGGATCAACGATCAATGTGGCCGTGAGGTTCTCCGCGAGATCGCCTACTGCTACACGGAGGGCAGTTTCTGCCAGCAGTGGCTGCAGACGCAGTTCCAGAAGACACCCGCCTTCGAGACGAGACCGGGATCCGGATCCCCGGCGAATGCCTTGCGAAGGATGCAGTCCGAGCAGCCGGAAGTGTCTAGCAATGACCTGAACTACATTATGACGGGAAAGGGCTACCGAGGACCAGAGTACACCCCACTAAAACTGAGCTGCGGCATAGTTCGGAGTGCAACTGGACGAAGGAGCATGTCCAACATGCTGAAGATCATCGGAGGACGTGCGGCGAGGAAGGGCGAATGGCCTTGGCAGGTGGCCATCCTGAATCGCTTCAAAGAAGCTTTTTGTGGAGGCACCCTCATTGCTCCTAGATGGGTGCTAACAGCCGCACATTGTGTGAGGAAGGTGCTCTATGTTCGCATAGGTAAAAAAAAGGATACCCTACCAAAGAAATTAGAGAGTAATATGTTTCAAATTCCTTTCAGGTGAACACAACCTTAACTATGAGGACGGTACAGAGGTGCAGCTGAGGGTAATGAAGAGCTTTACACATCCCAATTTTGATAAACGTACGGTGGATAGCGATGTGGCATTGCTTAGGTAAGTACTATTAGTAAAAAAAATAAAAAAACAATATATTTAACATTAAACCAACTGAGAAGGTGCTCTTTTTATCCATATTCGATCCCCAAAAATATTTAAGCTCTGAATAATATAGACTATTTCCCGCAGGTTACCAAAAGCTGTCAATGCCACCACTTGGATTGGATACTCCTGTCTCCCGCAGCCTTTCCAGGCGCTTCCTAAGAACGTGGACTGCACGATAATTGGATGGGGAAAGCGGCGCAACCGGGATGCCACTGGAACCAGTGTGCTCCACAAGGCCACCGTGCCCATCATACCGATGCACAATTGCCGCCGGGTTTACTACGACTATACCATCACTAAGGTACTAGATAATGGATACTAATATGATTAATCTATAACTGATTTACATCTTCCAGAACATGTTTTGTGCCGGACATCAGAAGGGTCACATTGACACTTGTGCCGGAGATTCGGGAGGTCCTCTTCTATGCCGCGATACCACCAAACCCAATCATCCCTGGACCATCTTCGGCATCACCTCGTTTGGCGATGGATGCGCCCAGCGAAATAAGTTTGGCATCTACGCCAAGGTGCCCAATTACGTGGACTGGGTGTGGTCGGTTGTTAACTGCAATGGCAACTGCAAGATGCAGTAGCATCTCGGTGGGTACTTAGTAGTCGCGGATTTAAGTCCGTCAAGTTGCAGAGGCTGTGAAAAACTAATTTACACTTTAAGTGTCCGATCCGGGAGAGAAATCTTCGCTTGATCACCATGTCACAATTCATCATGTGCTCATTTTGCGATCCTAAAGCTAAATAACTAGAAGTTAAAATGCAGCAAAGTCGATTGTAAATGTAGACAACCAAATATTTATGTAATTAAATCTTTAAAAAAAGTCTTACTAATTGAAATTCTTAATTTCGCTGGGGTTGAATTTTCGTTTAACCCTCTTCTAATGTACATAACTAAAATCTTTACGTTATATGTTAAAAAGTTAATCATGATTCTCCTATAAGTTAAATATAATTAAATTTGTCTTAAGGGCAGACATGAATCTGAGATGGCAAGTAAAATAATATTCTAACTCTAATCTAACATACATTTTTATTAACCTGATGTCAGTGAAAAGTTTAAAGCCATAAGAACTGTAAATAATAAAAGTCACCATCTGTAATTTAAACGAAAAATACTCAGATCGATGCAACAAATTAAACACTATTAAATAGGCTTTAATGATTATAGTAACGAACTAGGCCCAAAATAAATAGAAAAATGGAATAAAGATCTTAGCAAAGGACTCTTTCCTTTTTGTCGTACCAAAGATTCACAGATATGTACATTACTTATTAGTTTATTATATTGGTGTTAAATGCTGCACAGTTTTGCTTCCACAATAAAACTATTTAACGTGATCCCTATACACTTTTTTTACTACTACGAGTACACAATGGATTATAAAAACAAACGATCACAATAGAGAGGTGAGTGCGTGGGCACACATGCAAATAATGTATCTGTATAAAAAACATTTCGTATAAAGAGCTACAAGAGTGGTTTGGACATATAAGCCCTAACAGATAGATGGGCATCCCAGATGCCTACCCTTCGGTTAGAAGATAGTGCAGGGCTACGGATGCCAAAAGAACCAGCAGGGCCACCGCAATTCCCACCATGTATAGGCTGCGCGAGAGTTCGGGCTTTGGCATCGAGCTGGGCATGATCCTGGAATCGTCTGTGCGATCGTTGCATGTATTCCCATTTATGAAGTTCGAGTCATCCGGCAGTCCTTCGGCCTCAACGGAAATGGTCTCTGGATCCAGTTCCACATCCAGAATCTGTTTGGCCTGGGCCACCACGACAGTGGGAGCTTCGCCACGGAATAAATACTCGGAGAACTGCACCACTGCTCCGGTCGATGTGCTGCTTCCTTCCGACGGCAGTCTGAAGAACACCCGCCTGGGTGGCTCACTGATGTATAAAGCCTCATTGGTCACATATGGATCCGTGAGACCATCGCAGTAGACTTGAATACGTGTGATTAGGGAACGCAGAACATCATCCCGCAGGAAACGCTTCACATCCGCAATACTGTTTCGAGGACTGCAGAACACCTTTGTGGCAATGATGCCGCTCATGCGCAATGCTCCATTAAATTCGCGCACCTTGATGTCCGTGGGTCTGCTCAGCTGGCATTTCACTGGGAGGACAATGCTCGCTCGAATGGGGTCCCCACCACCGATGGCTCCATCCGAGGCGAGCTGGGGCAGGGAGTCCGTCGTGTTGCTGGCGGCCGAAGTTGTCGTACCAGCCGTCGATGTGGGCTTCAGCTTGTCTACTTTGGACCTTTTCTTCTTGATATACGCCTGCAGATCGATTGTATCCTCTACTACCTCGTTTTGCAAGAATACTTCACTGGCCAGCAGGTTCTTGCGCACCGAGACGATAATGTTTTGGAACTGATCTTCGATGTTGACGCGTCGAGATGAATCCAATATGGGCAGCACGTCGTCAAGATCGTAGCTGCACTCCAGTTGAATCCACTCAAAGGGCTTGTCCACAAACCTGAACTCCATGTTGGAGAAAGTGCCACCGCTGTTAAAAGAAATACACGGCTTTATTTTATGTTTAAATAAGACAGCTTAAGAACAATCAAACTACCATATAACATTAACAATCCTAAAGGTTTACTAACACATAAAATGCATTCCAAGAAATAAGAAACGTAAGGGTAGGGAAAGCAAAGGAAGTGATTATTTGACATCAAACAGATAAAGTTATGAAAGTAGTTCTCAACATGTTAGTTACCATATGATGCATTTTATGTTTGCCGTAAAATACGTTTTTTTGCAATGTCTAGTTTTTAATTGTAAGCGATTCGTTTGGTGAAAGAAAGAATACACAGTGAGACCCGAATCTGCGATAAGGGGTTACGAATTCAATACTCACTTTCCATAGCTGTAGTTTTTGCAAAGCACTTTCTTGTCGGCCAGCGAATACGAGAGGAATACGAAATCAGTCTGTGCAATATCGGTGGTGTAGACACCAAAGGAGCTACTGCTTTTCAAGAGTAAGCTAGTTAGGGGAGATAAAAATCGTTAAAGATTGATTTGGGTTAAGTATTTTAAAGACTTACTCGTAGATATCTGAGAACAGCTTTTTGGCATTCTTAAATTCTGCGCTCTGCTCATTGACCACATCGGATCTCACTGAAGATACAAAAATTCCTGTAAATAAAAAAAATATTTTTAAAATTCGATTAGAATTATGGAGATAATGATTGCGTGCTTTTAAGGGTTCTCTCAAAAAGTTACCATAACAATTAAATTTTGATTCCTACTGTAACTTTTAGGAACCTAAATCATCCGATTTTCGGTGGAAAGATTTCGTACGGATTAAATCATATATTATGACTGTATATGCACATGTAAAATCAATGTTTCTGACTTGAAGTATCCACATCCACTTGCACATCGAAATACGTTATAATTTGTCTTTTAAAATAACTAAATTGTGTAGTTGGGTATAAGGAGTCTTTTTACACCATTATTGGTAACTCTTAGTCTTATTGTATATGTTGGCTGAGCTTGGAAATGGTTTCTACTCCCTGTTCCTATTTCATTTCCTAAGCAATCTATATTAATTAGCCTTCAATTTACGATTTCATATCCATGACGCCACTTGGGTGAGCAAGCGACGTATACTATACATATATGGGTTCTGCAACACCCGTTGCTATCTGTTAACTACATCTCATAAATAATATTCACTGGCATTTTACGAGTTCTGGGTAGGGCAGATAAAACTCCTGGGGGCATCACGCAAACCCACCGATGACGTCAAAGGATCCGGGACACATTTTACTGGCGCTCAACCACTGGGAGGCCAACGCCTGTGAGTTGATGTCCGAGATTGTGAGTCGTACGTCCGCGAGGTCCTCCAGATCGCCATCCTCCTCGTTGTTCCTGGCCAGGTGGACCACCACGCTCTTGGTCAAGTCAGCTTGCTATCGAACCCAAATCGAATGGGATCGCAGGGGGACATAGAGATATAGTTGAGCGGGGAACCAAACAAATCGACGTGGCGGATGTGACACTTACATGGCCCACAATTATCCCGTACGAGAACTGGTTTTCCTGTGCGCATTTCTCCAGGTACAGCTCGTCGGATTTGCTCAACAGCACTGTGCGCATCTTAAAGTAGGGTGTTTTCTTTAAATTTAATGTTAACTAAATTCGGTCTAAAATGACCAATTTATCAATGTAGCAATAGTGTGACCGTATCGACAAGCGGCTATATTTAGGGTCAAATAAGCGATGGATTGGTGGAGTAAATATTCCTATCGATATTTAACGGTGTCTTTTTCTACGAAGCACTCATCTCTAAGAAAACCGTTAAATTAAAGAATTTATTTGGAATTTTGAATGTTGGTTTTTCATTTCAATATTGCAAAGTAATATTATAAACGTGTTCTGAATTTTATATTTTAAATAATCCGTTACATTTCTAGGCAAACGTATGTTAATGAATAAAAGCAAAAACTTGAAAAATATTTGGGCTTAGGTCCCATTTATTTGTATAAATGGAAAATAATGCGAATTTGACTTATTTAATAATTATGTTCTCTAGTAAACATTTTCCTAATTGGATAAATCATTTAATTTCAGTTACATGACTGCTTAAGCTTTCTTCTTCAACACTGCTGACAGTAATGTAAATGTAATATATTCTTGCGAGAATTACCTTTACCTAAAATACATTTTTATTTAATTATTCTTGACTTCCCTAAGCTATTTATTTTATATTAGATTTCTTAAAATGATTGTGATTGTTATTTACTTAAGTCTATTTTACCAAACACACTTTTATATTTCCTACGATTTAATGAAAAGTGATTAGGTGCTTTTTCCCTGATCTCTGCCAATCCCATTAAGCTTAAAACTTAATTTACCTCCGTGGCTCATGAAAGTATGTAGTCCCCTCTTGGCGAGTTCTTCAATTAGGGCCCCAGCTCCATCTCCACATCCAGCTGCAGTGCATCTGCTGCCGTGGGGCGATTACGCACGAAATCTGGGCAAAGAGCGGACCCCATAAGTACGGCTCTGTGCCACCCAAATGGTCAAGTGATCGCCGGACTATGGCGCGAACGGACGCGATCGGTAATCGAATTAGGTAAACAAACACTCAATGAGGCGGGCGTACGTTGATAATGTGTGCATAAGCAAATAGGAGACGGGTCCTCTGGATGGAGGGGATCTCGAGGAGCGGGTTGCGATTGCGGCGGCGATGACGGGCCAAAAGTAAATGAAATTTCATTTAGGTGGTCGCCAACGGCTGCGGACCATCTGCTTGTGTGAATGCTTGATTGTTGAAGTGCCACTCGATGGGGCGAGGGCGCACGCTACTCGCAGGGTTTAACACTGTGGAAAAATCCAATACTATTTGTTATAAAATGCCTATTTATATTTTTGACAATATCATTTGATTTTTAGCTCATCAAAGGTATTTTTTAAATATTTATACCCGTTACTCGTAGAGTAAAAGGGTATATTGTATTCGTGCAAAAGTATGTAACAGCTAGAAGGAAGCGTTTCCGACCCTATAAAGTATATATATTCTTGATCAGGGTCACTAGCCGAGTCGATATAGCCATGTCCGTCTGTCCGTCTGTCCGTCTGTCCGTCTGTCTGTCCGTCTGTCTGTCCGTCCGTATGAACGCTGAGATCTTGGAAACTATAAAAGCTAGAAGATTGGCATTTTGCATGTAGATTTAAGGAGTTCCTACGCAGCGCAAGTTTGTTTCAAACTGGTACCACGCCCCCTTTAACGCCCACAATCGCTTATATACGATTTTAAAAATTTAAATATTTCGGAAAAGTAAAAATGCAGTTTTATTGTGTTTATCAATACCTATCGAAATGTAGAAGAAATTTTTCAAATCGGACCATTCGTTAAAAAGTTATGCGTGATCAAAGTTTCTATCTCCATCTCCCTCGCACTCCCTTTACCTGAGTAACGGGTATCTGATAGTCGGGGCACCCGACTATAGCGTTCTCTCTTGTTTTTCATTATAATGATTACATTGCTTTTCGATAAGATTTTTTTGAAAATTTAAACTGATTCTTTTACATTCTCAAAAACATTTTTAGCCCAAAGAAGAAAAAATCTGAAGAAAGTTATTAAATTTACCAATTGAAAACATTTCCCAATTTTAAATCTTATTGTTATGGTATTCAATTTGTTCATGTAAAAAATAAAAAGGGAAAAATGTGAAATAGTTGTGTATTCTGATGGTTAGTTATGTTCACTTATGATCAGGCGTGTATATATATATAATTTCATTGATGAAAATAAATTTACTTAAAATTTTTGAAAGTGCAGCGATCGGTATCCAGATATTATTTACTTAGTAAATTATTCCTGTTCGATTGTTTGCGTTTGCTCTGGATCTCTGGCATGAGGGCACTCGAACGTCATCGTCAGCAACGTTCATTCATGATTTGCCTTTCACAAATCGAAGAAACATATATGTGCGAGTGTGTGGCGCATTGTGCACTTTGCATTCGAACAGACAAATAAATACAAAGGCAGTTCTGATCAGCTTAGTGAGACATCTCATTATCGCCAGGTGAGTCGGAAAATCATACCGTACCGTTTCACATCCAGATTTGTGGACTTCTTCTTATTCTCATTCCGGAATCGATCCAGGTAATTGCTTTTTAACTCGCCTTTCAGCTTTCAACTTCAAATCCTGCAGCGCCGGGAGCCACTCAATTCGTGGGCTTTGATGCAATTTGGCTTCTGTGTGAGCCACTCTGCCATTTGGACCCTGTTCTGTGTGGCTCGCCGATCACGCCATGTGTAGTTTAGTTGCAGTTTCGATTCGCATCGGATTGCCTTGCCCAGGCAGCGCATCAATCATCCATCACGCACCAAAGACAACGACCTAGCCCGGCGGAGCAAACCTGAATGGCAATCGGCCCCATGCCACGCATGCGATTGCATCCAAGGTTCTGCCTCTGTCTGGGATTCTGGATGCAATTTGGCTACCTCGCTGAACTTGGGTTACTACTAAAATAACTTTGTATATAGCTAACAGAGGCTTTGAATTGTAGGTTAATACTTACTGAAATAGGCTTTCAAAGAGCAGGGTTGCGGATTTTTATTAACAATAAATGTTACTTTATTGTTAATAAAAATCCAAACCCCTGCCTATTTTAGTGCTTATATGGCTAATGGACAATTAGTAATTGTAATTCTTAAAAACAATTTTTTGTATTAATTTAGATATAGTTTATATTAAATTATTATACTTTTTTTTTAAGTTGTAAAAGTTTTCCAGTAAAGATCCTTATTTTTTAAATCGACTTACTATTAATTTTACAATTAGTAATTAATTAATTTGTTTGTTTAATGTTAAACGTTTTATATTAATTTGTGGTGATGTTTATTACAAATTTTTTCAGAAAATATACATTTTGTTTAAAAATACCATTCAAATGTTGTTATAAATAATGGGTTTTCTTAAACAAACTAACTAAAAACAATAGTATTTTTTGTTTTTTTTTAAATATCATTTTCGAGAAAAAAATTTAAACTAGATTCATTCATTCTAATGCTGAACTGGAATACATGGAGTAAGCTTAAATAAAACTCATTAGTATTTAACTAAAAAAAGTTAATCATAACCTGGCATTTAAAAGTGCCTACTTATTGGGGCCATGGACTAGGCGGTAATGTAAATGAAAATTAAATCCATCAATTAGCATAGAACAAAAAGAATTAAAAGGTCTTATGGGTAACAATTTCAACTGCACATTGAAATCTATTAATTATTGTGGTAAATTAGAAGTTAAATGCAACTAAAGGTTGACTTCCAACGCCTTATGTCCGAAGTTGATTTGTTTTTCATTAAAAAAACGAGGCTTCCCCAACTCCTCTTCTTCTTCTGTTTATTCTTCTTCTTTATTGTTCCCCAACTCTCTCTTTCTCACTCTCTGGCTAGCTCTTCTTCTTGCCAGTGCTTATACGAGTTTATAATTGTTTGATTTGTGTGCGCACAGTGCAACTTACTAGTTGTCCTACTCTATCATGCAAGAGCGAGAGAGAGCGAATGACTTCAACGGCCGCCATTATGAAAGTGCGGTACTCGCAAACCGGTTGGCGATTCGAAAAAACGCTCAAAAACCGAGTGAAACTGTTTGAGTGGAGTGGAGTGACCCGGGTGACCAGGTGAAATTCAAGCGCTCATTGTGCCGAGAGCAGCTTTCGCGTGAACAACGTTTCAACGGAGCGCAGTGTTCGGAAAATTTCAAAAAAAAAATTCTGATAAAAAAACAGTAACGTTCTCTAACTGTTTCTGCCGGGATCGGCTTGTGTGTGTGTGTGTTTGTGTGTGAGTAAGCAGCACGCTATGAATCCAATTGACCGCATTGCGTTTCCATTTCCGTTTCCGCTTGAACTCGCGTTCTCTATAATCGATACTTCTGCCTTGGATGTACGACATCTGTGACTGTGATTGTGACTGTTTTTTGTGCTCCACTTGCTGGAAAAATAATACCCACTATAACAAATAAAATTTAATAACAATAAATAAAGGCGAAATTGATTAGAGCGATTCATAGACATGTTGATTGAGCCGACTTTAAACCGTGACCTTGGCTCGCTTACTGTCGCTAATTCTGGCCTCTCGGCCGCGCACTGGAAAATGGAGCCCCATCCCCAACGCATCACATCGCTGGCCCCTCACGCTTCCAGTGGTAAGTGCATCCAAATGATCAGGTGTTTATTAGCCGACGGCAAAGCTAAGCTTGGGTGTTACCGTAAATTAATACCGCCCTGTGCTCAAACTAAAAACATGTAAATGAAATTAGGCCAAAGGTGTAATATTTCATTTGTCGGGGAAGCCATTAAGTTTGAATCAAACATTTAAAATATCGTGTCCTACAGTATAAAATGAAATGAAGTCAAAAACTAATTATACTAGTTTTCAACGAGGAGTGTTAAAAAGTTTTTAAAAACCAATACTCGTATATTTTGTCAACTGGTTTCACTGAAAATAAAAAAATCTATAAATGTTTGGGTAAAAAAATAGTTTTTTATAAAATATACAGAAAATTATTTTGACACTATTAAAGGATTTTTAAGGACATGTGTTTGTATTTATAATAGGTGTTGAATTAATATTTATGTATATGAAAGATCAGATCATTTTCGGTTAGAAAAGTTTATGTTATAAACAATCGAGAAATCAATTAAGTTGCTAACAAAGTGTCATGTGTTAAACTGAAAACTAAAACTCAAGCCTTATCAGAACCAAATTAGTTAAGTTCAAAGACATAATACATGTTTTTTTTTTCGGGCTTAGGTCTATAATTGAAATAATTTAAAACCGTTACGCATGTCTTAATGCCAAGTGCGTGGCTTATTTGCCAGCCCCATTTCCTTGGTTTTCAGCTTTCTAGACAAAAATAAACAAAACTGGTTCTCATTTGATGAGCGGCACAATTGATTATGAGCCCACATATATATATACAAGTTAGGGAGGACTTGAGGTAGTTGTATTTTTTAAAAAATATTGACTCGACAAACCACAAAGTGAAACGCGCATTTAAAACGCTAATTGACAATTTGAGCGACGAGTTGCCCAAGCCGAATGATATATGTATGTTTTTTAAGCGAATGCAAATACAATATTCTGTCGAATTAACGTAATACACAGTCGTTTCTTAGCCAGCTGAGTACATATATTTTAATTTTTGCCATTGTGCACTGGCAGCCCGTCGTTTCAATTAGCTTGATAAATCTGCCCAGAGACAGGAGATCGATTCGTTTGCGTGTCGCCACCATTTTGGCGATTAGATCGTCGATTGTTGTATTTGGTATTTGCCAGGGGATTGGGAACGGGAATAGGAACATATATATATATACTCGTAAAACCCATCAGTCATTTCGGTTCAGTCAACACAATTAACGGTTAATTTATCATAATTAACCATTGTGGCCGGGACAGCTAAAGCCACAATATAATGACAATGGCCAATTATCATTCAATTCGTTCAATTGCAGTAGCGGCGGCATCCGTGGCAGCAGCAGCAGCAGCGGCGGCGGCAGCGGCAGCAGCGGCGGGAGCGGGATCTGGAGCGGGAACGGGGGCCTCGACATCGCCCACATCTGTGCAAATACCGCCCGGCTTTGGCGGCGCCTCTGGAGTTCCACCGGGAGCAGGCGGACCGGCGGGGAGCACCCTCAACACCCTGATGTCGCAACATCGCCTCCTGGAATTCTCCCGATTCGGAGGACTGCGCGGTTACGACATCGCCCAGCACATGCTAACGCAGCAGGGTGCTGTCTCCAAGTTGCTAGGTGAGTTAAGAACCTAAGAAACATTTAATAAGGGAGAGAAAGGGGGAGACCCTTTCGTTCCGCCATCAGATAACTAATAGGCACTTTGTTTTCGATTTGTTTGCTAATTTTTATGATAAACATGTTATTATCCTGCGAGCAGGGTCCTCCACCTCCTCCTTTTCCGAGTTATCCCTGGTGTGCGCAGCCGTGTAATTTAGCCACTTAAAATTGCATAAACTCCTGGCTGGCGGTGGCCAAAACGCGGCTGGCTCATTAATCAAAATGCGGCTTATTCGAGGGCTTGTTCTCCGCGGTGGTGGTGGTTGTTGGTTGGTGCGTGCTGTCCTTGCACTGAGAAAAAATAACTATACGCTTTCAAAATACAAAGCACAAATATACACAAATAAAACTAGTTAAAATCGTTTTGGATTCAATCACAATAAATACTCTTTTATAACTGACAAAAAGTTCTTACATTGAAATTACATAAAATAAATAAATATGTTGAACTCCAAAACTTCTTTAGCTCAAGTTTTATTTAAGCTTGTTTATTTCTGTTAAAGACTTATATTACATTTTATATCTGGAAGGTTTCAATTAATCAAACTATTTTGAGTGTGTCAGGTTTTACCTTTTAAAATTTAATTCACCTCGTATTTAAATACGACCTTTTAAGCTACATATGTATATTACCAAATATAAATAAATAAAACTGAATCCCTATTTAATGGAAATACATTAGTTTTGAAAAATAGGTTAACAGCTTTTTATTACCTATTATTATTATTATTATCCTGGCGGTACATGTCTAAAGTTAAATAGCTAAGCGAAAAATAATAGCTAGTCAGATCCATCTTAGCAAATTTTGCAGTTAAATGAGATTCAATTTTATAATGTGGTTGATTTTCTCTCAGTGTATGAACCGAGGTACCAGGTAGTGTTTCCCCCCACATTTGCTCCGGAACACTTCATGTTGATGAGGCCAACAGATAAAGATATTAAAAACAAGGGATAATCCAGGCTGCCAGCCAATAGCCAACAAAACAGATGGATTGCCAAAATCGCGATCATAAATCGATTGTCTCATAATTTTTGCGTTGCTCTGATTTTTGCAGGCTCGCTGCGACCACCGGGCTTAATTGGTGGCTCAAAGCCCAAGGTGGCCACGCCGACGGTCGTCTCCAAGATCGAGCAGTACAAGCGCGAGAATCCGACGATCTTCGCCTGGGAGATACGCGAACGCCTGATCTCAGAGGGTGAGTCTTGAGTCCAATCCTATCCACATAATTGCAGCTAATCCCTGGGTGGGGAAGGGGATGGGGAGGGGATGGGATGGGAGGGGGGAAAACGGACGACCCAGATTGATCGCTGATTGATCGGCGGCCGCTTTTAGCTTTAATCTCTCGATCTCTGTATTGGATGGTTGGTAATTGCGTAATCCCGCCTTGCAGGTGTCTGCACCAATGCCACCGCTCCCTCGGTGAGCAGCATCAATCGCATCCTGCGCAACCGAGCCGCCGAGCGGGTGGCCACCGAGTTTGCCCGCACCGCCGCCTACGGCCTGTATCCGCCACCCCCGCACCCTTATGGCAGCTTCACCTGGCATCCGGCTGGAAATGTGCCGGGTGGCCAGGGTGTGGTGCCCCCGCCGCCGCCTCCATCCGCCCTGTGGTCCGTGGCCGCTCCCACGCTGGCCAATCTGCCGCCCAGTGCCGCCAGTGCGGTGTCAGCAGGGCCCACTTGTGGATCCCTGAGTTCGGCTCATCTTATGTCTGGTGGTGCAGGCGGTGGTGGTGGTGGACCCTCCAATCGGGCCATCTCACCTGGCTCGGGCAGCCACGATACCTTGGAATCGGCCGACGAGAACAGGCACATAGACTCCGATTACCTGGACGACGATGATGAGCCAAAGTTCAGGCGGAACAGGACCACCTTCAGTCCGGAGCAGTTGGAGGAGCTGGAGAAGGAGTTCGACAAGAGCCATTATCCTTGTGTGAGCACCAGGGAGAGGCTCTCCAGTCGCACCAGCTTGAGTGAGGCGCGTGTACAGGTGAGTCGGGTGGATATTGATCACTTATTTATTATATTTTCATATTTTTAAATATTTATTTTTCAATGTGTATAAGTCGCATATAAACTCAATTGACTATAAGGCCGTAGGCGATTGTTTAAATTGAAGTAACTATAGATCACTTAAACTTATTGCAAACATACAACATGTTTTGTTAAACTTGTTTAAAAATCTCTCTTTTTTAAAGATTTGTTATTAATGAAACTTAATGGTTATTAATTTTTTGTTTTTGCTATTCCAAAGACATTAGACTTTGTTGTTCAGTTCACAGAAACCTATAAATGTGTTTAAGAAACGAGTATGCAATAAACGTGAATAAAACAGCTATATTAAGTTGATCAATTCCGCTGATGGTATTGCATATTAATTTACAATCTCTATAAAAGATATGGCTAATCATTAAGTCAAAATTGAGAGCTAAACCATAATTCATAATACATTTTTCTTCGTCAGGTTTGGTTTTCCAATCGGCGGGCTAAATGGCGTCGCCACCAGCGCATGAATCTCCTGAAGCGCCAGCGCTCCAGTCCCGCCAATCCGCTGCACTCGCAGCAGTCGAACGATGCGCCGGCCGGTTCGCCCACGCCCAGTAATCACAGTAGTGCCTCCACCTCCGCTCCAGTGGCTCCGGTTCCGCCTCCCCAGCAACCGATGCCCCTGTGCGGGGATCACTCGCCGCAGGCTCCTCCGCCTGCGGTCATGCTGCACCCCCTGCACGGACCTCCTGGTGGCCACCATCACCATCATCCCCTGCACCTGCCCACGCATCCGGCGGCCCTGCAACTCCTGAGTCACTACCACCAGCAGCAGCAGCAGCAGCAACAGCAACAGCAACAGCAACAGCAACATCAGCAACAGCAGCAACTCTCACCCACTGGATGCAATCCGGCCGCCAGTCACCTGTCCATGGGAGGCGAGAGGAGTGCCTTCAGGAGTCTGGTGAGCTCTCCCTCGGCGGCTGCCTTCCTGGGATTGGCCAGGCAATATGCAGTGGCAGCCTCGCTAACGGTGGCCGAGGAGCAACGCTCCAGATTGCACTACTCCGCGGGGGGACTAACCCCAACTGGCGGCGAGGGAACTGGCGCAGGACTCACTGGCGGCTCAACCATGACGGTGGACAACTCGTCATCCGACTCGGATGAGGAGATCAACGTGCACGACGATTCGGATGGTGAAATCGAGTCGCCGGCGGCGGCGGCAAAGGTGGCCCGCCTGTCATCCTCCGATGCGCCGGCAATACCGGCTACATTGCAATTCCTAAAGCATGACCACCGCTAGGCGGCGACATCTAATTGAAAACTTGAGTTGTGCGCGCCTCTGTGATTGACAGCAGCAACAGCAACAGTAATAGCAACAGCAACAGCAACAGCAACTACTGATTCAAATTGCAATTGTAGGGGATTTGGTGGACTGAAACACGAGATGCGAATATATACTATTGTGGGCAAACAAATCGAAAACCAAAGTTAAAATGCTGCTCACCTACTTGGCTGCGGTTCGGGGTCGCTGGAAAAGCAGCACGAGCAACAGCAACAATAATGGGCGGCTTAAGATTAGCTGAAATTGTAACTAATACTACGAGTACGAACACGCTTGTCCCATTTAAATGCACATATATCTATTGTATACCCCCCAGTTATGCATAATTACTATACTTGTTCATTCGCCGGCTGCCGACTTACCTCATCACCATTTAAGGCTATAGCATATGCAATATATATCTCTATGTAACTCTAACTTTAAATAGTCCTACTGTTTAGCATTAAGCCATCTATTTATGAATGCGTATTACGTACGAATTATTTTGGTTGCGTTTGAACTGATATTTTGTAGAGTAAGTGTTTTTGGCTCAAATCGAAAGGCAACCCAAAACTCCACTGAGTGAGAAACCAATAAAAAGTGCAACAAATACCCAAAAAACTCTTTTGATTTCTTCCCGAAAATAACCAGGAAATCGGTTAGTATAGCCTTGCTTTGGTTTGACAACAAATACAATTTATACGTTCGATTTCACGCATAATTATCCATTCCAACACACGCAGGAAAACACACAAAACACGGCCGATGAGCATAAATAAGCATTTAACACTCGAAAGCTTCTTAAAACGTTATTAAATATTAATACAATCAATATTCATTGTGTGACCGAACGGAGACAGAAGAAATGCCAACGAAATCGAAATCAAAACCAAAATACGCGCATAGAAATCGCTTAAATTTCGAACGTAATGGCCAATATGTCCAAATCTGGTAGATAACATCGACATTTTAATTATAACCAAATGAAGCCGCGCGCACACACAGTGGAGACACACTATAAGCGATGATGGGGGAAGAGGAGAGGAGGGATGGAAATGGATATTGGATGGTGGTATGTGGTGTATGGGGTATGGTATTTGGAAGGGGTACTCCGCTGACCGATTAAAAATGCCGAGCCAACTAAGCACATAAATCAATGTAAATTATGGTGTTAACAAAAGGCGAGCTTGCAGGCTTGGATTGGATCGGATCGTTGACTTTTTTAGGTTGGAAACCGGGTGGATGCGCGTTTTTATTTCTGGCCTGGCCGAGATTTAAATGAGCCGGCCTCTGCGGTGCCTTCGCATCTGATAAGCGAGCGTGGAGCTCTTTCGTGTCGATACTTACAGCTAAAATCGGGATCGGGGATTTGGGACTTGCGACTTGGCATTTGGGATGGGAACAACATCGGCATCGGGTGTCCACAAATTCAATTTGCTTGGCTCTTTATGAGCATCTCCACAACCGACTTATTCTAATTTAGTGCGGAGCTGCTCATGAGCATTCCTTTAATAAATTTAAATCACCTTCTATTGAAAATATTTTCACCTCGGGCCCATAAATTATACATTATACGATATTTATACAGTCTGCGCCACGGCTGTGGGTCAGCCAAAACAACATATATTTGTATATATTTTCGGCATTTGCTTGCCCTGGGTTCACGCTTATTCAGTGGTTTCGTTTAGTGTACTAAATTTTGTTTTGAAGGCCTGGGGATTCCATCAAAATGTATTTTTTTTTTGAAAAGGCTTACCTGGAGGATGGATCGTTTGTGATGGACCAGGGCAAAGTGGCGCTCTCATGAGCGCCATATAATCGCAGTCAAACATTTTTACGATGCACCAACTCCAAGTCGTATATCCACCATCCTCGGCGAGCTGATCAGTGGGCCACTTGATGAGTCCCAGGTCCTGGAGATTGTCCTGCAACTTTGTTGCTGTTGGCTCTGACCAGTTTTTATTGTTTGGGTTGGCGGAAATCGATGAACTTTACCAAGGCTCCATTGCTGTATCACACAGAAAAAATCTGATCAATAGCGGATTGTAATCATTACTTTTAACTTTTAAGATCAAATCAACAAATAAATATAAATAGTTAGTCCTTTATTATTCACCTTTTATAGTTATCAATAATCCAGAAAAAAAGTTAATGAATTAATTTTATTATTGTTATAAAATCCGTACTCTTTTTAGAAGAAATCTAATAGGTCTTTATAAAAAACTAATCAAGGTTGTCCCCTTAAGATTTTTTATGTTTTACAAATTCCGATTCTTTTCCGTTCTTCGTTTTTATAACCAATTTCTGGAACTAGCTAAATACATAAAAAAAATATTACATATAATAAAACGTAGCTTGCCTGTGCTAAAAAATGTATTTTAAAATATAAGACACATTGTGAAGATAATTTTATATATATTTATTTCGAAATAAGTTTTTAATAAGTTTTTTTCTCAGTGTAGCTGGATCTCCGGGGCTCCCCAGGCAAGGAGCCGGTGATAAATCTGTTGGCGAGCCGGCGCAACATTGCCATTGCATACTTCTAAATGGACCATAAACGTGCGAAGTCGCAACACCAGCAATAACTAAAGTTAGTTACGTTTACTAATATGACAACAATGTTGTTCATGGCCCTTTCCCTTCGCAAACCGCCGATGCAAATGCGAGTTAACCAGTGCCAGAAACCTAAGAGAATATCATTCCCAGATTGTGAATGGGAATGGGTGTCGTTATTCCGCCATTACGTTTACGGCTTACAAAAACAAATACCTGAAATCCTAGGGTGTCCTGGGCACCAAAGTCCCCTCCCCCGCAATCAAACACGCAAAAGCAATTAAGTCGCACGGACCTATGGGTTATAGGGTATGCAATTACATATCGCAGATTTTTATAAATGTAGTCACGAACTCTAACGAAAAGTGTTTAATCAAGTTTCCTAAAAAATCAAGTAATATTTGTATTTCCAATAAGAAACATTTAGCTTCAGTTTCAGCTTCAAAATTATTATTATTTAATTAGAGCGGGGTTTTTACTTTAAACTTATAATCACAAAATAAACATCATATAATATTCCTTTAAATATGTAGAAAAAAAACAAAAGCTTACAGAATATTTTATGTTTTAGTCCTGTTATTTTTAGTTATTGAAGAATAATAATAATCAATATAAACACAAATTAATAGTTCAGTGTTTTCACTTATAAATCACAAGAGAATCTCCATATCTTTATCGCATATAACTAAAAATAAAGATGTTTAATTAAAACATTTAACATTTCTCTACTATTTGTCTGCTTGCTTAATAGAATAATAGTGTGTCTTCGCTCTATAAACTCCTGTCTCAACAAATTGCCTATAAGTTTTTTGTTAAAATCCAAAGGAATGTTTGTGAAACATGTTGGGATATTGAAATGCGTGAGAGTGTCGCCATCCAGTCGACTGATTTATGCTCAAACTTAAATGGCCACAATGGCGATTCAGATGACCCGACCCAGGTAACCCCCCCCCCCCCCACAATGGATCCACTCCCTAGTGCCCCGATTCCGAGGGTTCGACGTCAGGGCCTCTGTTAATGAGCCAAGCGATTAAAAAATGTGCATTTGTGTTTGTCCGCTCCTTAAATGAGCTCGAGCTTTTAACGCTCAACACTAGGTATACGGATCGAGGGGAGGGGGTTTTGGGGTATCGGAGGCGGGGACAGAGTGATTTTGTCTCGTTGTCATCTCATTTGGAATTGGGCGATAAGACAAATTTGTTTTCTTTGTTTATATCTTTATGCAGATACAGGTTTCTCGGTTTCAAATGCGCTGCTTCATCGGGCATCTCCGACTCTGTTCAAATCCCCGACCTCTAAATCTTGGGTAGAGCATCCGAAGTTCGCTGACATGTTCGGCTAGAATTGGTATATGTTTAATCTTTGTCGCCTCGCAAGTCCGAGCGTTTCCACAGTCGCAGCAACAACAAAAGTGGAATTCTGAACATTGATTTAAATTTTGAATTCAAATGTCTCTCTGTCTTCGGTTTTTATTTTATTCGGCTGCGGCGGCAGCTGCCGCTGACATCTTCATTAACGAGGAGTGTGATCAAAAGAGTAATGAGGTGTTGATAGTGCCCCGAAAGCGAAGGGGCTTTATGCATTCCCCGTGGATTAATTAGGAACAATGCCGGTAAACTAAACCCCGGTCCCCAGAAGTTGTTCTAGTATGCCCCCACTGGTAATTGTGGGCCTCTTGTGTCTCCAATCGATTCCCCAGTCTTTCAAGTCTTTCAGATCTGTTTTTTTTTTTCAAATCATTCTTTCTGATTCCGCGCTTGTGAATCCTAAGCCTGGCTCTGATTCCGATTCTTGTTCATGCTCGAACCCGTATTCAACGCAGCTGGGCCTTTTGTTATGCCCGAGCAATTTGCATATGATAAATCTGCTTCCATATTTTGTTAAATTGCTGTGCGGGTTTTCTCTTATTGGCCTGGCCAAAAACCATTGGCGCGTGGTAAATTGGTTGTATTGTATAAAGCATCTAATTAGTGGCCGGCTACCGAATTATGACCAATTATAACTATTGATTGATTGTGGGCTATAATCACGGGGCTCCACAACTCCCGTTGCTGCGGTTTTCGGTTCCAAAAGCAGCTGCTTTTTAGTTTATCGGTCAAACCAGAAAGTTAAGGAACAATAAAGTCAAAAGGTTAAGACCCCCACGCACAGATAAGCGGTTTAAGGTTTAATCTTAAATAAAATATCTTTCGCTTATCGTACTAATTATACAAAGAAAAACTACCTATTAAATGATTGTGATGAGATGTGTTAAAACTTTTATGAAATTTTAATTTATTCTAAAGATTTGAAAATAGCTATCGGAGAGAAATATTAACGTAATTAAATGGTGGTAAATGGAAAAATTATGGTTTCATTGTTAAATATATTGATAGATAAAATAAAAACCTTCGCATAAAATTAATTTTTAATTAATTTTATTTACTTTCAGTTTTATTAAGCCGTTTTTTTATTCCGAACCAAAATTTATAATAACTTACATTTGTACTATTTGACTACTATTCCAGAATTAGACTTCAATCCTAAAATAATTTTGTAATATTTAACAAAAATATTTCCGTCCTAAGAACGTTTTATATAAGTTCCCAGTAAAGGAATTTGAAAGTAAAGGAATATAAAACACTTTCTGTAAATATTTATGTATTGTTATATCACACTTTTATCAGTTATGTTCCTGAGTGAAGTACTAAATATAATTTATTCTCGTTTGTTTTGAGTGCAGAGCGCGGTGTTTCACATAAAAAAGCACACTTCTAGGCTAACTGCCCAGCTAAACAATGTCTAATTAAAGGCAGTAATCGCCCCGAGTCGGACCACTTAGTCCGCGCATAAATCTCGGCCCTCTAATGGGAATGGACCCCAACCCCAAAAACAAGAGGCTGCCACAATTAACCGAGACTTATGACGCTGCACCTGATTAAGATGCAGACCCGGTCCAGTCCTGGCCATCAAACGAGCTCTAAACTACGCCTATTGTTCGGAAAAAAGAGATGCTTCGATGCCGCTGCCGACTACTACAAAAATGTTAAACGGCTTCTCGGCCAAGATTTATTGCCTGT